AACAGAAGTAGAACAACGGTGGCAAAAGAAAGCAAAGATAGTACCAATAGGAATAGGTGCTTTGGGTGCCATCCCAAAACATCTGGAGCACAACTAGAACACCATGAGCATTGACACCTTAGGGAAACAAATCTTGAAAAATTGCCTATCATATCTTTGCTTCTTATAAGGCTGCTTTCTCCACAAATGTACGGTATATATATATAGCATACAATATGGTTGAAATTGGACAGCCTACATCCAGTATTAAGCAATATCTAATTCTTAGCATATGTACAATTCCAGTAACTGCCAAATACCATAGGATTCATTACAAAGCAAATTTAATTATTGCTATCCATCTCTTGACATTTAAGCTGGGACTAAAAAACTGTTTTATTACATATTCTGCACAGAAGTTGAACAACTCCTGAGAGGTTTTTATCATGACATGTTTGAACACATTTTTCCAAAACCAGGGTGAATATCTAAATGGTATTAAGGCTCAGATCAAAGTGACTGATCAGAGAGACCAATCAACACAAAGGAATATGACTGGGGACAAATCAACACGCCGATTGATCTTCCTTCCCACTCACCAACACAAACTGATGGGCAGAAATTTTCCAGCCCTCTGTGCAAACGCAAACAAAAAGGAAATTTAAAAAAACGTAAGCAAACCACAAACAAAAGTAGATTTGCAATCCCTCAAGTTACTTGCTCTGCTGTTTTATGCCTGCCTGGCAACCATGCAAAATGGGTGCCTGCCTGGGACAGGGAAACAGAAACTTTTGCAGGCACTTGGCCCACCCACTCCTTCCCCTATCTGAGGTCTGCCTTCAAATCAGCAAAGATAACATTAAGGGCTCCTTTTACTTCAATGCCATCTCAGGCTATGCTTACCTTCAAAACCTCTCCCTATCTCTTTCCTTCACACAATTGGGTCCACACACCCCAATCTGGATAGGTAATAAAACTTAAGCTTCAGTGTGGCCCATTTGGAGTGCTTCATATGTCAAGGAACAACACAGAAACTCTTATTATCCTGAGATGGGGAACAAAATGAGATTTCTTTGTAGATTCTTTTGCATTCCCAGAACAGATGGCGTACAAAAGGGGGACTTTCTAATTGAGAGTTTTTCTATATTAGGAGAACTTTTCAGCTTAAAAACAAGACATAAGCTTTTTGTTATAAATACAGAGAGCTATTTCAATTCAATCTACAAAGAAAAATAGTTTAATTGAAGGCAAGGTAGCGTCATAGCTTCATTTTTTTCAGAATGTCCAGATTCCATGTATGGTATCACTCAGGGGACACAATTTTAGACTGGAAATAAAATATGAATTCAAAATATTGACCTAAACAAAATATTGGACAGAGCATTATGAGACAAATTATATACTGAGTTCATTCACAAAGAATACCAAGGAGACCTCAGTTTTAGCTCTCTACAAATATTATATACTTCTAAGGAGCAATCATTAAAAGGCTATCATTTTCACATTACAGGTGAGCCAATCTCCATTTGAATATGTAGAAAAACTAATTGTTTAAAAAATGCTCTGATTCAAAACTCACCATGTCATTATGTAAGAGAATTCACTTCTATGATTCCCATAACTGCTTGCTTAAATACTAGTTACCAATATAACTGTATAATCTGTATTTATGCTGTTGGCTCCCCTAAATTATTTCTAAATTAAAGGTATTAGTTATTCTTTATGCTAGACCAAGAAAATAAATGGACATTTAAACTATAAAAATTCTATAGGATTAAGGAAAAATCTTCCCCAATGTAGCTTATAGTGCTGTTTAAATCACAGCTTTTACAATCTCTTTACTTCAGATCTTGAGAAATATCATGCAAGATATTCAAGTTAGTGATGACATAGTATAATCCTGTCTTTTTAACCTATGAAATAGAAGGCTACACACCCATCCTTGAGACAGTGGGGTTCAAAAGCTGCAGAAGCTTCCTCTACAGTAATGAGAAAACCTCACAGATGCAAATTTGCATGAGGTAGAGGAGCAAAACTTCAAGTGCTGCCATTTTGCCTGCTCTCATTCGGGCAAAAAGAAAATACGTCAAAACTTACTAGCCAGAAATCTCCCATTAGGCAGACCAGGGGTCTGCAAATTTAGCAACCTTTAAGACTTGCGGATTTGGCCATATGGATGCCTGAGAATTCTGGGAGTTGAAGTCCACAAGACTTAAGTTGCCAAGTTTGCAGACCCCAGAGGCAGGCCATTACATTTTGAGTATATACAACATACATTCGGTACTGTACAGAAAGGGCTATTTCCACCCTAAATTAATTGGAGTTTAGCCCCAGTGCAAAAAAAAACAACAAAAACAATCATGGACAATGCAAAAGAGCCTAGAACTGGATTCCCAGCACTTTGTTCACGTTTAAACCTGTTGAGATGTTAATGGGGAGGCTGAGCAGGGTTGCCTTCAGCCCCATGGTGCAGCCCAGCAGAAGTGGCTGCCTCCTGGCCAGGGTCCTATGGGGAAGTCGGCCCACCCTTCACCTGCCCACCTTCCCCCTCCCACACCGTCAATCTGCCTCCTTTCCTAAAAACCCTCCACCAGCCCCATCTTTCCAAGCCAGGAGAGGAGGAGGAGGGAAAAAATGGTAGGGAAGAAAGGGGAGGAGGAGAAAGGAAGGAAGGAGAGGAGAAAGGAAGGAAGGAAGGAAAGGAGGGGGAAGGAAGGAAAGGAGGGGGAAGGGGAAAGGAGGGGGAAGGACAAAGGAAGGAAGGACGGAAGGAAGGGGAGAAGGAGGAAGGAAAGGAGGGAGGGGAAAAGGATGGAAGGAGGACGGAAAGGAGGTTAAAGGAAGGAAGGCAGGCCTCTCTTCCCAGCCGCCCCCTCCTCCGCGACGAACGCCGGGAAGGCTGCCGGGAGGACCCCTCCCCTTGTCCTTCCCTTATCCTCCCTCCCCTCCCCCAGCACCGGAAGAGAGGCCGATCCCTCCCGCGGCTCGGCTCTCTATGGCCTTCCGGGCCTCTTCGCCCTCTTCCTGGAGCGGGGGGGGGGAAGAATACAGACCGGCGCCTCCCCCCCACGGGAGACCCCCATATCGGAGGGGGGGTCTCCTCGCCCGCTCCTCACACACACACACAAAAACACACACCGGTTGCCTCCTCAGAGGCGCCTCCCTCCCCGCCCGAAGTGCGTGCCTAACTCCAAGGCCCATCCTCCCCGGCCGCGGCCGCTGTGAGGGGGGGAAGGGAAAGCGGCCCCCTCCCCAACCGCTTCCTGCCGGCGGCATCCCGCCTCCCATTCTCCCCCCCGCCAGGACAGGCCCCGGGGAGGATGGGCGTTGTAGTCCCCCGGTCGAGCCGAGCCGGCGTCCCCCTCCCCCTTCCGGTAGGGGCGCCCCTCCCCCTCAGGAAAGGGCCGCGCTCCCCTCCCCCACAAAGGCTGAGGCGGCGGAGGGGGGGCCGCCCTCCCTCCCGCCGACCGACCCGGGGGCGCCCCGGACGCACCGCGGCGGACGCCCGGCTCTCGCCTTTCTCGCCCGCCCGCCTTCGCCGCCGACCAGGCCGAGAGTCTCCCCGCCGCCGCCGCCTCTTTACCTCAGAGCGCTGCTCCGCCGGGCGTTGGCAGCTCGCTGCGGGGTCTCCTCGCCTGGGCAGCAAGGGCGGGCGGGCGCGCTTACGTCACCGCGTCCCTGCAGAGGCGGGGCTTCAGGCGGCGCGAGGGGAAAGGAAGGCCCGCTCCTCGCAGGCCCCGCCCTCCCTCCGCTGTGCGCCGCATCTGCGGCGGGCGGACTGGGCCGGCAGGGGGCGCTCTGCTCTGCTCTCTGGGAGGGGCTGCCTCGTTAAGGGTGGGTGTATGGGGTCACCTTCTGCATCTGGCACTTTGGGTGTGTGTGTGTGTGTGTGTGTATATATATATATATATATATATATATAGAGAGAGAGAGAGAGAGAGAGAGAGAGAGAGAGAGAGAGAGAGAGAGAGAGAGAGAGAGAGGTGTATGGGTCATCTTCTGCATCTGGCACGTTTGTGGTGTGTGTGTGTGTACATATATACACACACACACATATACACACACACACATATATATATAGAGACATATATATGTATACATACACACACACGTTTCATATATATCTATATGTGTGTGCATGTGTATCTGCAAGCATGCCTCTACATGTGTATATACACAAAGGCTAGTGCATGCATGTATGCCTGTGTGTATATATGCACGTGTATATGTATACACACCCAAAGGCTAGAGTATCTGCAGGTATGTGTATGTATGTTTGCATATATCTGCATATACCTATACACATACACATACATGCATGCATGTATATACACACGATAATGTATCTGCATCTGTGTGTATATAAATCCTTGCCTACACACAAATGTGAGATGCAGAGTACCTGTATATACTGGACATGCACAGATATGTCCGTGTGGGTATATGAATTGTATACAATACAAACGCAAGCATATGCATGCCTCTGTGTGTGCTAGATAGTGTGTATATATTGTGTGCATGCATGCCTCTGTGAGGACACACTTATATGCTAGATGGGTGCATGTAAGTATAATACATATTTTATATGCTCTACACCCGCATTCAGCTCCCCAGACAGGGTATATTCATATTTCGCTACCTGTGGAGGAAAGATGGCCTTGAGTTATATATAACTCCGTGCTGCTTTAAAAAGTGTCACTTAGTGATAAAGTCCTCATTTAGTGACTGTTCAAATTTACACCACTGGAAAAAAAATCACTTGTGACTGTTTTTCATCCTTACGACCACTGAAACTCTGTCATGGTCACATGATCAAAATTCAGATGCTTGGCAACTGACTCATATTTACGACGGTCACAGTATCTCCCGGGGATCATGTGATCCCCTTTTCGTGACCTTCTGACAAACGAAGTCAAGGGGGAAGAAACTAGATTCACTTCACCACCGTGGGACTAATTTAAACGCCGCAACCATTCCATGGAAAAGGCAACTACATTTATGGATGACTGGAAACCTCCTCGTAGACATTTCATTTCATTTTTATTAGATTTTTATTCCACTATTTCTATAAATAATTTAAGGCAGCAAATTTATCCAGTAGGCCTTCAGCCTCCTATTTTCCCAGCCCTGTGAGGTGGGTTGGGCTGGGAGACTGACCCAAAGTCACTTCATTTTGCATGAAACAGGAAAAAAAAAAATGCACTCATGGTTTGGATGATTATAGGGGAAAAAATGGAAGAAAACAGAGTTTTGTAATCATCAAGATCATTTTGTAATTATGTTTGCTGTAAAGGAAATCGGAAACCTCTTTGCATTTTTTAAATTCTTTCTCGTTGCACTTTTTTCTTTACTTTTTTCCTTCTCTTTTTTCTTGAACCTAATTTATGTTCATTTCTTTAATTTTTTTTAAAATATCCAAACTGTTAGGACCGAGATCTGTTGCCCCATACCGGACACTTGTTAAAATATTCTTAATAAATCTGCTATAGGAAGAGAATTTTGTCCTCAGTGCAATGGGAAACTCCTAGTTAAATTTCCTTCCTCTGATTAAAAAAATAAAATAAAATAAAAACAACTGTGGTTTTCTTTCAGTCCAAACTACCACACAGGGGATTATTGAGAAAATGAAAATCAAAAAACCCATTCCAGAAATAAATAATCTTCTCCAGTGGGAATGCAAGACATAAATATAATTAATGGTGCATTGTTATCCTATGGAGCTCAATCATGTTCGTCGTGGTGGATTTTATCCCTGGGAACAGGGTGGGACTAGATGACCTCCAAGGCCCCTGCCACCTCTTACCTTCTCTCCAAGGGGATTCCCATCTTGGAAAAAAAGAAAAGTCAGTCTTAATCTGGACTGTTCCTTGCAGGAAGTGACATGGATTGAAGCTAAATTACTACTTTTTTCAGGCCGCTAAATTATTTTTTTCAGGCCGCTGTCCCATCGTTAAATGTCTAAAACTGCACAGATGGGGAACCGGAATCTGCCCAATTAAAAAAAAATCTGCAAATGTTTTCAGATATCCAACAGGAAATTGTCATCGAGTCGTTTGGACCCCTCCATTTCTTGAAGGCAAGCAGGAGAAGGCGGTTCGCAAAGAGGAGCCTGAATGTCTCCTTAATTTTTCATGCATACCGGTGACAAATCGCCATCACATGGTAAGGCCGCGGAAATTGGGTTCACTGCAGGGGGGCAAAATGGTTTGTTGGTCCAGCAGCTTCTCCAGCACGTTGAGCTGGGTGTCTCGCTTCTCCACTTCGTCCGAAGGCGTCCAGGAGAGATCGTGTTGCAGTTTGTAGGCGGCGAGAAACTCGCTGGGGCAGCTAGTCCCCCACTCCTAGACAGAAGGGAGAAAGGAGCATGTTAAGGAGGTCCCCCAGAAAGGAACGATGTACGAACCCCACTTTTATATCGCGCCAGCATTTTTTAGCTTATAAATACCTTTGGGGAAAGCAAAGAGAAGTAACGCTGGCCAGTCTCTCTCCTGTACAGGTAATAAATATTTCCAGGTTTTTTCACAAAGTTACAGGCCACATGGTGAAGGTCGGCGTCTCTTTTGGCGTCTTCCAGAACCTACAAGGAAAACAAGGACGTATTTTGGGCATAACAATGGGCCAATCAAAGATCGATTTATAATGTTGGGTTACAACTCAACAGCCATCCATTTAGTGACCATTCAAAGTCATAACAGTACTGAAAAAAGTTTCTGTTAAATTTTAAATTACCCAGGCAGTTTCTGTTAAAATTAAATTACCTAGACAGGAATTTACAACAATGTAATTAAAACAATTACAGCTTTAAGCCCTGTGGACTGCAACTCCCAGAATTCCCCCTGGATTAAAATGACCTTGATAATTCTGACCTGGCGTTGTACCCACTGTTTACCTTTCTGGCTTGTTCTTGTAAATATCGGATTTGTTCTGCAATGACGGTCAAGCGGTTGCAGGCATTCGCTCGGACAAACTCATCCGCCTGGGGAAAGAAAAGGCCTGCGTCTGTCATATATTATACTCGTAAAATTAGGGGTGTGTTTTTTTTCATTAACCCCAAATAATAGACTCTTATCGTTGGGATTCCTTCGTCCTAACCTACTAGGTCTCCCCTGGGTTCATTCTGGACACCCCCGGAGGCCGAGATTCCCCGGCACTCTGCACATGCCCGGAGGCACTCTCGCTCACCTTCTCCACTTGCTCCGCCAAGGCCACCAGATCCGACGGCTGCGCCTTTCGAGCCGCGGGGGTCAGCTGGAAACCCTCGGAGGCGCCCCGCCCGACCAGCGCCGAGTTGTCCGGCGGAAGAACCGGGACGGCGGCAAAATCAGCTTCTCCCCTGACCGCCATTACCCAGCAGCATAAGCCACGCCCACTCCGCCTTCCTATTGGACGCCCGCCCGTGCGTCTCGAGCAGAGGGCGTAGCGATAGAGGCGGGGCGGGAGGAGCGGCGCCGGCTGAGGAATTCTGGGAAACGTAGTCGAGAGAAACTCCGCCCGCGGAGAGTCCATCGGCCACGTGGTGCTCAGAGAGAGGGCGGGGCGGGAGAGTGGGGCGTGGCCGAGTGGGCGGAGCTCCAGCCTGTCTGCCCGGGCATTGTGCGCCCTTCTTCGCCCGCCGCTGCCCGCGGAGATGCTGCGCTTGCTGCTTGCGCTGCTTTTGCGCGCGATCCTGAGCCCGGCCGACGGATCGCGCCTCGCGGAGCAGCTCCGCCCGGCCGACGAGCTGCTGGCGGCCGGGGCCGAGGCGTACAGCCGCGGGGACTGGCCCGGGGTCATCCTGCACATGGAGCGGGCGCTGCGGGCGCGGGGGGCGCACCGGGAGCGCCTGGCCGGCTGCCGCTCGGGCTGCGCCGCCAACCACTCGGCCGAGGATCCCGCGCAGGAACCGCGCCGTCCGCTGGGCGACCTGCGCTTCTTCCGGCAGCTGCTCCGCCGCGCAGCCTGCCTCCGCCGCTGCCTGCCGGACAGCCCGTCCCGCTACCAGCTGGGCGAGGAGGTGAACCTGGAGTTCCGCAAGCGCAGCCCCTACAACTACCTCCAAGTGGCTTATTTCAAGGTGCGCGGGGAGATCTGGGGTGTGCGCAGGGGAGGTCTGGGGGTCTGGGAAGGGGTCTGGAGATGTGCGCAGGGGGGCTGGGGGGCTAGGGAGGATCTCCCCCGGTTGGCACCGCCTCTGCCCCGGGAAAAGCGCCTTGGCATGTTTTTCCTCTGCCCTCCCCGCGGTTATTTCTCTGCTGCGGCGCCCCTTCGGGTCCCAATCCTAAGGAGGAAGCGCGCCATCGGGGGAGGGGGAGGCAACTCTTTTGGGATGGGGGAGGCGCCGCCTGCTCGGCTCCCCTGGTGGGAGGGGCCCGGTGCCACGTCGGTCGAGGGGGCTGCGCGCTCTCCGCTCGCATCCGCTCCGCCGGGTCTCGGCGCCGCCCGCCCCGCGCTGGGCGCTCGGAAGAGGCGCGGGTGGAAATACGAGGCGGGGGGCGACGGCGGTGAAGCCCCCTTCTCTCCCCCCGCCCCGCATCTGCCGCTTCCTCGCAGGCTTTGTTTTAGCCTGGATGCTGGGGGGGGGGGTTTAAAACGAGGATGGAGGAGCCTCGGGAGTGGGTTCAAGTTTCTCCAAGTGGGGTGTTTGGTTTGGTCTCCCCTTCTCTGGGCCTTGACTGGTTTGGGTGTGCGTATGCGTAAATGCCCAAATTGCAAAGTGGAAAGTTTCGGGTCAAAACTCATGCTCAGTGGCCCCCCTTCCTTTCTTTCCACTTTCTCTTTTCCTTCCTTCCTTCCTTCCTTCCTTCCTTCCTTCCTTCCTTCCTTCCTTCCTTCCTTCCTTCCCATTCATTTTTACTTTACTTTCCATCCATCACCTCCTTCCCTTCCTTCCTCCCGCCCTCCCTTCTCTCTTTTCTTTTCTTTTTTCTAACTCTCTTTTTCCATTTTCTGCCCTTCTCTACTTTCCTCTCTGCTCCTCTCCGCTTTATTCCTTCCTCAATTTTCTTCCCTCGCTCTACTTTCCTTCCTTTTTTCCCTCTCATTCTCCTTCCTCCTTTCCATGACTCTGTAGAAAGGGGCTGTAAAGCACTGTGAAGCGGTCTATAAGTCTCAGAGCTAATCCATAACTTTTTAAAGAGCCCAACCTGAGGGGTCAGAATGGATCTCCCCAAAATACGACTAGCCAGGCTGTTGTTTAATTTAATAATTTGCTCCTCCTTGTTGCCGTTGGCCAAATACAGTGGCACTCTTCAAAATTTTCAGGGACGAAGGGCCCAAAAAAAATATATCTGGATTTCTCTTCTTCGTCAGATCAATAAACTGAGCAAGGCCGTAGCAGCTGCCCAGACATTTTTCTCGGCCAATCCGGACCACGCCGAGATGCGCCAGAACCTGGCTTATTACCAGATGATGGTTGGTGTCAAAGACTCGGATTTTGTCGATTTGGAGGCTAAGCCCCACATGGTGAGAACGCATAGCATTATTTTTTTAAAAAAATTAAACTGCAGAAAAAGAGAGGAAAAAGAACAGGGGAAGAATCATACAGGGCATGTCTTTATTCGATTATAGTTTTTAATTTTGATTACCTTTATGATTAAATGTCATCCCACTATTAGGAATCACACTCAAAAGAGCTGGAAGGGACCTTGGAGGTCTTCTAGTCCAGCCCCCTGCTCAAGCAGGAGACCTTAGGCCGTTTCAGACAAGTTGCTGTCCAGTCTCTTCTTGAAAACCAGTGATATTATAAGTAGTCAAGGACTATTTATAACAGATTTAATAGCTGGAGATGCTAAAATGGTCCAGTTTTGCTTTCCCGGACTTTAAAGCCGGCTGTGCCTTCTTTGATTCTCTCTCTAGCAAGATTTCCACCTGGGTGTGAGTTACTACACAGAGGAGAATCCTCAGGCAGCCATTTTGCACCTGGAGAAGGCACTGAACGAGTACTGGGTAGCTGACGCCGAGTGCCGGGCCCTCTGCGAAGACCCGTATAACTACGATGGTTACAACTACCTCGAATACAATGCTGATTTCTATCAAGCCTTTATCGGTGAGCGCAGGGAAAAAGGAGGACAACAAGTCCCATAAGCCTGGGCGGGAAGCAGTGGGACCCTGGCTAAGAGAAGACAGGGTATCCGGGATGCCCGACTTGGTCAACCCTGCGAAGATTTTCAGAAAATTGGTTATCAGATATTCTGCTCCTGGATATGGAGGTTCTCTTTAGCTCATCCCGAAATATGTTTGTCCTCCTATTTTAATGTGGCTTAAAACGAAGATGCTTTTCTAAGGAGATGCAGGGGAATTCTGGGAGTTGAGTCATGACTAGGGAATTCTTGGGCTTTTATTTATTTGTTTCAATTTATTATGGGAATTCTGGGAGCTGAAGTCCATACTATACATGCTAGGTAGAGAATTCTGGAAGTCCCCACGTGCTGGCTGGGGGATTCTGGGAAATGAAGTCAAAATAGGCTCATTAGAGGTTTCAGGAAGTTGAAGTCCCCACATGCTGGCTGGGGGATTCTGGGAGTTGAAGTACACCCATTTTAAAGTTGAGAAACGCTTCTCTGTCCTACAACGATGCCCGAACATTCGATCAAGATGGCTTCCTGTGAATAATCCCCTTTTGGGGGGGGGGTCTTTTTCGTGGCAGATCATTACACCCAAGTGTTGAGTTGCAGGCAAGGCTGTGTGAACGAGCTGGCACAGGAAGCCGGTCAACCCGACGAAGATTTCCTCCCGTCTCATTTCAACTATCTGCAGTTTGCATATTACAACAGTATGTGGGGTTGGGGAGAGAAGGGGGGGTGTTAATTGCACCCCACGCCTGTCTTTCAGGCAAGGAGGGGGTCTCTCGGGGAAGGTGGCTGCCTTTAAACTGAGTTTCGCTGGGCATGTTGGTTTTTCCCCTAATGCTCCATCACAGGTGGCAACTACGGGAAGGCCGTTGAATGCGCGAAAACCTACCTGCTCTTTTTCCCAAACGACGACGTGATGAAGCAAAACGTGGCTTATTACGCAGCCATGCTGGGGGAGCACCTGGCCGAGCACATTGGGCCCAGAGAGGCAAGTTTCCCCACCACCACCACCTCCGCATGGGTATCCTCCAGATCTCGGCTGACGCTGAACTACGCAGTTACTTTTCGTGAAAGAAAGTAGAGATCATCTAGTCCAGCCCCGTCGAGGCAAAGAATCCAAATTGAAGCATAGGATGATTACAGTTGGAGGGGACTTGGGAAACTGTCTAGTCCAGCCCAGAACAGGGAACCAAATGGAAGTATCAGATTCTAGAACGTTTTATGATCAGAAGGAACCTGGGAGATCATCTAGTCCAGCCCAGGACAGGGAACCAAATGGTCCAGACATCTTAAACACCGTTTTGGACATTACCTCCATTCGGTCAGCTGGCTGGTAAATGAATCAATCTGATCTCATTTCTCTAATTTTGAGCATTTTCCTGCTTTTTTTCCCGCTGTAGAAAGTCCAGCTTTATCACCGGCGCAGTCTTTTAGAGAAGGAATTGCTATTTTTCGCGTATGACACCTTTGGGGTTCCTTTCATCGACCCGGTAAGCCAAAGCTATATTTTCCAAGGGACAGAAAATAGGTTAAACAAGGTTTAAGGGGGTTCTGGGAGTTGAAGTCCATCCGTTTTAAAACTGCCAAAGTTGAGAAACATTGGACTGGACAGTGTTTTGTCCAGAATGGCGTGGCTGTTTTTTTACTGTCCTTATCTTGCTTTGAAGGACACGTGGACCCCGGAAGAAGTGATTCCCAGAAGGCTTCAGGAAAAACAAAAGTAAGTAAGAATTATCACTGCCCCCGTCGTAAATACGAGTCATTTGCCAAGCGTCTGAATTTTGATCCCGTGACCGTGGGGATGATGCAACGGTCGTAAGTGTGAAACCGGTCCTTTTTCAGTGCGGTTGCCACTTCAAACGGTTGCAAAACGAATCTCTATAAATGGAGGATTAGCTGTAATGAGCACCCAGTAGAAAAATCACAGCAACATGAGCCCATCATGAATAATAGCAGGGGCTGGACTAGAAGACCTCCAAGGTCCCTTCCAGCTCTATTCTATTCTAATAAGCCTGTCTGGGAAGATTTATCCGCATGGCAGAAAATTCCCTGGCTTGCTGGCAGAATAGCCATCTTTTATTTTTATTTTTTTTTGCCGTGGGTGTTAAGCGAATGCTGCGGTCACTAAATGGATCCATGGCTTCCCAAGGGTGTCTTTTTTTTCCTTAAAACTGGAAGCCAATGCCCGTATTTCAAAATTTCCACTCTGAACTCCGCAGGATTGAACGTGAGACGGCGGCTCGGATCTCTGAGGAGATCGGTAATCTCATGAAGGAGATTGAGCATCTGGTGGAGGGGAAAACCAAGGAATCTTCCGACATGAGTAAACTCGTACGGGAAGGTGAGGCCTGAAAATTGGGATCCTGGGAGATCAGGAAGGTGAAAATCGGGGGGGCAAATCCGTTACGAGCAAAGCTGAGCCCCAAATTTTGGCTACTAAAGGAATTTTGCCCCTTTTTACGACCTGTCTTGCCACTGTTGTTAAGGGGATCCCGCTTCCCCATTGACTTTCCTTGTGGGACGGTCGCAAAAGAGAATCACCTGAGCCCGGGACGCCGCAAAACCGTCGTAAATACGAGTCAGTTGCCAAGCGTCTGAATTTTGATCACGTGACCCCGCGGGATGCTGCAGTGTGAAGAAAAGGGTCCTACGTCGCTTTTTTCAGTGCTGTTGTCACTTCAGACAGTCACTAAACAAACGGTCCTTAAGCGAGTCAGACGCTCATTTAAGCAAACCCGGTCTCCCGCATTGACTTAAGTTGCCACATGGTTGGTTCCGGCTTCCCCATTGACATTGCTAGTCGGAAGGTCGCAAACGGAGGTCACGTGACATCCCCTGGGACACTACGACCGTCGTAAATACGAGTCAAGGGTTTGTATTTTTATTTCCCGCCAATCCTTAGGGGGTCCATTGGTGTATGACGAGCTCAAGGTGACCATGAACTCCAAAGTCCTGAACGGGTCCCAGCGTGTGGTGGTGGACGGGCTCCTCTCCGAAGAAGAGTGCCGGATGTTGCAAAGGCTCACGAATGTGAGTAACGCATGATGGGTTTTGTAATCCCTTAAGCCTCCCTCCCCTATGTTAAGACTTGTTTGTACTACCTGTGGTGATTTGTTTTGGCCACTAGATGGCAGCGTTGCCTTCTCTGCCTGGGTAAAGAGCCAAAGTGAACTTAAAAATTCCTCTTTTTTTCTTTTGGGGGGCATTTTTATCTTTTAAATAAATGGGACTAAGCAAAAGTTCGGAGTTTTCCTTCAGTCGCAAAACTGGGGTTTTCTTTTCTCAATCGGGCCAAAAAAACCCAGAACAAATTTTATCTGTATTATATTTGAATTGCAGGCAGCGGCTTCGGCAGGGGACGGTTATAGGGGCCAAACTTCCCCCCACACGCCCAGCGAGACCTTCTATGGGGTGACGGTCCTCAAAGCCCTCAAGGTAACCCCCCGAGAGAGCAAACCTCTGGGATTGGGGAGGCGTTCTCTGAAATCATAGAAACATAGGGCCCTTAAGAGGTTTTCTAGTCCAACTCCTGCTGGAGACGTCATGAGGACTAGAATCCCAGCCTCTGGAAAGACAGGTCCCAAACTGATGCCTAAAACCGAGCGTGGCTCCATCCTCCTCCATACGGTGGGAGATCCTGGTTTTGAATTTGGGGTGACCCCGGGTGCGGGTCTCGCCCACAGCTGGGGCAGGAAGGCCGAGTCCCCATGCAGAGCGCCTACCTCTACTACAATGCCACGGAGAAAGTCCGTCGTGTGATGGAATCCTATTTCCGCCTGGATGCCCCTCTGCATTTCTCCTATTCTCACCTGGTGTGCCGGACGGCCATCGAAGGTAAGCAGGTAGACAACTGTGTGTGTGTGTGTGTGTGTGTGTGTGTGTGTGTGTGTGTGAAGACCATTGACTTAAACCAGAAAGACACAAAGGCCAGGTTGAGGCTGGGGAGAATCCCACCCCCGAAGATTTTCCTTGCTCGGCTTTTGCAGAGCATGAATTTCCAGCTTGCCACGAGGACTAGAAACTTGCGGCGTCTCAGCTTTCGGTTTTTCAACCCAGCTAGGCGGGTTGGATTCATAACTCCCAGGATATCCAGTCTTGGGGATGGGGGAAGACCAGATTGGGGGCTGGGAGGGGAGGAGATCCAAAGGGATCTTCCTGTCTCTCCCCTAGATAAGCAGGCGGACCGGACGGATCCCAGCCACCCTGTCCATGTGGACAACTGCATCCTCAACGCCGAGGCTATGGTGTGCGTCAAGGAGCCCCCCGCATACACCTTTCGGGACTACAGGTGAGTTTGGCTGATTTTCCCCAGAAAGATCAGGAAGCGTCTCCTTTTAGGATCCGGTCGATTAAGCCAAGGGGGGAAAAATCAGATTTTATTTTATTTTATTGCTCCTTGGGGTTTAATCTCCCAGTAAAGAAAAGCTGTTTATTGCTTTCCAGCGCCATACTTTATCTAAACGGCGATTTTGAAGGAGGAGAATTCTATTTTACCGAGTTGGATGCCACCACCGTGACGGTAAGCACGTTCGGCAATTCCAGTTGTGGGGTTCAGCCCCTAGTTTTTTAATTATCATTTGCATCCTGCTTCGAGACTTAATCCTCGGCTTATGGTCGTTTCGTTTAATGACCGTTTAAAGGTCATTCAACGGCATCTGTTGGGAGCCAGCAAGCGAAGGGGCCGTGATGGATTTGGGGGGGGGGAAATGAGGATTACCCACTTAACTGCTTTGGGGATCCCCCTGCCCCCCCATACCCCAATTTTCTCTTCAGGCAGAGGTGAGACCCCACTGCGGCCGGGCGGTGGGCTTCTCAGCCGGATCGGAAAACCCACACGGTGTGAAAGCCGTCACAAAGGGCCAACGCTGCGCCATCGCCTTGTGGTTTACGCTGGACCCCCGCCAGAGCGAACGGGTGAGTGCGCCGCCTCTTTGGACCCCGGTGGGTCAAAAAAGTCAAAATGGCTGCCATCTCAAAATCATATATATATATTTTTTTGTCTTGGAGAGTCACAAGTAGCTAGTTCTCAATGTCCCTTGGTCCTTCCTCTCCCTTTCTCTTCCAAAATTTTGCTCAGGGCTGCAAAAGAAAAAAAATACTTCCTTTTTTCCTTTCTGTTTCTCTGTTATTTTCTTTCCTTTTTTTCCTGTCTTTATTGGAGGTTCACATGTAACTAGTCCTCAATGTTCCTGGCTCCTCCTTTCCGGGCACCCCCAAAATTTGCTCAAGGCTGCAAAAAAAAAAAAAAACGGCTTTTCTTTTCTATTTCTTTACCTTTTTCCCCCCTCTCTTTATTGGAGGGTCAAAAGTAGCTAGTCCTCTGTGTCCGCAACTCTTCCTCTCCCTGTGCCTCAAAAACTTGCTCAGGGCTGCAAAAGAAAATATTTCTTTTTTCTTTCTGTTTCTTCTTTACTTCTTTTTTTTACTGTCTTCATTGGAGGGTCGCATGTAACTAGTCCTCAGTGTCCCCGACGCTCCCTGCACCTCAAAAATTTGCTCAAGGCTACGAAGGCTACAGCCCTCGCAGGGCTGACAAAATGGATGCCGGCTGAGGAATTCTGGGAATTGAAGTTCACGGGGTTGCAAAGTGCCTTTTCCAGCCATACTTACTTAAAACAGGCACCCCTTTTTTCTCTCCTCCCCCCCCCCCCGTTTTCCCCAGGAGAGGATACAAGCCGATGATTTGGTTCGGATGCTCTTCAAAACCGAAGAAACCAAATTGCCCCCCGAAACGGGACCAAGCCCGGAAGAGGCCGAAACGCCCCCCAAAGAGGCTGAAAAGAAAGACGAACTATAGCTCAATATCTGGGGTGCACAGCTGGTTCAAACAGCAGGATTTGGGGGCACCGAAACAATGGGGTGTGGATTATTGGTCTCGGGGGCGAGAGAGAGAGAAAATTGACTATAAACAGCTCCCAGAATATAGGCAGGAGATATCGGGGTGCCCCCTTTCCCCATTCCTCGAAGGACGGTGCTTGCAAAGTCATAGGGGACCTTGGAGGTCCTCTAGTCCACCCCCCTGCCCCTCATACTGCTTCGGATAAAAAAAATTCCTGCAAAACTTCCATCTCCAGGAGACAGGCTGTTCCTGTCCCTTAATAGTCCTCGACTTAGTGACCGTTCAAAGCTACAATGGTGCTGAAAAAAGGGGGATTTAGGGCCAGTGTTTCAAACTTACGACCGTCGCAGCCGGGATCAAAATTCAAGTGTTTGGCATTTACTCGCTGTAAATGCATTTTTTGCAACGCTCTTGGCTCAAGTTGCTTTTGAACTCTCTTAACGCAAAGAGGATATTTTGAGCCGGACAAATTTGAGACCGGAGAGAGAAGAAAAATTTAATTAAAGAAAGGAAAGGCAAGGTATATTTAAGGCGTGCACTTCATCAAAAGATTAAAATGCTTGAGAAAACAGCCTGGTTTGTGATCGGCCGACAAAAAAAAAAAAAAAACAGACCCACAAAAAAAACGGAAAAGTGAAACAATTGGGCTTTATTGAATGTATTTCACGAGACGGGAAGCTTTCTCGTCATGGAGGGAGCGAAACACTGCAGAGAGAAGCAGGGAGAAATTCTCATTTTTCTAGAAAAATCAGTAATGTCCTGACCTAAGACACTACTACAGCTCCCATCATTCCCAGCCCGGAAGAGAATGATAAATGCTCCCCAAACTTGGCAATTTCCTTGGCAGCAAATTGGATGGAGCTTGGTCTCCTCCAGAAGTAACAGCGAGCAGTTGGTGACTTAACTGCCTATCCTTGGACTACCTCTCCCATCATCCCCGCCTCTTGCCAATCGGCAAGCGGGCATTTATTAAGAAGCCCTTTGCCCGGTTTTACCATCTCGCTTTTCAACTGGAGTTTCTTTGTCATCCTTTGGGGCAGGACATCCTGCAGCCACGCCAAGCAAACCATGGTTTATCATTTAAGCCTTCCATGCTGGCTTGGTGTTTTTTTTTTCAAACAAACCAGGGTGGGTGAAGCTGGCTAGTGGAGGCATGTTTGCCCCAGTTGGAGAGGGAGGAGAAACAAAAAAGCTGTAATGCACCATGTTCTCAAAATTCTAAATCCCGGAATGACCAATTGCTCCTTCCCTCGTGTGTAATTCTCACTCGTCTCCAACTTGCAAATATTTAACCGTTCTCATTAACAATCCAGTCACGCTCAACTTCTTGGTTTCACCTTAAATCTGCTCGTAAGCAGGTCAGCTGCTTCTCAGGTTACGACCGTTCCCAGAATTCCAAAGGAATTCACGCGTTTTCCCCCCCCCTTAGACTACCACAGGGCAGCATTGCTGGGGTGGCCCTTGACAGCTGTCTGTTCTCGCCTACGACCATTTTCCAGTCCATCCCTTCGCCTCCGTTGTTAAGCAAATCAGTGCAGGGCGTCGTTAAGCGAATCCAACTTCCTCTGTTGACTTTGTTGGTTTGGGGGGGTGTGTGTTTATGTGTGTTTGCAAATGGCGATCACCCGAACCCGGGATGCTGCAGACTATTGTAAATACATGCCAGTTATCAAGAGCCGAATTTTCTTCCTGTGGGAGTGACGCTACGGCAGCTGTAAGTACGAGGACCGCCTTTTCCAGCCTTGTTGTAACTTTGAACGGTTTCTAAGTGAAGTATAAGTAATCCTTGACTTAACAAACATTTGCCCAACATTTATGTTGCTAAGGGGAAACAACAGTTAGGTGTGTTTGGGCCCCATTTTACAACTTTTCTTAACCCCTGTTAAGCAGATCGTTGCATTTGTTAAGTTACACAATTGTGAAGCGAAACTGGGCTTCCCCCGTTGACTTTGATTGTCAGAAAGTCACAAAAGGGGATCACGTGACCCTGGGGGACACTGCGACCATCATAAATACGAGTCAGTGGCCAAACATCTGAATTTGGACCACATGATTGTAGCCACTGTCATTTTAAGTGTGAAAAACTTAATGTCAGTCACTTTTTTCAGTGGCAACGCCCCTAAAAGAATTGTTTGAACTTTGAACTGTCCCTAAATGAATCGTAAGTTGAGGACTACCTGTATTATGTCCAATAATTGGAAAAATACATTATTGTTTCAGTTCTGCTTTGAGAGTCTCTCTTTGCAGATGTTTGGACATTTCTCCCTCTCCGAAAAATGGGATTTTCTGTACTTTATTTAGAACTTAAAAGCAACCGGAAAAGACAGATTCTTCAGCGGTTCAGTGGTCTGCAGCACTGATCAATAATAACCATAACTGATTAGCTATCCATTAATGGATGATTGTAACCAAGGACGGCTTCCGTTGAGCGGACACTCGTAATTATTTAAACAGATGCCTGGTTTTCTTGGAGGAGCTCAAAGCATCTTTTACAAAATACTACACACACACACACACACACACAAAAAGAAAACCCATAAAAGTTGCACACATTCTTGCAGGACACATGCCAGCCTGGTGTGTGTCAATGCCTTTTTTTGTTGACAAACGCAACCCACTCGGATTCCAGGCGAAATGGCAACGCAGCCCCCACAATCTTGGGGCACAAAGCGCGCCTTGCATCAAAATGCAAACGTTTTAAGCTGATTAGCATGCTTGCTCATGTTCCCTCTGCCAGCAGAGCCGAAAAATTCGAAGGGGTGTGTTTGTGTGTGTGTGTGTGTGCACACGGGGTTTGTGTGTGTTCCAGGAGGTCAGGCCTTCAGAATGCCTTCGTGCACCAGCGATCCAGGGCCAAGTTGAATTCTACGTTTTTCGGCTTGTGTTATTGGCGATCTTTACCACCAGATTCCAGGCCTTCGTTCTTACAAACCTGGTTTGCTTTGGTTTTTGAGCCAACAAACCCAGGTTTAGGGGTCCAGGGAGATCACTGTGGATAGCCACAGGAAGAGGGGAGCGAAGAGGAATTCCCTGGACCCCAATCCTTTGGAGTGGGGGGGAGGTTTTGAGGGACCAGGATACTTTGTTAGAAGCAGAAAGAGGGACACACATCCGTGCAGGAAAATCTGGGAATTTCTATTAGAAATAAAACCACAATCTGGACAATGTTTACCGGGAAAGGAAATAAACCGACACATCATTGCGTGTCGGGTGTCAAGAAATATTTTTTTTTTTTGCTTAATCCAAGAAGTCAAGGCAGCACTTGGACTACCTGATTGGGAACTCAAAATTGGGAGAATGGCAAAACTAACTAGGTATAATATTGCATTAATTACACTATAGTATTATTATGGTATGATACGGTACACACACACACAATAGAAGGTTAACACACACTGCTCACCACTGCCTCTCCTAGTGGTCTCCCATCCTGGTGAGAGTCCAGCTCCCATACTCCTGGGGGACATCCTGAGTGCATCCAAACACTCCTTTTCCCGGCTGCTGCTCCCCAGCGCCCCCCTTTGCTCTATCAAAAATCCAGCTCCCATTCTCCCTGGGGGAGAGGCATCCCGAGCGCCTCCAAACGCTCCTGCTTTCCGGGCCGCCCAGCACTCACCTCTGGCTCTGCCCGGTGGTCTCCCATCCCTGGCGCGCGTCCAGCTCCCGTCCTCCGCCTCCGGCGGGCCTGCCTCCCGCCCCGAGGAGGGAGGCGGGCTCCTCCCGCGGCCAGGCCAGGCGAGGCGAGGCGCCGGCAGTGGGGCTCCAGGATGGCCAGCGCGGGGCTGCAGCTGACCGGCTACTTCTTGGCGCTGGCCGGCTGGGCGGCCGCCATCTGCGCCCTGGTGCTGCCCCAGTGGAAGCAGAGCTCGTACGCGGGGGACGCCATCATCACGGCCGTGGGTCTTTACGAGGGGCTGTGGATGAGCTGCGCCGCGCAAAGCACCGGGCAGGTGCAATGCAAGCTGCACGAGTCGCTGCTCTCGCTGGACGGTGCGTGCGCGCGCGCGCGCGCGCGCGTGTGTGTGGAGGCGCTTTGCACGCGCTCAGAGGCGCGCTCGCCCCGGCAGGGAACGAATTGCGCGCCCTCCACGCGCGCTGCCCAAAGCCACCCGGGGCTGGGGACGGGGCAGAGCTCTCGTTTTGCTTGGCTTCGCCGGGATGGGGCATTTCTGCTTTTTTTTTTTTTTTTTTAAACCGGATCGTGGGAAACGGAGCTCCGACACGCGTGAAACTTTTTTGGGGGGGCCACGGTGCGGGGAAATTGGGGTTTTTTTTGCTCGGCTCCGAAGGCTTCAGTCTTTCAGGCTTCCCGACCTGTTTTTTCTTTTTTCTTTTCTTTTTAACCCGGGTCGTGGGAACGGAGCTCCGAGACGCGTGAAACTTTCGCGCCTTCAAAATCTGTCTCCCACGGTGAGAATATTTGGATTTTCTGCTCAGCTCCAAAGGCTTCCCGACCTGGGTTTTTTTTTTTTTTTAATGTTTCTCTTTTTTTCCTTGAAGAATTTCGTTTCTGTTGACTTGGATCCTGCCCGGCTGGGCGAGGATGTCCCGGTGGAGGGAGCGGCGTGGAAAAGGAATGCCCCGGGTGGGAGACGGGCGTGGATCCCTGCAAGTTTTTGCCAAAATAAATCTGATGGTTTCGGAGAGGTTTGGGGGTTTCCATCCAGGAGGGAAAAAAATTCTCTGGTCTTCTTACTCTTTTGGATAAATTTGGGATTTTTTTCCAATTAAACCCCCAGGCGTGGCTCTCTTTAAGAACCCAACATTCCCCAGGATAATCCTTGGAAAATTGGATTGAGGAGGGATGTGCCTTAGCTGTTCATTTTTATTTTATTTCTTTAGCAAACTTCTCGTCGCCTGGGCATGTGACCATTATTCACACTTAACGACCATCGCAGCATCACCCACGGTCACGTGATCCGAATTCAGACGCTTGGCAACTGACTCGTGTTTACGACGGTTTTGCGGCATCCACGGGTCACGTGATGCCCCCTTTTATGACCTCCTGACCAGCAAAGCCAATGGGGGAAGCCTGATTCGCTTATCGACCGCGGGGCTAACTTAACAAGTGCAGTGATTCACTTAACAACAAGGGAGGTCATAAAACGGGGCAAAGCTGGCTTAATAGCTGTCTTGCTTGGAAGCGACGGAAATTTTGGGGGTCCCTTGTGGTCGTAAGTGAAGGACTACCTGTATTGACTGCCTGTTCCGGCCCCCCTGGCACGTTCTCACTGCTTTTCCACTCTGCCCGTGACCCAACGTTGCCTTGCCTTGCAGTTCACATCCAGACATCTCGTGCCCTGATGGTGGTCTCCATTCTCCTGGGCTTTGTGGGGACGGTTGTCAGCGTGACCGGCATGAAGTGTACCAAAGTGGGAGACCAGAATCCCGTGGCTAAAAGCTGGATTGCCGTCTTGGGAGGCGTCCTTTTCCTCTTGGCTGGTAAGGGAAAATTTGGAAGCATTTTGTTTTAAAAAACAAAAAAACAACACCTCGCCTGAAAATTAATTAATTGGAGGAAGAAATAAGGGCAGGAAACGAAAAAGACACAGAGAGAAAGAGGCTGGAAAAAAGGAAGGAAAGGAAAGGGGAAGGAACAGGGAAGGAAGGAGAAAGAGGAAGGGAAGGGAAGGAAAAGAAAGAGGGGAGGAAAGGAAAGGAAGTGGGGGAAGGGGGGGAGGAAGGACAGGAAAAAGCATTGTCTGTTGATCTCAGGTTTTAGCCTCTGCTGGTCAAGGGCCAAAATAAAGATATTATGGAATTCTTGTAAGGAGGGAGGGACCTACATCCACATTCTGGTCAGGGGTGGGGGTGAAATAGGGAACAAAATTCCTCTTGTGGGAGTGTTTGAAGGAATTGTGCTGCTGGATGGAAAGAGAAGAGAGAAGGAGGGAGGGAGGGAAGGAAGGAAAGAGAGAAAGGAAAGAAGAAGGAGGGAGGGAGGAGAGAAAGGAGAGAAGGAGGGAGGGAGGGAAGGAAGGAAGGAGAGAAAAGGATGGGAGGAAAGAAGGAAGGAGAAAAAGGAGAGAAAAGGAAGGGAGGGAGAAAGGGAGGAAGGAAGGAAGGAAGGAAGGAAGGATTCCCCCCCCACACACACTTTTATCTTTTTCTCTTGCAGGGCTGTGTACAGCCGGGGCCGTTTCGTGGTATGCCTCACGCGTGACCTACGATTTCTTCAACCCCGGCACCCCCCTGAACGCCAAGTGAGTAGAGGCGCCATTTTGGGCCTCCGTCTGGATTCTTTTCTAACTCATTTCTAACCCGTTTCCTAATTCGGAATTTCAGTGCCCCGAGTTTGTTTCTTTTTCTTTCTTTTTTAAAATAACATGGCCATGAATTAGCTTTCTCCGAAGTCAAAACAGGCCATCCAGTTCGCAGGATAACAAACCAGCATTGGTGGGATCCCGGTTAGAACCTGATTCTGTTCTTAACGAAGCCGGTTTCTTCCAGGTACGAATTCGGACCCGCTCTGTTTGTGGGCTGGGCGGCCGCCAGTTTGCTGATCCTGGGGGGCAGTTTCCTCTCTTGCTCCTGCCCCAAACCGGAGGAAAGGCGGGAGCAGCAGTATTACCGCCAGTCGCAACCTTCGGCAGCCACGACAACGAGAGAGTACGTCTAAGCCCCCCCTTGCTTGGATCTCTTCCCACGTGACCCGGCGGGGACACCTTCCCGGAGGAGGCTGGACACGTAGAACATGTGTGCCATTCTCAATTTGGAAGGAGGGCGGGTCAGACTAGATGGCCTCTGGGTGATCTTCCCCTTCTACAAGTCTCAGGGTTGCTTTTCCTACAGGAAGGTGGGGGTGGGTGGGCTTCCCAATTCACGGCTGGGAAAGCACTGGGCCTCTCCCCATTTTTCCCCCAGCTTTGCAAAACATGGCAGTGTGGGTGTGCACAAACACACACAAACACACAAACACAGCTTTCCTTGCATTTATAGTTTGGCAACTAACAGCCCTCTTTTTTTCCCTTTCTTTCTGTTTCCCCCCCCTTTTCCCCCCTTTTTTCAGGCCCCCCATCAAAAGGGGCAACCAGTGCGTATAACACCTTCCGATGTGTGAAGCCCAAGAAGGCGGTAGTAAAGATCTTAAAATAATTTTAAACTTAAAATTAGTTTTCCAACATTCAGGGTGTCTTTTTTTGTGGGGGGGGGCAGAAGCGAAAGGCAGAAAAGGAAACTGCCGTTTTTGTTAGAATAAAACCGCTTTTTAACTTTTATGTGTGTGCGTGCCCCATTTGATGAGATCATGTTCTACTTTTTTTAAAAAATAAATAAGTCAATAAATTCTTGTATTCGGTCGCTTTGTATTGTAAGATGGTCTTCTTAAAACATTTCCATTGGCAACTCTTAAAAGATCTATTCTGACTGATTGATTGGTTGATTGATTGATTGATTGATTGATTGATTGATTGATTGAAATGGTCTAGGGTCTCCTACTTGAGCTGGGGGTTGGACTAGAAGACCTCCAGGGTCCCTCCCAGCTCTATTCTGATTGATTGATTGATTGATTGATTGATTGATTGATTGAAATGGTCTAGGGTCTCCTAGAGCTGGGGTTGGACTAGAAGACCTCTGAGGTCCCTTCCAGCTCTGTTAGTCTGCAGTCTCTTATTCAGTAGCGGAGATTCCTGAAAATCCGCCAGGCTGCTCTTCAAACTTCTTCTTCAATCCAACCTCTTTTTTAAAAAAAAAATTTGGAGAAATGGGGGGGGGACCAGGGCACTTACAGGAAACCCTCATTAATCTAATTTTTCTGCACAAACTGAAGCTGCAAAGAAACAGCTGGAGGGGAAGGCTGCAAAGTTTGTTCTCCTGGGGTTTTCGGCATCCAGCTGGGATTTTGCTGGATTCCTCGAGACTTTCCTCTCTAAAAGAAAAAAAAAAAAAAACCTGCAAGAGTGAAGCTCAAACTTCTCGTTTTGGCACTCACAAAGCCTTATTGTGCATCGCAACAACATGCTGTGATATTTTTAACGGGAAGAAGAGTGGAAATATTTTCAATCCGCCAATGAATAACATTTGGAGATTGCTTTACACCCTCTTGCAAAGATACAGCTAGTATCTAGTTCTTTCAACAGTTTGTTTGGTGACCGTTCCATTTACGCCCATTTCTCACACTTATGACCATTGCAGCATTCCCCAGGGTCACATGATCAAAAGTTACTTTCGAGTTACTCTGCTCAGTCCCGTCGTATCTTTGGTCACTAAAGGAACTGGCGTAAGTCAAGGACCTGTACGGATTGAGCTTCTGTCCTTTTTCATTATAATTTTTAAGAAAATTGCTTATTTTAAAAAAAAATAGATTTGCAGCCCGCCACGCAGTCGCTCTTCAAAATCTTCCATTTCCCGTATAAGAGGTGCCCCTGTTGTTATTCTTTTGAGACAAATTAATTGGAATGATTAATAGCCCAGCACACACACACCCCTCGTGCCTTCAAAAACACGATGGATGGAGTAACCACCAAGTTGATTTTTCCCATGCCAAGTTTTTGAAGATGTCAGCATCCACCTGGGTGCTTCCTGACCCATAAGCATTTTAATTGCGAGGAAGCCAATCAGCCCTTAAATCCCAAAGCCGGACAGACATAAAAAGCAACATTTAACCCCCCGATTCGAGTCATTTCGATCACGAGAGCGGGCAGCCTTAAATGAAAAGACCACTTTGATTTCAGAAATAAATTCCAAAGGCTGGCTTTTCATCTGGTTTCCCTGGCCCAAATCTTTACCCCTAATTCCTAAAAATATCAGATTGATTTACCCCAAAAATTGGGGGCATGGGGTCCAGATAGCCTATCTTTTTACAAACCAGAACAGGTTCCTGGACCGCCCATCCATTGTCAAGGTAAGTCTTTTACTTGTTTTTCAGCACAAATTCTTTCTTTCTTGTTTCTTTGTGTTTTTGCTCAGCCATAGAAAAAGGAAGGAAGGAAGGAAGGAAGGAAGGAAGGAAGGAAGGAAGGAAGGAAGGAAGGAAGGAAGGAAGGAAAAAGGAACAAGGATAGTAGGATATGGAGAGGGGAAGGACATGAAGAGGGGAAGGAAGGAAGGAAGGAAGGAAGGAAGGAAGGAAGGAAGGAAGGAGAAAGGAACAAGGATAGTAGGATATGGAGAGGGGAAGGACATGAAGAGGGGAAGGGAGGAAGGAAGGAAGGAAGGAAGGAAGGAAGGAAGGAAGGAAGGAAGGAAGGAAGGAAGGAAAAACATGCCAGCAAAAAAAGAAAAAGAATAAAATGGCAGGAAAGAAAGAAAGAAAGAAAGAAAGAAAGAAAGAAAGAAAGAAAAAGAAAGAAAGAAAGAAAGAAAGAAAGAAAAAGAGAGAAAGAACTTTGAACCTGCTGACTGTATCATGATAATGACTTAAACACAATGGACAGGCTTACCAATGCTCAAAATAAATAATTATACTCCTTGGTGGAGAGCGGGTTACACTGAAAGACCTCCCGCTTTTTAAAATTGATCATCCAACAACGTTGGCAATGCTCTTCTATTAATATCGCTATGGGCAGGGGGTTGGACTAGAAGACCTCCAAGGTCCCTTCCATCCCTCTTCTCCTGTTACAGCTTTATTTTGCTTTCTTCCAGTTCTGCCAAAATGGCGGCCGCTTTGCAGCTGGCGTGCTTCTTCGTGGCTCTGCTTTCCACCGTCTTCCTGGGGGCAGCGACCTGGTCCGACTGCTGGATCGTGAATGCCGATGATAGCTTGGAGGTCAGTGTTAGAAAAACGCCAACGGTGTTTAGGTGTGTCTGTGTGTCTTTGCGTGTGTGTTTGTGTGTGTGTACCTAAAATCTGTTTTTCCCTTCTCTATCTTCTCTTCCTTCTTCCTCTGAAAAAGTCCCATAGGGTCTGGATGTTGGCAAACTTGAGTCACGAGTAACTTTGGGGAAGCCCGTCGTATCTTCCGACGGACGTAATTCAAGGACTACCTGTAAGTTAAGCCAATCGCCTTTCTTTTCTTAGGTGAGCCACAAATGCCAAGGACTCTGGCGGAAATGCGTCACGAACCTGCAGGACGGCATTAAGACCTGCGATCAGTTTGATTCCATTTTAGCAGAACACCCCAGTAAGTGGTTTAACGCAACACACAAAATTCTTCGGTCCATTCAGAACAATGCGGTCGACAAAACCACAACAACGATTTTTTCGGCAATTCAGCCAAACATTTTCTCCCTGGATGACCTCCAAGATCCCTTCCAGCTCTATTCTGATTGACTGATTGATTGAAGTGATCTAGAGTTTCCTGCTTGAGAAGGGGGTTGGACTGGATGACCTCCAAGGTCCCTTCCAGCCCTGTTATTTCTGTTAACTTGACCATTTTGCTTCCTGGCAGTGAAAATTGTGGTGACGAGAGCTTTGTTGATCACTGCTGACCTGCTTTCGGGCTGCGCTTTGGTGCTCCTGGTGGGAGGTCTGGACTGCATCAAAATCTTCCAGGGGGAGCCACAGATAAAACAGAAGATGCATTCGGTGGCTGGATTGGCACTCGGGACCGGAGGTAAGCATACACCGTGCTTCTTATACAGCTGGCCCTTGTTTTACCGCCACGACGGAGCCCAAACTTTCTGTTGCTAAGGGAGATTAATAACAATGGTCGTTTTTCTTGACGTACCTGCCCAGGTGCGCTGGGGCTGGTGGGCTCCCTCTGCTACGCCGTCAACGCCTACCTGGAGAGGGTTGCCCACGTGCCTCACAACGTCTTTCTGGATGTCCACCAGGACTTTGGGTGGTCTTGCTGGCTGGGATTGATTGGCTCAGTGGGAAATTTGGTGGCCTGCCTTATCCTGTCGTGCTGCCTTCATTGTTCCTATACAGGTCAGTGAAATGGGTACATAGACATTGTTCCTGCATTCTATTCTATTCTATTCTATTCTATTCTATTCTATTCTATTCTATTCCATTCCATTCATTATTTCTATTCCTATTCTATTTCATTATTTACTTCTATTCTATTCTATTCTATTCTATTCTATGCTATTCTATTCTTCTATTCTTACCAGCCCAGATGTTGCCTTTGCATCCCATAGCAATCTGACTTTTGCTTCCTGGTCGTTAAACAGGAGCTGACCTGGGCAGGAAGACTGGAGGCGCCCCCCCAACTTTGCAGAGATCAACTTCCAAAATGTACGCCGTCGCTTCCCGGGTCTGATGTACGAGTCGGCGTTCGGAGATCCCGTCTCTCGCATCCCAGCTTTTAGGGAGGGCAACGGGAGATGCTTTAAAAGAGAAAATTGTTCCAGTCTCTCTGTCTATTCTAAGGTTGGGGGGGGGAGGAACCCGCAGCAGTTTGCCTATATTGAACCCTGCAGGGTAGTTCTCAATTTACGACTGCAATGGAGCCCAATATTTCTGTTGCTAAGCGAAACACATCTCTGTATTGGACCCGGTCTGCTGTGAAGGATGGAAGCACCAAGCACTGATAGCTAAAGGAGAAATCTGTCTTAGGTTTCTGGAATGTCAGCGGACTGAAAGAAAAATAAAAATGAATTGGAAATCTGTTGCTTAGTTTCCTAAGGAGATTTTACTGGTTGGAAACCGGAAGAGGGGAAAGTGCAAAGGATGAAAAGATCAGTGGGTCTAAATTTGCACATTGTACCTGACTCTCCTGGATGCAGGTATTATTTCCCAGATTTTATTTTATTTTACTTTATTTTTTTATTTTTATTTTATATTTTTTCATTTCATTATTTTATTATAATTTTTATTTTATTTATTTTATTTTTTAATTATTTTTATTTTATTTATTATTTTATTATTTTATTTTATATTTTTTCATTTCATTATTTTATTATAATTTTTATTTTATTTTATTTATTTTCTAATTATTATTATTTATTTCATTTCATTTTATTTTATTTATTTTATTATTTTATTATTTTATTTTATTTTATATTTTTCCATTTTATTATTTTATTATAATTTTTATTTTATTTTATTTATTTTTTATTATTACTATTGTATTTTGTTTTTTTTATTTTATTTATTTCATTTTGTTGTTGTTATTATTTTATTTTATTGTGGCAGTGAGTTCCACAGGGTGACAATGCTGCCCAGCCTCCTTTCCCAGCCAAAGCTGGACATCTCCCCTTAGCCTGGCAAAAAGAACATATTTTTATTTATTTCATAGATCACATTCGGATCCCCCCCCCATCAGCTAAAAGCAGAGAGCTGAGCTTTCCTGCCGTCCTGTTCCTTTAAGAAGAGGAGGGGGGAGAGAAAGTGGGTGGGTGTCTGCGGAACTGGGGGGGGAGAGCAGAGGAGGGCGGAGGCTGGTGACATCACCTCCCAGCCTGAACCCCCAGCTTTCCTTATGGGGAGGGGGCGGATGAGATGAGCAGGGGAGCTGGACCCCTGATCTTTCCAGGCTGAGCTGCAGGAATCCAGTTCCCGTCTCCCAAGGATGCTCCTTCATCCCTCGTGATCCAGGTGAGATCTCCCCACATCTGGTACCCAACCGCCTCTCCTCCAGGCCCTGCAGAGGATCCAGGAGCCAAGCCTCCACCCGTCTGTCCGTCCAGAGGCTGCATCTCCTCCATCCCCTTGGCTGGTGGGGGGGGGGGAGACAAGGAGAGACGGGGGGGGGTTCCCGTATCCAGACCCTCACCTTCCTAAATGGGCCATGATTTCCCTCAATCCCCTTTCCCCCCCACCACCAATTAAAACTGCTTGTTAAGGCGAGGGAGATGCCCTGCATTTGCTCCCCTGTGCTGATTTTTTTCCCCAAGTTTCTAGTCCTCTTGATTTTAGATTTCTGAGCAGAGGGAAGCTTTCCCCATTGCTCAGTGGCAAGCCATCGAGCATAGACTAATAGAGTTGGAAAGGACTTTGGAGGTCTTCTAGTCCAACCCCCTGCTCAGGCAGGAGACCCTATCCCATTTTAGACAATTTCTGGTGGCAAGCCGTTCCACAGGTCAATTGTCTGCACTTCCAGGAAATTCCTCCTTATTTCTAAATTGCTTCTCTCCTTGATTAGTTTCCATCCTTTGCTTCTTGTCCTGCCTTCAGGGGCTTTGTAGAATAAGCCAGAAAATGTTTCATTATGTCACTGCATGCTCCGCCTAAATTTAAACTATCCCTTTTCCTTGGGCTCCATCGACCGGCTTCCCAAATCAAAATATTTTGCTTTAGGGTTGGGAGATGGCAGATGGTTCTGTGAAAGTAGCCCTCCCCGCGCTTAGAAATCTAGCATGTCAGGGAGATGAGCTTAACTTTCCGGCCCAAATTTGAAGACTGGTCTCAAATCCCTTATGGGAGCGCAGGGATTCGAGACTGCTAACACGTTGTACCCCTCCTTACTTTGGGCCCAGCCAGGTCATCCCCTACAGGTAAACGCACAATGTCTGCTCCTTGCAGCAAGTCCAACATGAGCGGTCCGACGGTCCTCACGAGTCCGTCCGGCGAATTGCTCTTCCCTACCGTCTCTTCTCCGGATCTCTGGAGGACTCAAGTGGTGAATTATTCCGGCTGCGTCCCCCGGCACATCAGCCATCGGGCTAACAACTTCAAAAGGCATCCGAAGCGGAGGAAACTGGTCGGACCCTCCCCGCCTCCTCCTCCCAACACCCCCTGCCCGAAGGACTGGGCCCCCTTCGTAGGGATCGACCAGGAGAGATCTTTCTTGAAACTGCTCTTCAACGGGTTCATCTTGTTCGGGATCGAGTTCAGCTACGCCATGGAGACGGCCTTCGTCACGCCGGCCCTGCTGCAGATGGGCCTTCCCGATCAGCTGTACGGGATGGTGTGGTTTATCAGTCCGATCCTGGGTGAGGCAGTTAAAATCGGGGACGGGGGTCTGGAAAGTCCAAAATGCCGTGGGTTTTTTCCCGCGTAGGACCGTTAGATCCACCTCTCGGCTCTCGTCAGGAGAGCCTTGGGAAGAAGAGCTGTTAGGAAGAAAGCAACCAGCAACTACGCTCCGGGAAAAGAGTGAGAGTGAGAAGGAGAATCTAGATTAAGCCATCTTGATGCTCTTTGACGTGAGAAGTGGCGAACTGGGCTGGTTTTTCAAGATTCTATCTGATAGAAGAGAATATTTGCAGCATAGGGTTGAATTGTGGGGCCCTTGGTGCTGTCTAAGCATGGTGGTTTTCTTGCAGACGTTTCATGACCTGACTAGGTAACCTCATCAGTGCTGGGAGAGAGTGGAGTTTGCAGAGAGGAGGAGGAGGAGGAAAAGGAAGAGGAGGAGGAGAACAACTGTGGGGTCCTTGGTGCTCTCTGAGCAGACATTTTCTTGCAGACGTTACACGACCCAGTTAGGGAACGTCATCAGTGCTAGGAGTCGCTTTGTATGGAGGAAGAGGAGGAGGAGGCGGAGGACTGTGGTGCTCCCCGAGCTTGTGTTCTTGCAGACGTTTTATTACCCAGCTTGGTAACATCATCAGTGCCAGAAGGGGGTGGGATCTGCTGTTTATATACTAGTGGCTTGTCCTGGCAGTGTTGGTGTGAGTATAAATAACAGCCTAATCAAGGAAGAATCAAGAACACGTCTACTAACACGGACAGCCAAGTCCCTTGACCCCAATTTCCTTTGTTATCTTAGGTTTCTTGCTGCAGCCCTTATTGGGGGCTTGGAGTGACCGTTGCACCTCCCCGATGGGTCGGAGAAGACCCTTCATCCTTGTCCTGGCAATCGGTAATTGGGGAGGGGGGGACTCCTTGCACTCAGAAAGCTATATCCCATTTAAGAAAGTCTGAGTTAAAATACTGACATGCTACCTTTCTACTTGCGGGGAGGTGCGATTGGCTTACTGCTTTTAGCTGGTTTGGAGACGTGCTCCTTCCTGTCATCTATGCTGGGACACTGTGCAGGGAAGATGTCGCTTAATTGTCACCTTGTCACCTAATTTTGATCCTTATTTGCGGAAGAAAAAATGTTTCTGTATTTATAGCAGATTTAAGCCTTGGGCAGATCAAAGGGTCCTTCTGGGGAAGGGGTTTTAAGGGATGAAGGGGAATGCCGTGCACTTTTCCATGATGGGCGCCCTGCTTGGAGTTATTTGCTTCCCTGGGTTGTGTGAATCCACCCAGGGAGCGTGGGTAAACTGACATCTGGAAGAAAAGAGAGGTAGAGGAAAGAGAGGAGCGATGTCAGAGGAGAGAAGCCAACAGCTAGCCTTCCTAGAGAGATCACAATGATATCACAATGATGTCACAGCGATCAAGACATCATTTGACCTGAGTTGTGACATCAGCTGCCTATCCATTTTCAGTCTGATTCTGGTTACCACTTGCATAACAAACCCTGATGAATTAACCCCTGGTGCAACATAACAAGCTTTGCAGAAATGGGTGGTTGTGGGAATGGGGGTGTTATGGCCCGTTGCCTGCGTGATTGTACGGTTCTTCCTGCTTTGCAGGGGCGTTGGTGGGACTCTCCCTGATGCTGAATGGCAGGGATATCGGCGCTGCCATCTCCGACACAGGCAATAATCACAAATGGGGCATCGCCCTGACCATCTGCGGGGTCATCTTGATGGATTTCTGTGCTGACTCTGCTGACAACCCCAGCCATGCCTACATGATTGACGTCTGTCGCCCGGCGGATCAAGACCGGGCGCTCAACATCCATGCTCTTTTAGCTGGTGAGTTCCCCATAACGCCTGGTTCTTGAGTCGTTGCTAGATGTTTCCCAACAGTCGTAAAGCCAAACCCACTGGGCAGACTCAGTTTCTCAAATTCAGAGCCTTCTCTGGACCCTTTTTAACAGGAATTGTAGTCCAGCAGCTCCAAGAACAACAACAGCCACAGTCATGTCATGCTTTGATTTAAGGCAAAAGAATCAGGCACCATTTTGCAGCTCTTTAAAGTAGCTGCCTCCATTTGTTTTATTACTCTTCGAAGTAGCTGCATCCATTTATTTGCAATTCTTTAAACTGAAAGAGTTTGTGACTCTTTAAAGTAGCTGCATCCATTTGCTTTAAAGAGCTGCATCCATCTGTTGGGAACTGCTCAAAGCAGCTGCCTCTTTTCCCTTTACTGGAAAAAGGATCTGCCTCTTTCTAAGGATCCAGAAAGAAAACTGACCCGGACTTTGGTTCCTTCCTCGCAGGACTCGGCGGTGGCTTTGGCTACGTCGTCGGAGGGATTAACTGGAATGGCACCACCTTCGGGAAGGCCGTGGGGGGACAGCTGCGCGTCATCTACATCTTTACATCAATCACCCTGGTGCTGGCCACCATCTTAACTTTGGTCAGCATCCCCGAACAGCCCTTGCCGTCTTTCGGCAAGCAGAAGAAGATCATGAAGAGCCCCAGCTTGACGCTCCCCCCCTCTCCCCCGCTGCTGTTCGAGGAGTGTCCCCCCGACAGCTCTGCGGGGTCCCAAAACCCGGTCCACGTGTATGCCAACTTTAGCAGTCCCATGTCTCCCCTCAGCCCACTGACTCCGCGGTACGGGAGCCTGATCAGCTGGGACAGCTCTCTGACAGGGCTGAATGATTTCGCTTCCTCCTTCGGCACCTCAAATATTGACAGCGTCCTCATTGACTGCTTCACCAGTGGGACTGACGCCTACTTGTCCATCCCGGGAAGCTTACCAGGGCAGGGGGTCAGGATCAGCCTGCCCAGAGCTCAAGAGGAGTTCAATTGCCCTGAAAATGCTGCGCTGGAGAGCCGGGAAAATGGCAGAGAAGGACCGAGGGTGGGGTCCTTGGACGCTATCAAACCCCATTCGTCGGGGATCCTGAAACGGCCGCAGACTTTGGCCATCCCGGATATCATCACCGGGAACCTTCCAGAAAGCTCTCGGCGAAGGAATGTCACATTCAGCCAACAGGTGAGCCTTGCTTGAGCCTCATTTGGGGGCACACTGCATTGTGGTTTGTGAGCTTCCCGTGCGCCCCTTTTGACTGATCCAGCACCGGTTTTTGGATGCAGGTAGCAAATATTTTGCTGAATGGGGTGAAGTACGAGAGCGAGTTGAACGGCTCGAACGAAGTCTTCGAACAGCCCCTGTCGATAAAGCTTTTGTGTTCCACCGTTTGTCACATGCCAAAAGTCCTTCGCAACCTTTGCATCAACCACTTCCTAGGTAAAAGAAAAAAGGAAAAGTTTATTTCCAACATTGGTTTGATTTTTTTTTTCCCATCTAGGACGGAGTTTCTCAACTTCCGCCACTTTAAGAGGCGAAATTCTGGGAGTTGAAGTCCTCGCCTCTTAAAGTGGCAGAGGTTGAGAAACACAGCTCTAAGAGGTCAAAGAGATCTCTGTGATTCTTTTTCCTTCTCACCTGCTTAACCTCACAACAGCCAGGAGAGGTAGGCCAACCGGTAGGTTAAGCTAAGTCCTAAAGTGGTTTGGTGGATGTGGGTTGGCCCTGGGTGCCGATCCAAGTATTGGGGCTGGTAAATCCTGGTTTGTTGTGTGCCTGGGGGGGGGGGGAAGCATAGCTCATCAAGGTCTGGAAGGATTCTCATTTGAAAAACGTAGCTTGGGGGAAACCATCTTTTCTATCCATCTCTGGTGACCTGTTTCTCCCGATGTGTTTCTTGTTATCTGATCCCGCTCTCAGGCTGGCTGTCGTTTGAAGGGATGCTGCTGTTCTACACCGACTTCATGGGAGAGGTGGTCTACCTGGGGAACCCCAAAGCCCCCCCGGATTCAGATGCGCGCCAGAGGTACAATGCCGGCGTCACCATGGGATGCTGGGGCATGTGCATTTATGCGTTCAGCGCGGCCCTGTATTCAGGTAATTGGTGGGATTTTTAATTCTGGTTATGGTGGAAAGTTCCTATGGTTATTTTTTCCTCCTTCTTTCCTTCCTTCCTTTGTTTTTTTTATCTTCCTTCCTTTCTTCCATTTTTTATTCCTTCCTTCCCTCCATCTCTCTCCTTCCTTTCTTGTCTTTCCTTCCTTCATCTCTCCTTCCTTCTTTTATCTTTTTCATTCCTTCCTTCCCTCCTTCCTTCCTTCATCTCTTCCTTCTTTTGTCTCTCTCCTTCCTTCATCTTTTTCCTCCCTCCCTCCCTCCTCTCCTTCCTTAAAAAAAAGCATGGATAATCAAATCAAATGCACAATGAAAACGTCAGCGATAGGTTTGTTCCGGATAATTTATTTGCAAGTAACACATTTGCAGTTTGCAGTTTCCCAGTTGAATGAGCTGGGTTATGTACACTGAGGCCGTGAATGGACTTTCCTTCGTTTTGCAGCCTCCCTTGAGAAATTGGAAGAATATTTCAGCATCCGCACGCTGTATTTTATAGCATATTTAGTTTTTGGCCTCGGCACCGGTCTGGCTACCTTGACCCGGAATATCTACGTGATCCTGACGCTTTGCGTCACCTACGGAGTGCTGTTTTCCACCCTCTGCACGCTCCCTTATTCCTTGCTGTGTGACTACTATCAAAGTAAACAGGTATTGCAACTGCTAAAATTCCTCGGTCGTAGGGCCTCTGGGCATGCACAGAGGGCCCAACTCTTTCAGAGGGGAGTCGCTTCGAAAAGAACGCTCTAAGCGTTTAGAAGTTGTGTAGAAATGAGTTAACTTTTTGCTCTATGACAGCGTTTCTCAAGCTTGGAGAGGGCTGGGCTTCCACCCCCAGAATTCTGGGATTATTATGGCCGGTGGGGAATTCTGGGAATTGAAGTCCACCCCTCTTCAAGCAGGCAAGAATGAGGAACACTGCTCTATAATTACAGCAGGCATTTTTTTTCTCTATAATTATTATTATTGCCATGCAGTTATCCAAGGCACGGAGCTAGGAAGTTCGGCAACCTTTTAAACTTTTTAATCTTCTTTTTTTCCCCCTCTCTCTTTCGTCCTTCGCGAAACAGTTTGTCGGCACCAGCAAAGACGGGACGAAGCGAGGCATGGGGGTGGACATCTCCCTCCTCAGCTGTCAGTACTTCCTGGCCCAGATTCTAGTCTCCATCGTCATGGGTCCTTTAACGGCAGCGGTGGGCAGTGCCAACGGAGTGATGTACTTCGCCAGTGTGGTCTCTTTCATGGGCTGCCTGTATTCCTCGCTCTGCGTCTTTTACGAAATCCCCCCAGGGGAGGAACTGACTGACGAACAGCAACCGCTGATGCTGAGCATATGAAGGAGGGCAAAAATAATTAAAAAAAAAATTAGCAATTCAGGGCCCGTGTGCCATGCTCCCCCCCCTTTTTTTTGTGGGGGTGGGAAGGATAATCACAGATGCATATCTAATTAAAAAAAAAATATCCAAGATGGCTGCTGTCTTCTTTCCACCCCTTTTTTTTGGTTAGAATATCAAAATGTCAAAGGTGGTAGGGGTCTCAAGAGATCATCTAGCCTGACCCACTGCTCTGGATCGCAAGGAAGAGCTTGCACGGAGCGGCTGCTCCCTTTATTGACTCCGGAAATAGGAGGGCAAAATTCCTGATTCATACCGGAACATGCTGCCAGAGGGAATTCTGGGAGCGGAAGTCTTTAAAGCAGGCAGGCTGGGGAATTCTGGGAGGTAAAGTCTGGAAACGCTGGCTGGGGGATCCTGGGAGTTGAAGTGCACCCATCTCCAAAGTTGCGGAAGTAGAGAAACGCTAATTTAGAGGAAAATAATAATAATTATGCACTATCTCTTTCTCCGCAAGGAGAACCATTCACATAATAACAGCATTGCAAAAAAAAAACAAAAACGCATGCCCAAATCAACTCAAATTAAATCAAATCAAATCTAACCTTTGTTATAGTTATAACCAGCTTAACGCACGCCTTAAATTTAAAATAAAGTCTAAAATGATGAATGGCGAAGAAGCCCCGCCCTTCCTGATGCCTTCTCTTAATTGTTTCAAGTTCTAACCAATCAGCTTTCGTGTTTCATTCTGCCGGCCAGTAAAGATCCCTTTCGTTTTCCCGAAAGAAAGAGCCTCGCACCAATGAGGAGCCAGGAGGGGGGCGTGGCCTCGCCAGCTTCTGCTCAATTGTCTATATCTGACTCAGTTGCTGCCGTTATTCTGAAGGGTGAGTAATTTCCTTTTTTTTAATTTATTTTTTTAGTGCATGGGGTGATCCTGTCGGGAAAACAACACGGAAAGCAGAAGGAATTTCTTGCAAATGCCAAGGAATAATTTTTGCAAAAAGAACAACAGGCTTTGTGGTCCTGGTTGGTCTATATAGGAAACAGAGATGGGTGATCCTGGTTTGTCGAGGAAAGGGCTTGGATCTTGGAAGGGACGTCTCTTTTTTTTAAAGGGGCCCTTTTAAAAAAAACAAAACAGATCCTTTTGCCTAAGGCTGGACTAGAACTCAGCGTCTCCTGGTGATTGGCCCAACGGCACCCAGCTGGCTGTCAGGGCTAAGCAGGACTTGAACTCAGGATCCCCTGGTTTCTAGCCTGTTGTCTTAATCCCACACAAGGAGTGGATGATGGTTCTAAAGGATTCCTTAACCCATTCTTTCATTGATCAGGTCTGTCGGAATGTCTCGTCAAATCACCGCCTTGGTTATTGGCGCAGGAAACCGAGGGCAGAATTATTCTTTCTATGCTTTATATTACCCGGATCGCATGAAGGTAAAATCCTGGTGGTGAATAATATAATTATTACTTAATATTTCTTTTTCTTCTGAGCAGACATTTATTTCATTCAGACAGATCCGGCAACATCCCCGAACAGTGGACATGTTCAGTCAAACCTTTCAAAAACGTCTTTAAAAGCACATGTGTATATTTTGTATGTCATTTAAAAACAGGATTACAGGTTTTAATGTTTAATATGTTAGCTATGACCTGGATGACTGAGAATCTCCATAGACGTATTTTAATATTATTCCTCCAAATGTGACAAAATAAAACAGATACAAGAAGTTTCCTCCCTCCCTTCTTTCCTTCCTTCCTTCCTTCCTTCCTTCCTTCCTTCCTTCCTTCCTTCCTTCCTTCCTTCCTTTCCTTCCTTCCCTCCCTCCCTCCCTCCTTCCCTCCCTTTCAGTTCTTCCTACCTACCTACCTACCTTCTGTCATGTATCTTATCTATCTCAGAATCATAGAATCCTAGGGGACATTGGAGGTCATCTAGTCCAACCCCTCGCTCAAGCAGCTGTGTGTATTTTTTTTTTTTTTGAAGAGTTGGTCCTTGATTTACAACCGGTTAGGACCAGAAGTGAGTCACAGGCTATTTGGACAGATGTTCCTAGCCTGCAGACAGACAGGCTTTCTAAAATGGTGCTTGATTTCTCTTCGTTGCAGGTGATTGGCGTGGCTGATCCTCGAGAGATTGTCCGTAAAAAGCTACAAGACGCGCACAAGATCCCAGCGGAAAATGTCTTTGACGGTTGGGACCTGCTGGATTTTAATCTTCCTTTTCCTCCAAATAATCCCTCTCACCCCCGTTGCAAAAACCCCTGAATCCTTTTAAGATATTTTTTTTAATTCCATTTAAAAAAAAAACAAATTCAAAAAAAATATTTAAAAAAATCACAAAAATTAAAATTATTTAAAGGAGCCAATTTTGGGGGAAGTTTGCCCTGAGCACAGGGGTTGACTTAGATGACCTCTAATGCCCCCCTTCCGATTTTCTGGTCATAGGAATCCCCCAGTTTGCTGTGCATCTCTTCTGCTGCAGACTAAATATTATTAGCGTCCCCTTTTATCCCTTGAACACAAACAGCTTTTCTTTTTTGAAGACTGGATTGCCGCTGCGGAGCGGGAAAAATTTGCCGACGCTGTGATTATCACAACTCCGGACAGACTCCATAAGGTGGTCTCGCTTCTGTTAATTTTTTTGTTGTTGTTGTTTAATTGTCATTTTTCTGCATTGCACTTTGCAGGGGGTTTTGTGTCACTGGGAGCATGCCAGCCACCAGAAACTGAAAATAAAAAATCGCCTAGAGAGAAAAAAAAGATTTTTGAAGCCGTGCAACCTTTTTTTTTATATGCTTAACTTTGCTTTTTTATGTATTTATTTAATGGTCCTCCTCTGTGTTTGATGGTGTTTTTCGCTCCGTTCATACTTTGCAGTTGTGCTTCCTTTGTGAAATTTATTTGAAGCTCATCTTATTATTTTTATTATTATTCCTTTCCGTCAGGCACCTGCAGTAGCTTTTGCACAAAAAGGATATCACATCTTGTTAGAAAAACCCATGGCGGTAAGTTCTGGCAAGGTGTTATTAATTACTAACGTTAACAAAAAAATACTTTGGGGCTTATTAAAATATTTTATTATTTTTATGTAACAATTTTATTATTTATTTTATTTTTTAAAAATGCTTTGCTTATGAATTAGGTGACAGCAGAAGATTGCAAAGAGATTGTTCGGGCCTGTGAGAGGAATCACGTTATCCTTGCCGTGTGCCACGTGCTCCGTTACCATCCAGTCACCCTGAAGATCAAGGTGATGTATTCTTAAGCACCCAACCGGGGAAATGGGGTTGGACTAGATGACCTCTCTTGTCTCGACAGTATGATGTCTCTCTTTCCAACGGCAGATTTGGCTGGTGATGTTAAAACAAAGATAAGAGGGAACAGCATCTGAATTTGTTTTTTTTTCCCCCCAATCAAACGTTCGCTCCCAAAAGCCTCAAGTAATGATGTTCTAATGATGGCTAGTTCACAAACCCCATATCCCACAAATAATAATAATAAAGACAGGAAAAAAATGAAACCAAGTTTTTCTCTATTTTTTTTTTTTTTTTTTAGGAATTGCTAGATGCTGGCTTGATTGGCGACATCTGCCATATTCAACATCTGGGACCCGTAAGAATTCTAAGATGATGTACTTTATGGAAAAAACATGTCCTTCGCTCCCGTTGTGTCGCCTTCTCATGTTTAATTTTTTTTTAAATACATTTTTTTTCCAGTTTTGAGATTTTATGCTCCTTAAGCCCCCCCCCCCAAGTTCCACTTTCAGATTAATCACTCTTAACCACTAGGCAGCGTTACCTAACTGGTTTTATTCTGGTTGGGAACTCATCACATATAAATTGCCCCATAGCTTTTGATCTTCTATATAGGTAATCCTTCACTTATGACCCAAAATTAAGGGCAAAATGTCTGTTGATAAGCAGGACAGTTGTTGAATGAGTTTTTCATTTGTTGACAAACTGGATGACGGTCATCGAAATGCCTGTTTTTTTTAAATTTCAGCCTTTTTAGGGTATCAATTGCCTTTTCCCCCCTCCCTCCCTTTTATTCATCTAGATAGGTTTCTGGCATTTTGCCCATTCCTTTGTCCGGGGCAATTGGAGAAACGAAAGCGAAAGTTCTTTCTCTTTATTGGCTAAATCCTGCCACGATATCGACCTGATCAATTTTTGGATGGGGAATAAAAGGTAGGAATGTTTTAACGTCACTTCCTCCCTTTTTCTCCAATTTGTTTAGTGACCGATGGCATGGAAAAACCCCTGAGTTTACAGCCATTTTTCACCCTTAGTGACCGTGGAAGCCTCCCCCGTGGTCACGTGATGAAAATTCAGACGCTGGGCACAACTGACTTCTATTTATGTCCCGGGGGTCACAAGATTTCCTTTTGTGATCTTCTGACGAGTAAACTCCACGGAGAAGCCACGGGTGATTAACTTAGCCTCTGCCATCATTCCCTTAAGAACTGTGGCTGCAAAGGTCGTAAAACAAGGCAAAACTCAAGAAATGTCTCACGTAGTAACAGAAATTGTAGTCGTTAGGTAGAGGACTGCCTGTCTTCTTGGACACAGCCTCTGTGGTTAAACCTTCAAGTATTCTGTTTTTTCTCCTATCCTTTCAGATGTTTACAAGTTTCCTCTTTCGGACGCCTCTTGCATTTCACAAAAGAGAACAAGGTTTGTCGCTATATCTGGTTTGATGGGGTTGGCACAGGAGCAGGACTGTCATAAAACGAGGACTACCCGCATAGTTCATTAAATTTGCCTTTTATTTTGATTTCATTTCAGCCCAAAGGAGCTAGCACTCGCTGCTTAGACTGTTCGGTTGAATCAAATTGTGCCTATTCTGCTCGGAAGATCTACCTGGAGCGTGCAGAAAAGGTACACTGGATCATAACATATAGAACAGAAAAGAGAATATAGAATAGACTAGAATAGAATGTAGAACAGAATACAGAATAGAATAGAATAATGAATAGAAATAATAAAGAGAAGCTGGAAGGGACCTTGGAGGTCTTCTAGTCCAGCCCCCTGCTCAAGCAGGAGAACCTATACCATTTAATTGAATTTTTAATTGGATTGAAAATTTAATTGAATTACCAGGATGTTGGGTTCTGGGGCTGAATGCAATGTGTAAATTCAGCATGCAGCCTTTAAAAAAAAAAATCCAGATCTTTAATGTCGACTGGGAAATGGGACCCCAGAAATCTTCAAAAATCTCCCCTAATCTTGCAGCAGTGTTAATTCCTTTCACCCCAGGGTGCTTTTAACTGGCCGGTTTCAGTGGTCTGCAGCAACGGGGGGTCTGATATAGAAACACTGACCGAAGCCTTGCGGCTTGGCCCATACGGAAGATGCATTTACGATTGTGACAACGACGTCGTCAGCCACCAGGTACGCACTTGCATTTGTCTGTCGTTTTTTTACGGAGCAACAGAGTCCTTGAGCTTAATTTTATGTTTTTTTCAGGTGGTCAATATGGAATTTGAAGGCGGGGCGACGGCTGCGTTCACCATGGTGGCTTTTACGGAAAAACTGGGGGAGCGAACCACCACCATCTATGGAACCAAGGTTAAGAGCTGAAATGCCTATTTGGGGCATTTGAAAAATGGACGTGGAAATGGGAATATTTCTCCCGAATCCAAGATTGCACTGAATCTTGGTTTGTTTTAAGCATGGTGGAATGTGTAAACCACAATTGGCTGGGGTGTTCCCACTCGTAAAGCCGGAAGTGTGACTAATAGGCAAAAGTGACTAGTTCAGGTATGATCGGGGTGCCCAATCTGGGTGACTTTTAAGGCCTGTGGACTTCAACTCCCAGAATTCCTCAGTCAGCTGAGCTGGGAATTGAAGTCCACCAATCAAGTCAAAAAGAATAAGAGATATTGTTGTAAACCTTCACAACTAGTAGTTAATCATTGCCGTGGGGAAGGATGGCAATGCAACCCAGATAAATCCTGTTTATCACCTCTGCCTTTCAGTCTGGCCTACCTTATAGGGCTGTTGTGCCAGGAATAGAAATTTTCTTTTTTTTTTTTTTCAGTGAAAAACTTCCTTTTAACTTTCCATGGAGTTTCCTGAACTTACAACCCAGTGATTTATTTTCCCTTTCTCCCCTGCCTTCCCCAGTGTGGTTTTGCAATTTGAAAAATATAATTTATTTTCTCTGCTCCTCATTTTTTTCCCCCAGGGCGAGCTTTCCTGCAAAGGGGGAGAAGAGATAGAGATTTTTGACTTCCTTCAGAAAAAAAGAACTTCGTTTTTTCCCCGTTTGACGCCTGGCATCCCGGCTTGTTTAGACGGTCACTGCGGCGCGGATTATTATTTGATCCACAGCTTCGTCTCAGCCGTATCGGTTAAGTGGTTTTGTTTTTTCCCCCTTTTATTAAAAAAACAACACAGTAAAACTCAAGACTGCAGTGCTCCATGCAGGTTCTACTAACTAGGATGAAGTAGTTTTCCCCAACGTGGCCGTTTCAGATTACAAAATCCCATCATTTTATTTTGATTTGTTAAATTTGTTCGCCACAAGGTGACCCATCCTTAGCCAGCACAGGCAGTCCTCGACCTATATCCGCAATCGTGTCCAACATTTCTGTTGTTAAGCGAGACCCTTAAGCGAGTTTTCCCCCATTTTACGACTTTTGGGGATGCTGTGGATGCTGGGATGGTTGTTAAGTATGAAATATGATTGTTCCAGTACTGTTGCAATTTTAGTCCCTAAATGAACTGTTGTAAGTTGAGGACTAGGTACATAGCACGAGATGGGATTCCCTGAAACCCTTTCCTTCCTTTTCCAACAGGAAAATGATCCGTCTCGCATAACGACAAGCGCCGAAGAGACGCTCCGTTCTCACCTCTTGGTGTTTGCAGCCGAGAAAGCCCGAAGGGAAAACCAGGTGGTGGTGATAGAAACAGGATCCGAAAACTCACACCCACAGCCAGCCGATGCGCACGACAAATGACTACAAAACCCCTGCCGGGCTGGCTCAAAACCCCAACTCTTCCCCTCAAAGCTTCTGAAGTGACTTTCTCTGTGACTACTGCGCCTATCGTCCACTCACCAAGGAAGACCCCAAGACGGGCTGCTGCCGTCTCAAAACGTCCCTATTTCAGAAAAAACATTTTTCTGTTCTTCATGCTAGATTTCTGACTGCGGGAAAATGCATTTCCTTTCCCCCCCCCCCGAAAAAGACAGCTACATTTCTGCTTGCAGTTACCGTACGCCTTATTGAAAACTGCAGAAAATTAACATTTATTTATAAATCGGCTAAAACTGCCAAAGCTCGTCCCCACGGCTTGGAACCGTCTCCTGGCGTTTGAACCCAAAGCTCAGTGGGTTTTCGTTTGAATTTGGGATTGAATCGCGCAAACTAGGCTAGGAAGCCCCGAGTTCCAGGTCGCGCGGACTCTGCCCTGCGCACTCCTAGGCAGGCTGTTTGGTGCACGCGCTTCTTTTGAAAGAACGGGAGCCATCTTTGCTTCAAACGGGCGAGAATTCGGGGCGAGGTTGCGTAGTGGCAAGCCACAATGCCGTGTGGCTAAAAAAATGAAAAAAATAAAATAAAATCGACATTATCCTTTCAGTCTCCAACGGGGTGTGAGGTTTTTTTTTTTCTCGCTCCATTGATCAGTTTTGCTGATGTTCCCGCTTTTCCTCCAAATCTTCCTCTTCTCCTTTTTCAGCTGCCTTTGCTGCCTCTTGGGCTTTTTTCTTCCTTAACCGCTCAGCGTTTGTGATGGACATCGGATGCAGGGGGAAAAAGCCAGAAAGACCTAAACATTTAAAAATATGTATATTTAAAGAAATGCATCACTCCATGCGTTGAGCATCATTTGCAAATGCAACAGGAAAAATATCGAGCACACAGGGAGCCCAGGAGTTATTGTAGCCATACCGGGAATTTTGCCATTGAGGGAGGCCTTGCACGACCGCACTCAACTTTACAGCCATTTTTGCTGCAGTCGTTAAACGAGACATCACACGGCTTGCAACATCTTTGTAAGCCACTCGGAATCACTACAATGGTCCAGGGTCTCCTGCTTGAGCAGGGGGCTGGACTAGAAGACCTCCAAAGTCCCTTCCAGCTCTATTTTGATTGACTGATTGAGTGAAATGGTCATGTGACTAACTTATCAGCTGCAGTGATTCACTTAACAACTGATTCACTTAACGACCGATCCCCTTTTGTGTGACCTTCTGACAAGCAATGTCAATGGGGAAGCCAGGTTCAATTAATAAGTGGGTTACTAGCATATCAGCTGCAGGGATCCACTTAACACCGGTGGCCAGGAAGGTGTTAACAAATGTCTCGCTTAACAACAGAACTTTCGGGCTCCATTGCAGTCGTTAAGTCGAGGGCGACCTGTGATCCAAACCAAAGGGGTGCATTTACCCATCAGTTTTTCCACTGGCTTGGTCAGGGTGGCTCCGTAAGCAAACCAGTGTTTGAAGCGGTCGAAGTTGATCCCCACGATCTTCTCGCCGTAGCGATTGGGCAGAGGGTCGTAGCAGCCGATCTGCTCCAGATACTTGCCATCCCGGGCACGCCGGTTGTGTGCGGCTACGATCCGGTAGAAAGGCCGGTTGGTGCAACCGCCGAGGGATAGCCGGATGACCACCCGGACACTGCGATACGTCTTCAGCAGGGGGCGTCCTGTTGGGAGGAAATTGGGGGCAGATACCCTCAGTCAGGAATCGAGTTAGATCTCGGCTTACAACAGTTCATTTAGCAACTGTTTGAACTTAGAACGGCAACAATGACCATGGTTCAGCCTGTGTTCTCTCCCTCTTCCGTTTCCTGCTATAACCGCTGTGTGTTGGAGCCCGCTGTATGGGCATGGAGATATATAAAGCATTCTGTAATGCCACTTACCTAGTTGAACCATGATGTCCTTTTCCAGCAGAGAAAGAGGGAGAAAAATCAGGGTAACGGAGTCCGGATGGCTGCTGGGAAAGAGCAGAGGGATAAAAAAAAAAAAAAAACCAAGTTTTTGCAAAATGGTATTTTTATTTAAAACCAGAAAAGAAAGAGGCTCCAGGGAAGCCGAGAGGCGATTCACACAACCAATGTTTCTCAACCTGGGCAACTTTAAGCTGGGTGGATTTCAACTCCCTGAATGCTGGCTGGGGAATTCTGGGTGTTGTAGTCCACCCAGCTTGAAAGTTGAAAAACTGAATCAACCCTACAAATATAAAAACAAAGTTGGTTCTTGACTTACGACAGTTTGTTTAGGGACTGTTCAAAGTTACAAAAGCACTGAAAAAAAGTAACTTCTTGCACCCAGGTTGCAAAGCAGCGAGCTGCACCTGTTGAATTTCTGCAGCATTGCAAGGAGCGTTGCAAGAGGGAAAGCGGGGCCACTCTCTTTTTCCAAGGCGCTGATTCAACGGGAGAAGTCCCCCCCCCCCCGCATGCTGTGCAACAGTGGCAGCTTCTTGCAAAAGGCAGCCCGCAATTCAACCGATGCAATTGATCCAAGTATTATTATTATTATGGTCCGAGATGAATAAGCTGCACCTGGTGACTCTCCGCCTTACCTGCAAAGGCCGGACTCCCAGCCGTGATCCCGGACCCAGTGGCCCGGAAAGAGAGATCCTCCGATCCCCGGGAGCTTCCCAACCAAAATCCACGCCGATGCAGCGCAAGCCTCAAGCGCATGCGCGCAGCCCCGGGAATCCGGGCCGCCCAATCAGATGGCGCCTTCGGAGGTGCCCTTTCTCGTCCGCTTATCCTCGACCACGCATGCGCCCCTCTGTCGCGGAGAAGACGTAATCGCGCCGCGCGCCGATTTCCCCCGCCGCGTTGCTAAGCAACTCTGTTAGCCTACCTGAATGGAGGCCCGAGAGCCTTTGAGCCTAGTTGGTGCGTTATTACACAATTGTGAATTACCACGACAGGCGGTTTATTCACAAGAGTATATTAAGCATTATTGTATGTGTTTATTTTCGGGCGGGTAAGCCGGTTTCCTTCAACCTGCTGGCTTTTGCAAATGGCGAACTACCATCCCCATAAGCCCCAGCCTGGCAAATCTAAGGATTAGCCCCCACTCAAGCCTCCAGAAAGGAAGAGTTCAGCCTGGCTACTAATCCTGCATTTTGACTCCTCTATTTCTATTACTATATTATTATTTTATATAATATGTGAATTATATATATATTTGATATATGTATGTTATATATTATATACATATAGGAGTATTAGGGATGTTTGCTGATATCTCTGTCCATCCATCCATTATCTATCTATCTATCTATCTATCTATCTATCTATCTATCTATCTATCTATCTATCTATCTATCTATCTCCATCCATATATCTATATCTATCCATCCATCTATCTATCCAATCTACCTACTTACTTATTTATCCCTCCCTCTATCCTTAAATTGTAGTCATTTCTTTGCAAGAAATGAAATAAATACAGCCAGAAAGATAATCTACTCTTTATTTCACCTCTTAAGATCAGGTCATGGGTAAAAAAAAAAAAAATCTATTTATTCGCCTAGGAGTTGACAACAACTTGATGGTGCACAATAATTTTTAAAAACTTGATTTTTTTTTTATTTCTAGGGCTTTTTAGATGGAAGAGAGAACGAGGTTTCTGCAATCATGGAGAAAAACCCTACCTTAATGAGGAAGGGGATAAATGAGCTGCGGAAGACGAGTTCCCCACAGCAGACCCTTTTGTGGAATCGTCCCGTCAGTGAGAAAATCCACCCCAGTAAAGCATTTCATGCGGTCAAGCTTTATTATGAGAAACAGGTAGGCAATGCCTCCTGCTTGGTTTGCAAAAGGGCCATTAGTTGTATTAATATTTGGAAAAGTATTAATACCGGTAGTCCTTGACTTATGGCCTCAATGGAGCCCAAAGTTTCTGTTAATAAGCGAGACAGCTGTTAAGTGAGGGGTGCCCCATTTTACGCGCTTTCTTGCCGCCGTGCTTAAGTGAATCACTGGAGTTGTTGAATTAGTAACAAGGTTGTTAAGTCAATCCAGCTCCCCTCCTTGACTTTTCTTGTCAGAAGGTCACCAAAGGGGATCACATGACCCCGGGACACTGCGACTCTCAGAAATAGGAACCAGTTGCCAAGTGAGATGCTACAACGGTCATAAGTGAAAAACGGTCCTAAGTTACTTTTTTCAGTGTCGTTCTAACTTTGAACAGTCACTAAACAAACTTGTACGCCGAGGACCTGTTTGCTCAGTTAACGCCATTTCCTAGGTCTTCCTGCTGCTCCGAATCCTAAAATCACAATCTGCGTAGTGTAAATCCCGTAGCTTAATTGAAGCAGCGACTTCCAAGTGTCTCCAAAATCTCCTTTGGTCTCCAAAATAATATCCAGAATCAGAATAACAGAGCTGGAAGGGACCTTGGAGGTCTTCTAGTCCATTCCCCTGCTCAAGCAGGAGATCCTATATACCATTCCAGATAAGGGGCTATCCAATCTCTCTTCTTAAAAACCTCCAGTCATGGAGCACCCACAACTTCTGGTGGCAAGCCGTTCCACTGGTTAATTGTCCTCACTGTCAGGGAATTTCTCTTTAATTCCAGGTTGCTTCTCTCCTTGATTAGTTTCCATCTGTTGTTTCTCATCCTGGTGCTTTGGAGAATAACGTGACCCCCCTCTTCTTTATGGCAGCCCCTCACATACTGGAAGACTGCCATCATGTTCCCCCTAGTCCTTTTCACTAGAAAAGAAAACTCTCCAGGGTCTTTCCAGTCTCCAGCTCGTCCTTTGGTTAAAGTTGGAGAAACCTCCAGCTTACCAATAAGCGGAGGGAGTTGAGTCTTCACTTTTTCTCCCCTCCCAGGCCCAGGAGCAAAGGAAGATTTCCAGCGTATCCAGTGATTTTTCCGACTCAGCGGTGCTTCAGAGCTGCTTCCTGAAACGGCCAGGATGTCCTCAGTATTGCCACCAGGCCACCTCAGCCTCCCTCGGTAAAACTCATCATCCGCTTGTCACTTGCTTGGCCTCCATGATGCCCACCCCCGGCTTGGCGGGCAGTCAGCGAAATCGCACAGCAAAAGGGGTCCTTGACTTACGATCCCAAATTTCCTTTTGCTAGGCGAGACCGTTGTGAAAATGCATTTTGCCCCTTTCCTCACCACTCAGTGAATCGCTCCAGCGGTTAAGTTAAGAACCGGTTGTTAATCGAATCTGATGTTTGCTTGTCAGAAGGGAAATCATGTCTCTCTCTCTGTCTCTCTCTCTCTCACACACACACACACGCACGCACACACACCGGGACGCTATGATCATCATAAATACGAGGCAGTTGCCTAGCGTCTGAATTTCGTACGTGTAAAAAAAAAAAAGGTCCTGCGTCACTTATTAAAGTGTTGTCACTAAACGAAGTGTTGTAATTCGAGGACTACATGTACGCTTTTCGTGCTAATGCAAACCGTACTTTAGTGCAATGTGAACCCGCAGTTTTCAAGCTTAATGCTAGAATTACATAGAATCTTGGGGCTGGGAGGGACCGTGGAGGTCTTCTAGTCCAACCCCCGGCCCAAGGCAGTTAATACCATCCCAGACGTGAAAGAGTCAGAACTGAATTCTCTCTCCTTGCTGTCCCCACCCCACCCCACCCCATTCTTCTCCCCAGCAGAGAGCAGCACTTTGAAGTATGGGGATCTCCCATCCAACCTCAGCACCATGAGTCTGACTTCCCAGATCTCCTTGGAAGACTGGAATTCCCTTATCCAAAATCCCGAAGTCTGGGACTCGAGAAGTCGCATCAGATGTAAGTTTCTTTGTCTGGCTCCAGTCCCCAGGTTTTCTTCCCAGAACCTTCCCAAAACCAGGAGAGATTTATAGCATTAAAGCAGCCTCGGTCCTTCCCATGGGGAATAATACGCTGTGCTTCTGTTGACTCATTCATCTTTTATCACACTTTTTTCACACGAAGAGAATCCTCTATATTATTTCAATATTTTTTTTTAGCCCTAAAGGGAGAAAACACTTTTTCTAGTTTTGATATTTTACTAACTTTAACAAATACTCAAATGTTATACATAAAGGGGATTTTAAAAAAACTCCTTCATTTTAAACCCAGAACACAAAACTACATTAGCACTTTCATTCAATTATATCACGCCACTATAAGTCCTCCTCCTCTGCGCAAACTCCACTCCCTTCTAGCATTGATGATGTTACCTAGTTGGGCCATGAAATGTCTGTAAGAAAGCCACCAAGCTCAGAGAGCATCAAGGACCCCACTGTCGTGTTCCTCTCCTCCTCTTCCTCATCCTCTCCACAACCCCCACTCCCTTCTAACACTGATGATGTTACCTAGTAGGTTCATGAAATGTCTGCAAGAAAACCACCCAGCTCAGAGAGCACCAAGGATCCCACAATCCTCCTCCTCCTCCTCCTCCTCCTCCTCCTCCTCCTCCTCCTCCTCCTCTCCATAATCCCCATTCCCTTCTAGCACTGATGATGTTACCTAGTTGGGTCATGAAACGTCTGCAAGGAAGCGACCCAACTCACTGAGCATCACAGTTCAACCCCAGAGTTACAAATCTTTTCTTCTATAGGCCGGCCTCTGTTTCCTCCCCCTAACCAAAAGGGGGCACCCCACAACTCTTTGGGGCAGCCTGCCCTCTTCGGGTTGGCTTTGAGTGACGATTCTCTCTCTCTTTCCGCCTTCCCAGTTTGTCACTCTTTATCCTCGGAAGTCGTGCTGCCCAAGTGGAAGAGCTTTACCGAAGGCATCGTCCCCCCCGGCAACGTTAAAACCCGCTCCGGGAATAGGATGCCGTGGTACATCCCTGTGCTTCATGAGAAGGTGAGGATTTGAACCTGGCAGCCAAACGGATGGAATGACTTTCCCCGGAGAGGTTTCGGGAGAAGATCGGAAGAGAGAGCCGTGTTCGCCCACGGAAGGCCCAAAATCGGGAATCGCCTGGCTCCTTTTCCGACTGGCAAAGTTTATTAAAATCAAGGAAAAAAATTTTTTAAGACAAACATCTTGCGGGGCAACTCCTAACCGGCCGCCAGCACAGGCAGTCCTCGGTTTACAACAGTGTTTCCCAAACTTGACAATTTTAAGGCATGAGGACTTCAACTTCCAGAATTCCACAGGGAGTTGAAGTCCACATGCCTTAAAATTGTCAAGTTTGGGAAACACTGGTTTACAACAGTCCATTTAGTGAAGGGAGCAATTTGCCGGGAACAGGCTGGGATTGTTCCCCTTCCGAGTCCCGTGGAGATCTAACAGTGGGAAATCTGGACGGGGGGTGGGTGGGGGGTATTTAAGATTAAGCAGGAATTTTGGTTCCCTTCCAGGATGCGAGTCTGAACAAGATGGGAGAGGAATTGGCCCGCCTCGCTCCTTACGAAGCCGAGTGCACACGGAAGGATGGCGTCATCGCGGTTCTGCGGGAAGAGGTCGAGGCAATGCAGAAACAGCTGGAGCAGCTGCAAAAATGGCAGGCCATGTTTTTAGGGAGCACTTCGGTTGAGGTAGCCGCCCTCTCTTTCTTTGCTTCTTTATCTCGCGCCTGGATAGCTGCCAGGACCTGTTTGCTTTTGGGGGGTTTTTTCCCCCCTCCAAGCCACCAAGTTTTCTTTAGCGAGATTTGTGAATGGCAACAGCAATAGGCTTATACGCCACTTCCCAGCCCTCTCTAAATGGTGGTTTGCTTTCCAAAATCTTCTTTTCCTCAAGGCTGCAGAATGGGGCTTCAGCCAGCTGCTGGGCACCAGCTCCTCGTTCCAGCCGGGATGGAAGAGCACTCCCTCCCTCCGTCTGGATCTGTCGGAGGAATCCAGCCAGGAGTTTGAGCGGCTGAAAGCGTTGCTGAGCCAATCGGAGCAGAAGCTGGACTCAAAAGCCTTGATCCTGAAGAAGGAGCTCTTGAAAGACCAGGAGGAGCTGGAACACATGGAGAAGGAGGTAAGGACGCAAACAAGGTGGTGGGGGTGTTGCCGAGAGGGATGGGAAGCGATCAGGAGAAGTGCATGGACGGGATAACAATACAAACAAGAATGGCAACAAATAAATAACAACACAACCACAGTCGCGACGGTGACGGTTCTCTTCCGTTTCCCCGCTTCTTGCCTGGGTGGAAAAAGAGCCTGGTGGAGCTGGAGGACGACAATCTTTCGAGCAGCGATTCGAAAGTGGGGGAAGGCGGATCGAGCGACCGGGAGGAATCGGAGAACACCTTGATCCTCTACAAGCTGTTGGAGTTCCAGAAAGTGAACGAACTCCTGTACGAAGAGCTGCAGAAAGCGCGGAACGAGTACGAGCTGGCCACAGGTACCTCTAGAAAGCTCGAGAACCTGGAGTGGAAAAAATCTCGAGAACCCGGGGGCAGCTCTGGTGTTTCCCTTCGATACAGGGAGTTGGGGAGGGAGAGCTGGTGGGAAATGTTATTTTTTATTTATTGATTGATTGATTAATAGAATAATAGACCTAACAGAGGGACTTTGGCCCAACCCTCTGCTCAAGCAGGAGATCCTCTATCTTTCCGGGCAAATGGCTGTCCTGTCTCTTCTTAAAAACCTCCAGTGGTGGAGCACCCACCACTTTTGGTGGCAAGCCGTTCCCCTGGTTAATTGTCCTCACCGCCAGGAAATTTCTCCTTAAGAGTCCGCTGGGGGAATAAAAGGAGAAGAAGGGAAGCATGGGTGGAAAAATGTGGGTGAGTGGGCTTCACCGGCTGCCGTCCCCTTGCTTCTCCAGGTGCGATTTCATCCCTGCAGAGACAGTTGTCTTTTGAGGAGTCCCAACTCCGGAAAGCTCACGTGGATCAAGAGTCGTTGCAGAAGGAACTCCGGGAACGAGGCGAACAGCTGGAGGCCATGTCTAATAAGGTTGGTCGGTGGGCTTGGGCTGCAGGAGGCCGAGATCCGTGTGTCGAGAATGAAACTTCGGCAGCTACATGCCTCTTGGTTTCTTCCTGCCATTAGAGTTGGGTGGGAGGTGTTGCTTTAAAGTTGTTTAGATGGAGAAATGAAACTTTGTCGATTCTGCTGAAGAAGAGCCTGAGTCACTTCCAAGGACACTGAAGCAAGTGTGGGAGAAAAGCAGCCGGTTCCCATAACAGAGGGAAATTGTTTAGTGACTAGATAAAAGGAGAGAGAAGGATCATATCCGAGCGGCTTTCTTTTTTGTTTTTGTGATTAAATATATATATATATATATATATTTGTTATCCAAATACAAAATACAAAAATATCTTTTATTTTTCTCGGTAAGTCTTGACGCTCTCTTTCTGTTGACGCAGCCTAAGACTGCGTTGGCTTTTTGGGCAGCTGCTGACTAGGTTTTTTTAGATGGAAGACGCCGCAGGACTCTTGTTTTTTTATACATTCCTTTTTTAAAAACAAAAAACCCTGTTCATTGGAAATCCCCAGTGTGGGAACTTTCCCCCCAAATTCTGCCTTTCCTTCTTAGTTTTGCAACTTGCGGGAGGAGAGGAAACACAAGGAAATGATGGGGTCCATCGAGAAAGATAATTGCGAACTTCGACAGGTAAGGGAACCCCCCCCCCTCCTTGGATATCTACCTGTGGATTTCTGCTCTTGGTTAGAGCCGATCAACTGTTCCTATTCCTATTTTAGGTGTGCCCTGAAAAAGACCCAGAATTGACTGCCCTTTTTTCCTTTCCCTCCTTCTTCCACCGGTCGCAGGAGGTGAACAGACTGGAAGCCCAGCTGGCGGACCGTGACCAGACCATCCAGTCTTTGCAAAGCAACGTCCAGCAGCTTCAGTCAGAGTTACTGGTGAACCAGCAGCGCAGCGGGAAGCAGCTGAGCAGCCAGAACGAACTCGAGAAGCAGCTGGAGATTTTGCAACGGGCGGAACAGCAGACCAGAGTCACTCTGGAGAGCGTCAGCGCCCGGGTAAGAGCGGCCCCGGAGGCTGTAGGAGGCAGCTTCGTAGGACGTCCCTTTCTCCGTTAACCCTTCCTTCTCTCTCTCTCTCTCTCTCTCTCTCTCTGTCTTTTCTTCGAAAGTTTGAAAGATTCCGCAGCAAAATTATCCAAGCCGCTTACAGCACGCCGGGCACCAAGTCTCCACAGGCTGAAATCACCGACGAGGAGATTTTAGAGGCCTTGCAGGTAAGATGGTGGAAAGGCGGTGGTGGCTGTGGGGGGGGGGACAGACCCATGGCACTCCCCTCCCCGCTCTTCCTGACGGACGCCCCTGTCTTTCAGAAAATCATAACCGATCGTCTCGACTTCCACCAAATGTTGAAGCAGAAAGGGGTAAAAGTCCCATCGCTCAGCTCCGAGCCTGCCCCGCCGACGACTCACAAGAAAAAAGCCGGAGGAAAATAAGAAATCCCACCCCCGCTTTAAAAAAAAAAATCTCTTGAATTTCTTATTCTGCTCCTGAGCTGTTCCTTTTCCAGTCTCCAATTAAACGACGGCACTCATGATTTTCCCCCCCCTCCTTTCCTTGACAGTGAAAATAAGCAGGTGGGCGGCCGATGGAGATCGCTCAAAATTTGTCCCCTCGTTTGACCCAGGAAATCTGGCCCAATGCCGGCTTGAAGCTGACCAATGTAATCATTGCCCGCCAAAGTTGGTCAAACGAGGGGCTTGGGTGAAATCTGATCGCCATTTCCACCCCATCAACCCTCGCGAAGTTGTTGGAAGTCATAACGTCTTGACGACGGAGTCTTAGCGTAGGTAAAACACCTGGCCAGACTACAGTCCTTCGATTCTGAATTCTATCGTGATTAATTTTTTCAATTCCAAATTTAAATCTCTTCATTAAACTAGACATATTCAATTCCAGCAACCGTTCCTTATATGCTTTAGCCTCCAGTCCCCTGATCATCTTTGCTGCTCTTCTCTGCACTCTTTCCAGAGTCTCAACGTCTTTTTTACATCGTGGTGACCAAAACTGGATGCAGTTATGCCAGATGTGGCCTTACCAAGGCCTTGTAAAATGGTATTAACACTTCACCTGATCTTGATTCTATCCCTCTGTTCACACAGCCTAGAATTGTGTTGGGTTTTTTTGGCAGCTGCAACACACGGCTGGCTCCTATTTAAGGGATTGCATTTAAGGTTGAATTGTCTTTTTTAAAAAATGGAGTTGATGATGAAAATTTTGCCCAGCTACATGGGAAAGTCTGTCACGCGCTATGTTGCTTACACATATTTAAAACCATCTTTTGCATCCTCCCAGCCGAGGAGTCTAGCAAAGCTTCTTTTTTATTTATGTTAAAGCCACAACTTTACTGTGGCTTTAAATTATTTCAAATTTTGGGTTTGTGTGTGTATGTGTGTGTGTGCTAAAGATCACCTTGGGCTTCTTGACTGGTGGATATTTTGCCAAAGCAAGGCAGCCAGGAATGTTTTCCTTCTTGTTCTGCCCATGTCCTGAAACTCTTCAATTCGGAAAGATGCAAGGATTCAACTCCGTCGGAGGAACTCTAGCCATCCAGGTCTCTCCGACCAGCATCTCCTTGGATTTTCCCACGACGCCCCTCGGAGGCGATAAACGGGTTAGAATCCAGAACTGGAACTTTCAGAACGATTTGAAATGAAACAGACCTTTGTCGTCCTTGAATCCTGACTCCCGATCCTTGCCTAGTTCCGACGGGACACAGATGGACGTGCTGCTGACCCCTCGCTTGCATTCATAGGCCGAAGGATGAGAGGTTTGCAGGAAAAAGGCAAACCACGATAAAAAAAAATGCAGACTACTTTCCTGCCTTCTCCAATCCTCTTCATCGTCCTCTCCACCCTGCAGGGTAAAAGTCTGATTAACGGTGAGTCACTTCGACAAACTTAAGAATCTGTCTCCGTGACTATTTTTAATTTCCTCTGTTATTTCTCCCTCTTCCCCCCCCTCTTTTTAAACATGCTGGACTCTAATTTTCCCTTCAAAGGGCTTGTTAAAAATAACGCAGCTGCCTTGGACTACTTATAAATCAATAAAGGCAGGGTAATAAAAAAAATCGAATACCTCAAGTCAGTAAAATAAATTATCATTCATTTCCAGTGCTGTCCCTCTCGTTTTGATTTAGCTTGGCCTTGTTCATGCTCTGGTCCTAATTTGATGTGGGAAAATAGAATACAGAATAACACGCATCATAAATAAACAGAACGCTTGATAAAAAGGGCATAGAGGCTAAAGTTAATTGTTAAAGTTAGTTGCAGGCTAAAACATACGAAGAATGGCTGTGGGACTTGGGTTTGGCTAGTCTAAAGAAAAGAAGAAATAGGGGAGACAGGATAGCAGCATTCCAGTATTTGAGGGGCTACCACAAAGGGGGGGTCACTTTATTCACCAAAGCACCAGAGGGGAGGACAAGAAACAAGGTTGGAAACTGACCAAAGAGAGAAGCAACCTGGAATTAAGGAGAAACTTCCCGACAGTGAGGACAATTAACCAGTGGAACAGCTTGCCACCAGAAATCGTGGGAGCTCCATCACTGGAGGTTTTTAAGAAGAGACTAGACCAGGGGTAGGCAACCTTGGCTCTTTTATGACTCGTGGACTTCAACTCCCAGAATTCCTGAGCCAGTAGCTGGCTCAGGAATTCTGGGAGTTGAAGTCCACGAGTCATAAAAGAGCCAAGGTTGCCTACCCCTGGACTAGACAATCACCTGTCTGAGATGGTGTAGGTTCTCCTGTTTGAGCAGGGGGCTGGACTAGAAGACCTCCAAGGTCCCTTCCAGCTTCTATTCTGTTCTGTTCTGTTCTGTTCTATTCTATTCTATTCTATTCTGTTAGTTAGCTAAAGTTAAAGTTTATTGTTCAGGCACGGTCTCTCGGCCCCGAAGCTGCATATTAGTGTATTCCGGATGGAGTATAGTGTTTTCTCCTCCATTGCTTCTCTGCTCCTTGCTTAGATCCATATAAATACGAATGTGTCCGCCAGAAGATGCCCTGCCACCCAAAAGCCATTTGCCAACTGGACAAACTCTCTTTAGAGTTTTATTGCCGTTGCTTGCCAGGCTACGACGGAGATGGTGTCCATCTTTGCCAAGGCAAGTCCCGCTCATGTCTTTACTTTATGGATCCTTTTAGGTGACCCCTGCAGCTCCCGGGATGGGAACTTCAACTCCCCTAATGCTCCCGGTCATAAGACTGAGGAAGACTCGTTAGTCTTTTGAGCTCTCCAGTCACGTTGAACAGTCATTAAACAAACGGTCGTAAGTCAAGGACCCGCCGTTGATTAGTAACGAACGTCTCCACAAGGCAAGGTGGAGAAAAAGGGACTGAAATACATCCGGCGTGCTGAAAATGTTCAGATTTTACTTTGCTTTTTTAAAATTATTATTATTATTAAAAAAAACCAAATTTCACCTTTCTCTCGGCTCGCAGCCCCGGCCTTCCACCTCACTGTTTCTGACGCTTCCCTTTGTGACGAGATGGGCGAGCAGGTGTGTCTCCTCCACGTGAAAGAGCCGACCGTCACTTTCCGAGTCTCCGTCTCGGCTTCCGCCACCCGCCGTCGGCCCAGCCTGGTCTGGTACAAGTTCTACACTGCGCAGAGCCCGCAGTTCCACAGGTGAAGTTGCTGCGAAAAGCCCGATTTCTTACTGGCTTAATTTGGTTAGACTTTACGGCTCTGCGGACGGCTAAAACACGGGTAAGTGCGAGAGGAGAGGACTTCCCTAAGAAGTTCTCAAGGGACAGATAGTCCTCGCCTTAACGACCGTTCATTTAGTGACCATTCGGAGTTGCCGCAGCGGCGAAAAAAGTGACTGAGGGCCGTTTTCCCACACTTAAGGCCGTTGTGTCACATGATCAAAATTCAGATGCTCGGCAATGGACTCGTACTTACGACGGTTGCAGTGTCCCAGGGTCACGTGGTCCCCTTTTGCCAGAGCAGGGGGGTTGGACTAGATGACCTGCAAGGTCCCTTCCAACTCTGTTATTCTATTCTATTCTATTCTATTCTATTCTATTCTATTATTATTATTAATTTTGGCTGTAAGTCAAGGACCACCTTATACTTCCTTTCTACAGAGCATTTTTTTCTCTTCCTTGCAGCTACCGACGGCGTTTGGGATCTTTTGAAAACAGGACCCTGAGGATAATGGTGGGCCGCCACAGCCGTGTCCTGACCCTCCTGTCGATACAGGATGACGATTTTTACCCCAACCTTTTCTGGGTGGAAGTGAGACGCCATCCCCTGATCCCCAAAACTCTGGGAATTGAAGCTTACGATTTAACCCACTTCCAAACGTTAAACCCTTCTCGACTGAGATTCTATTTTGCCCTGGAGGGAACGTCAATTGGTAAGGCTGAGTGGTGAGAAAGGCAGAGTCTTGCAGCTAGGCAGGGGGAAATCAAAAGCCCAGGTACGGAATAGGGAGCAACTAAGATGATCAAAGGCCTGGAGACCAAAACATAGGAAGAACGGCTGCAGGAATTGGGTTTAGCTAATCTAGAGAAAAGAAGGGGGGACATGATAGCAGTTTTCCAGTATTTGAGGGACTGCCATAAAGAAGAGGAGGATCAACTTATTCTCCAAAGTACCTAAAAGTAGGACAAGGAGTAATGTGTATTTATATCTATATAAATCTCTCTCTCTCTCTCTCTCTCTCTCTCTCTCTCATCTATATCTATCTATCTGTCTGTGTCTGTCTATCTATTTATCTATCTATCTATCATCTATCTCTATATCTACATATCATCTCTGTCTGTCTGTCTGTCTGTCTGTCTGTCTGTCTGTCTATCTATCTATCTATCTATCTATCTATCTATCTATCTATCTATCTATCTATCTATCATTTTCCTCTTTCATTTCTTGTCTTACCTGATTCATTTCCCCGACACGATTCCAATCCACGCAGCCGAACATTGAGACATTTCTTTGTTGCTTCTCCTCTTCCCTCCCTCCCTCACCCCCACCCCCCTTTTTTTTGGAAAAGAGGTTGGACCCTTTTTGGAAGGCGATACAGCGGTCCTGCAGTTACACAAGTACCTGCACCTCTCGCCTTCCAGCTTCGTCAAGTGGATCCAGGAACCCCGTCCACTGACCTTGCTGGATAACCAAGCCGTGGTCATCGCCGAGGACGTTGAAAAGATGGAGATCAGCGGATTAACGTAGGGTGGCTTGCTTGCTTGCTGTCTGCCTGTATGTTAAGAACTGGGTTAGCGCATTAGTCCCCTGTAGGAAAAAGAATTGCAAAGGGGCAGGGGGAAACCTACTTGCCTTCCTGAACCTAACCAGCCTCTGCAGCTGCTCTCTCTAGAACAAAAGCCATCCACGGACAGATAGAAGTAAACCACGTTTACACGCCATTTAGAAGAGGCAGCAAAAAGCTAAGAAGGCGACAAAAAAAGATCAGCGCACATCCCTCCCGGCGGCCAACACACTGGAGGGACTAGCCCCATACAAACAAACAAGCAGAACACAATAATTTGGTTTGTTTGTTTGTTTATTCATCCAATGAAGCTTTTCCCTCTCAGCATTGGCCAGTATTTGCTGTGTTTTCTTTACTGTCCATCCTGCAGGGAATCTAACTTTGGTTACATCCGAGCCCTGGTTTACGATTTTCACTCTGAGGTCCCTGGACGTGTTTTGGTGGCTGAGAGACTCTTCTTAATAAAGAAAGGTGAAGGGTCGTTCTCTGTCTCTTTTAATGAACGGACAGCGTCCATATTTAATAATAATAATAATAATAGTAGTAGTAGTAGTAGTAGTAGTAGTAGTAGTAGTAGTAGTAGTAGTAATGAGAAGAAGGAAGGAAGGAAAGAAGAGGAGGAGGAGGAGGAAGAAGAATAAGTTGGAAGGGACCTCAGAGGTCATTTAGTCCAACCCCCTGCTCAGGCAGGAAACCCTATACCATTTCAGACAAATACATTTTGTCCAATTTGACTGTAATTCTGATTTGAGGCTCCATTGCAACCGGACGTGCTTCTTTTCAGACGTCAGCAAAACCTGCCAGGGAAGCCGAGAAGAAAGGGACTGCCGTTGCAATCCGGGATTCGAAGGAAGTGGTGTGCATTGTGTCGGTAACTTTTGAGCTTTGCTTTTTGTAGCTGTGCGTGTGCGTGTGCGCGTGCCTGTCTGTTAGCATTTGCGAGAATGGAAATCTACCCCCCACCCCCAACAGTGGTTAGCGAAGTGGGTTTTGTATACGAAAAGGGTATTTTGTAACCGAAAAAGGTATTTTTTGGTATTGGAATCCGTGGATTTTGTGTCCTGCACGGAAAAGACTGGGTTTGTGTGAACTGGCCTGTCCAGTTTGTCTTCTCTGCTTTTGATTTGGGGAGTTGATGGTGACAGTCTGGAAATAAACATAAACAGAAGCTGATGCTGGCTGGTTATAAAAAGTGTAATTTTTCTTCTTTTTCTCTCCTTCCTTCCTTCCTTCCTTCCTTCCTTCCTTCCTTCCTTCCTTCCTTCCTTCCTTCCTTCCTTCCTTCCTTCCTTCTCCTTCCTTCCTTCTCCTTCCCTTTTCCCATCCCTCCCTCCCTTCCCATCCCTTCTTTTTCCCTTTCCCCTTCCCTCTTCTCCTTCCCTTCTCCTTTTTCCCCTTTCTTCCTTTCCTGCTTTCCTTATCCCTTCTCCTTCACTCCTCTTCCTCCTCCTCCTCCTTTCCTTCCAAAAGACATCAACGAGTGCCAGAGAAAAACCGCCACACCGTGCCTAGCCGAGGCCAAGTGCCTCAACACCTATGGATCGTATTCCTGCCACTGCCCGCAGGGCTTAGAAGGGGACGGCCTGCTCAGCTGTGTAGGTAGGGGAGATGCTTCCTTGCCAGAGGACGTTTCCAGGAGTTTGGGAAGCATAGCTTTCCCATACGGGCTGCGCCTTGCTGCGGAAGGGATAAAATGCTCCAGAAGAAAGCAGTGAAACTTCGGAGGCAAACTCCTCCAAAAAGAGGTTCTCACGATCCTCGGGATGGTCACCCTCTCCGTGAAGACCCCGTTCTCAAATCCCGCCCTTGAGACAATCCAGACCAGGGTTTCTCAACTTTGGGGAGAAGCCTGGAGATGGCTGTGACCTTGAACCGCTTCGCTGGCTCTGCTTGATTTCATTTCTGATTTTTTTTTCCCTTTCTCAGACATCGACGAATGTACGCGAGGCACCCACGGCTGCAACCAAGACGCGTTGTGTTTGAACACCCTGGGCTCCTACATTTGTGCCTGCCGCAGTGGCTTTGTGGGGGACGGCTTGCGCTGCACAGGTGGGACACACACCCACGTTTACACATCGGGTGTAAATTTCTGCAGGTTGGGGAAAATTTGCCCTGGAAAGGACCAAAAGCTCTAAGCATGTACCTCCTAGCAAGGTGCAATCTACACTTCATTTGGCGCTGAAAAAAGTCACCCATGAACCTTTTTCCCACTTGCAGCAGTATCCCCGTGTTCACACCATCCAAATCCACACGCTGACTCCCATGTAGGACAATAATGCTTGGAAACGGGCTCCTATTTATGACAGTCGCAAGGGTCCCGCGATCCCCTTTGGTGGCCTTTTGCCATCCGCGGGGAAGCCAGGGTTCACTTAACAACCACGGGGGATGCGTTTAAGCGCCGTGGCGGGAGAAGTTGTGAAAAAAAGCCAGGCAAAAGCCGCTTATCCGACGTCCCCTTTAGCAACGGAAACTTTGGCCAGTGGGATGATTCTTTTAGGGACTAAACACACTGCGCAAACATTTTGGCTCAATCCTTAGGGCGGGGAGAGCTTCGGAGAGGCCAGCAAAACGGGCTTGTTTTGAAAAAGAAGTCCCAAAAGAAAGAAAAAAAAGACAGATAAGAAAAGAGCTCCTGAAAGAAGCGGCAAGGTATATTTGCTCACAAAATACTGTATTTTCTCCTCTCCCACCTAGCCAAGAGCGCCTGGTCTCCGTGGTCCCCGTGGTCCCCCTGCTCCGTCACTTGTGGCTTCCAAAGCCAGATGCGCATCCGCGAGTGCGCTCACGTGGAAAGCGGGATGCGCTGCCTAGGGCCTTCGTCTGACCTCCGACTCTGCCTCGGCCTGCATCCTTGCCCTGGTAAGTCCAAATCTCACGTAACCAACGGAAAGTTTGGACCCTGTTAACGGTCGTAAGTTGAGGACTGCCTGTATGTCCTGTTTTGTCTCTGCTTCTGTCTCCCTTTTGCCTCAGCGGATGGCAGGTGGTCTGTGTGGTCCCCCTGGTCACCGTGCCTGGAGACGTGTTCGGGGGTCAAGAAACGGGTCCGGCTCTGTGACAGCCCTCGTCCTTCCAGAGGAGGCCTCCCTTGCGAAGGGGAGAAGGAGCAACTCGGATTATGCCACCTGAGCCACTGTGCCGGTATTTGATGAGGACTAGCAACCCGCAAGTCATTGGGTCATAGTTTTCAGGGATAGTTCCTTCCCGGATTCCTCCGTTCCTTCAGCAGTGAAGGAGCTTCTAATGAACTTGAAAAGTGCTTTAGAATTCAGAGATGATGATAATATAATAATGATGATGATGATGGAGTTGGAAGGGACCTTGGAGGTCTTCTAGCCTAACCCCCTTCTCAGGGAGGAAACACTATAGCATTTCAATCAATCAGTCAATCAGAACAGAACCGGAAGGGACTTCGGAGGTCTTCTAGTCCAACCCCCTGCTCCAGCAGGAGACCCTGGACCATTTCAATCAATCGATTAATCAATAAGAATAGAGCTGGAAGGGACCTCAAAGGTCTTCTAGTCCAACCCCCTGCTCAGGCAGAAAAAAATGTACCATTTCAATCAATCAATCAGAATAAGAGCTGGAAGGGACCTCGGAGGTCTTCTAGTCCAACCCCCTGCTCAGGCAGGAAACCCTATCCTATTTCAACCCCCCACCCGTGTTGTGGGATTCACAACTCCATCATTCCTCGCCACGCTGTGCAAGAGTCTGAAAGCCGACATCCGGAGACTTGCAGCTTTTTTCAAGCAACGTCTCAAGAGGTGAAACCATGGTTTGTTCTCTGCCTTAGTGGACGGAGCGTGGTCTCCCTGGGCAGCGTGGACACCCTGCCCCGTCTCCTGCGGGTTAGGAGTCGTGCGGCGGTCTCGGCAGTGCAACAAGCCATCCCCGAAACACGGAGGGAGGAACTGCAGCGGTCACAGCTATGAAGAAGGCACGTGTGGTTTTCCGGTGAGCGACACCCCCCCTACAAGTACCACTAAGACCCTCCTCCCCCGTTCTTGACCCAAACAGACTGAGAAGACCATTTGATCCACCTTCTCTGAGCTTGGAAGCTGATCCGGCTCATAATGCTTGGATGGGAGGCCACACGGTGATCTACGATTGTAGCCTAGATGGAAAAATTCAACATCCCGGAAGAAAGCGGTGGTGATCCTCAGCTGGAAGGAGATTGAGGTTGAGATGGAGAAGCGTGGCAGTTTTCCATTCCAATTTCCACTTTTAGCCCGTTCCTCCTTTTTTGTAGGGTTTTTTTTTTCTAAATTCACACATAATCACAACGCCCTTTCCTTCCCTCAAAGCGTTTTTTGCATTTTCAAAGCTCATTTTTTTCAACCCCTTAAACAGGACCTCTCTAAATCATGGGCATTTTTAGCATGACAGAAACTATTTAAAGGAAACCCAGCACGTCCAATTTCCACTGTTAAAAAATAATAAAAATTCAATTTTGCGAAACGCCCACTGATGTGAATTCACTCTCTCGGTGCTTATTTCTGGCTTTTTTTTTTCTCCCCCTAAATTTTGCTTGCAGGAAGCGCTCTGCAGATTCCTAACCAAGCCTTCTGGATCCCTCATACCTGGCAAACCGATTCGGTAAAAATGAAAGCCAGACCCCCAAAAGTAAGCATTTTGCTCAAAAAACCCCACAAATAACGTCAGAAAGAAGCCTTGCAGGAAATCACACCTGGCCTGGAGGATTACCTGGGAAGAGTCTCAAGGCATCAAAATAAAGGGTAGGTTTGCAAGCAGACCTGGGTGCAAAGAACTGCTTTGGAAGATACTGCTTTTAAAATTGCCTTTAATTAAGTGATAATCAGCTCCTGGCATTGTGGGAGGTATCATGAATAGTGGATGGATTTCGCCAAGGTTTAGATGCAATGTTTTGGAACTGCGAGAGGTTTTCCAGCAGGATGGGACCTGTAGTTGTGGGGGCAGCAATCAGAGGCTGAGAAATGGATGGTGAAGGTCTTTGGGTACCCCCACCCCAACTATGAGCAGCAAAAGATTAAAAACTGGATGAAGACTGTGATTAAAATGTAACGGCCGTTGGATCAACGCCTTCTTCCTTTTGGACGAGCGGTGCCTGTTTTTTAGTTTTATTTGCATCCCTTTTTCCAAGAGAGATGCCATTAAATTCTCCTTCCACTCCTGCATGTAGTAAGTTAGCTCCTAGATACCTTTTTTTTTAAAATGTTTGGATGAAGTAATTCCTCAGAAGACTCTTAGGCCTGCTTGATTTAAAGTTTTGAAAATAAAATAAAATAATTTGATTTGGGGCCAGCTTACCTCCACTTGGATTCTCTGGGCTGTTTTGACTACATTTACCATCCTTCATTTCCCAGTAGGGAACGATGGGCTGCGGTTGAAAACAGCGTCTCAGCCTTAGCTGCTTAAAGATGTACAGACTTCAACTGGCTAGGGAATTCTGGGAGTTTAAAGCCCAAACATATTGGCTGGGGGATTCTGGGAGTCGAAGTCCACCCGTCTTAATGTTGCTAAGGCTGCCAAATACTGCTTTTAAAACCCTTGGAAAGAAGAGCGTTAAACAGTGTTCATACAGTATTTTGGCGACAGAAGAGTCAGAGATATTTCCTTAAGGAACATGAAAAAAACAAAATAGCATGAAGAAATCCATTTACACAAAAGGGATTTCCCCCCCCCCCCTATAGAGGGGGAAAAAGCCAACATTTGAAATACATTTATTGTATTACCAAAAGGGAAAAAAACTTATAAAAATAAGATTTTTTGTTTGTTTGTTTTTTGTTCCTCAAAAAGATCATGACAGCAAAGCAAACATGTTTTGACAATTTAGGAGAAAAGGGGAACCAATTCTGTCTGTTTCGTGGCGTCCCAGTCAGATCCCCTAAACTGAGGCCAGCATTGTTGTCTGAATGATCCCAACAGGGAGAGAGAGAGAGGCAGGCAGACGTCGGCTGATTATTTGCTGTGTCCCGAGCCAGACCCCCCCTCCCAAAGCAGGGGTCTTCAGACCTGGACCCTTTTATGACTCGTGGACTTCAACTCCCAGAATCTCTCAGCCAGGCGACTAAGCCATGTCCATCTTAAAATAGCTTACACAAACCTTACAACAATGGTTAAATACAGTTATGTACAGTGTATGTTTGCTCGAGGAGATGAAAGGGTGAACCTAACTAATACAAACGTCACTTGGGGTTTCTTGACCGAGTTACAAACAGCTTTTTTTTTCCCCTCCCCACTCCACGTAGCACTGTAGAAAAACAAAACACTTTTTGGCAGTCCGTCAAGGGAAGGAATGGGGTCCGCGGAGGTTGGTACCCCTCGTTTCTAGATCCTTTACAACCAAAGGGGGGAATCGAGGAGCGATGACCCCCTTTACACTGGAGGATGCTTAAGGAACGAAACCAGGGCATCCTCTCCTCGTGGACGCAAAATGGACAGCGAGGTTTTTTTCAGGAAATTCGAATGGTAAGTTTTCACCGATTTCCGTTTTCCTTTTCTTTCCGATGAGTTGCGTTTTTTTGCGCAAAAGGCAAGACGATCTTGGCGGTGGTAGACAACGTACGGAAGTGGGCCCGCCGAAGTCCACACCACAACCTCTGCGAAATACTTTTGGTGGCTTAGGTCTCTCGGGCCAAATCTAGGGGTCCACAGGCCGTCCGTCTGCAGCAGACCACCTATTCACCCACTCACCCAATGGTGGGATTCAGCCGGTTCGCACCACTTCGGCAGAACCGGTCGCTAATTTTTGGTTGCCCAGGCCCAGAATGGACTCCCGGAAGCGGCATCCACGGAGACAACCGGTTGTTCACCTATTTGAATCCCACCACTGCACTCGCCCCACCCCCAGCCCTTCAGTTGATTTCCCCCTCCAGAAATTCCTCTTTGATGGACTGTTTCCGGGATTTGCAATCCGGCAGGTCGAAGCCAAAGTCCGCCCACTCGTCGGATCCGCTGCGGTTGGGGATGGTGATGGTGTGGCGGACGCGGAAATGCACGGCTTCCATGACGCGCTGCCGCTGCAGCTCTCCGGAGGTCCCGATGGAGATGGTGGCGGCGTTGCTGCTGGAACGGATGAGCGGCTGCGGGCTGCCGTACTCGTGGCTCTGCTTGAAATCTTGGAGGCCTCTCCAGATGACCATGCGGTACTGCTCTGGGATCTTCAGGGCGGCGAGATCCTGCGAAGAAACAAGAGGTGTCGGGATCGACTCTGAAGAACAGAGCTCCCCCCCCCCCGTGGGGTCCTGGGTGCTCGGCGAGCTGGGTGGGTTTCCCTGCAGACGTTTCGTGACCCAGCTAGGTAACATTATCAGGGCTAGAAGGGAATGGGTGTTGTGGAGAGAAGCAGGAGGAGGAGGAGCTGGGAAAGTTGAAGGAGAAGAAGGAGGAGGAGAAAGAAAGGAAGGAAGGGAGGGAGGGAGGAAGGAAGGGGAAGAGGAAGAGGAGAAAGAGGAAGACTGTAGAGTCCATGGTTCTTGGTGAGCTTGGGTTTTTTGCAGACATTTCATTACCATACTGGCTAACATCATCAGTGATGATGCACTGATGATGTTACCTGGTTTGTTAATAAAATGTTTGCAAAAAACCCACCAAGTTTCTTCTCCATCTCCTCCTCTTCCTCCTCCTCCTCCTCCTCCACCTCCACCTCCACTCCCTAGCAGCAATGATGTTACATAGTTTGGTGATGAAACGTCTGCAAGAAAACCACCAAGCTCAGAGGACCCCACAGTTCAACCCCCAGCCACAAATATCCTGTTCAAGAATATTGGCCAGAAATAAAAAGAAAGCAAACAAAAAGGCCCTCCCAGCTTTTTCCATCTGCAAAACAATCTCCAAAGTTATTCTCCAGCCTCCTGACCACCAGAGCTGCTTTCACTGTGGGGGGGGGGGGAAGGGGCAAGGAGAAGGAAGATGTTGGAAAAAAATGGAAACAGAGTGCAGGGGAGAGTCAGTTTCATTGGGAAGGCAGCCTGTATTCCCGTTTGCAACCGGGTACTCCTTTAGTTTTTGCAAAATGCACTAGTCCTTAACGTGGGGAGGGCGGAGGCCCCAGATGGCGTTAAGGGACCATTGGAAAGGGAAATAAATGGGTTGCGTTGATTCCTCTGTGCTCCCCCCCCCTCCCACCAGCAGGAAACCTTTTGAAAAAGTGCATTTACCTCCAAGGTCAAATTCTGCAGGTGATACAGGGTCTGTAAGCCTTGGGAAGTGAAGTAGTCAATGCAGTTTGAGCAGCCCAGCCCTGTTAGGAAACTGCAAGGGAAAGAAGAGAGAAAAACACAGCGTATATTTATATAGAACGGAATAGAATACGGCAACAGAGTTGGAAGGGACCTTGGAGGTCATCTAGTCCAACCCCCTGCTCAAGAAGGAAGCTCTGTAGCATTTCAGACAGGTCCAGTCTCTTCTTGAAAATATATTCTCATATATGTTTATATAGAATAGAATAGAATAGAATAGAATAGAATAGAATAGAATAGAATAGAATAGAATAGAATAGAATAGAATAGAATAATAATAGAATAATTAGAATAGAATAGACTAAGAAATAGAATAGAATAGAATAGAATAGAATAGAATAGAATAGAATAGAATAGAATAGAATAACTGAGTTGGAAGGGACCTCAGAGGTCTTCTAGTCCAACCCCATACCAGGATTATTCAACCTTGGCATGGCTGGCTGGGGGAATTCTGGGAGTCAAAGTCCACAAGTCTTAAAGTTGTCACACCTGGGACATCATTGGGATCCCATCCCTGGATTAACAGAAGTTAAAACAGACAAGAGAGGCTCCCCCCCCCCTCCACAACTACCCATGGTGCCCCTACCTGACAAGGCTGGGGTCTGGGTTGTAAGGTGGGGGGGGAGTGCAGTGCGAGCTGGAGACCATCGGCTGTGAGTTGTGCGCCCCGTTCATCTCTCCGTTGGACTGCATGGTGTGACTGTTGAGCATCGTTGGGCCTAAGATCCGGAAAAGGAAACACGGCCGGTGAGTTTACAAATCCCTTTTTCCTTTGTAATTATGGAGGCATTCGCTCAAATGTTGGTTACACGCTTCACCAAGGAAAATTTGGGCTCGGTTCCCTGGGATCCTGAGCGTGGCAGGCGGGTGAAACAAGTCATGAGGACACCTTTGGGTGGGTGGGTGGGGGGTCTTACCCATAGGCCCAAGATTTGGCCCCACGCCAGGCCCCTGCTGCAGAGGCTGTCCCACCAGCTGGTTCACGGATGGTAGTTTGTTGATCCCTCCTGGATGAAGCTTATTCATCGGGGACAAGACTGGGCCGTAGGACGATGGAGAATGGAGGTGGGTCCTGTGGGCAAAGGGAGCAGAGAGTGAGCCCAAGACATGGCAGGGGGTGCCCTCCTTCCGGCTGGGCCAAGGGGGTGCCCTCCATCTTGGTTGCCCTCCATCTCCAAAAGCCAACGGAGAACCTTGGAGTTGCATTTAAGCCAGGATTGTGGGCAACTGATTTTCCCAAGTGGGCCACATGGGGGCGCCAGTTGGCTGAAGGTTCTCCTGCCCACTGCAGCTGGGTGGTTTTCTTGCAGACGTTTCATGACCCAACTAGGGAACATCATCAGTGCTAGAAGGGACAGGAGGAGGAGGAAGAGGAGGAGGAGGAAAGTGTTGAGAAGGGAAAGGGGGGGTCCGCGCGGGACTCACTGGCGCTGCAGAAACTGCTGCTGCTGCTGTCGGTAGGAATCGACCAGCTGTTGGGGAACCAGCTCCACCAGTTCCAAACTTTCCTTGATCTTCATCAACATCTCGAAATTTTCCCGACCTCGGACCTAAGCAAAGGAGAACCAACGGGGGGACCGTTCGGATCCAAAGGAGGCCGTTTTTATCGCGAATCTAGCTCTGCTTTGCCGCCTTTGGGACTACAGCTCCCATCTGCCTTGCGCCGGTGATTGGAAAGACTGGGGGGGGGGGTCAGAGATGAAATTATCTGGAATGAAGTGCGGAGTCCCCAAACTCATGTTCCGTAACCTGCAAATATTTCTAATTTTCTGTGTTGTTTTTTTTAATTGTAAGAAATCGGCTGCAAAGTTTTTTTAAAAAAAATTATATAAAAAAAGCACAAATAATGGGAATATGGTTGTTGGGTTTTTTTGCAGCAAATTTACTACTTACAGGCACATAATACGTTTCCTCCTCGCCGTGCCTCCGTTTCTTAACCCCGGCCCCCAGCGCCGGGATACTTTGCGGACTCTGTTTGAAAGCTGGGAAGAATCATAGCATCACAGAATGGAAGGGACCCTCGGAGGCCATCTAGTCCAACCCCATCCTGAGGGCCAGGAATCCAAATTAAAGCTTGGAATCCTAGAAGGGAAGGGAACGTGGAGATCATCCAGTCCTACCCGTGCCCAGGAATTCAAACTAAAACATAGAACCGTAGAATGGAAAGGAAATTTGAGGGGCAGGAATTGGACAATTCGGTGTCCTGGGAGATTCACCCTCTTACTAAACTGATGCCTCGTCCCCCGTGATGGAACTCCATCTCCCATCTGCCTAACCAGCCTCAGAGGGTCGGGACCCCAATCCAAGGACTCACTCCTCTTGTTGGGGTTTCCGTTCTTGGCGACGTTTTCGTTTAGGGCTTGCTGTTCTCGGAAGTGATCCTCGTCGGCTTTCCGGTCTCGTCCAGGACAGGCGCAGATCCGGCCTTCGAAAGATCGACGGCCCAAGACTTGTCCACTACGGGGGGGAAAAAATGGTAAAATTCTCACGGAGTGGGCTGGGGTCCCCAAATTCTATAAGTTCTGGTTTCCTAAAACAAACAAACAAAAAACCCCAGCAGGACCAGCAAAGATTCATTTCTGGGAATCTCTCTGCATCAACTCCCGTTTCAAACTGGGCATTCGTTCACGGTGCTGGGTTCTAATCTAAACAACAACCCGGCAGAGCGGGACTCCGAAGGAGCATCGAACGCACGCACACGACCAAACTCACTCTCTCGTCTCCAGGGTGATGATGATTAAAATCGGTCTCCGGTTCATGCCTCCCACGCAGCTGCTGTTACACATGAAGTTGTACAGGATGGTGGTGAATTCGGTCCCCACCTTGGCGAGACAAAAAAAAAAAAAATGAAATTTCTTTCGGTTACAAAAATATGAGAAGTAGTAAAATCTGAGTGAGGTTTGACTCACAACGAGACGGGCACCCGCATAAGCGTTCTGGGCAACATCACGCAAGAAAAATGACCCTGGCTATCTTGCAGGTGGCTTTTTTCCACCTCCCAGTCTCCCTTCCAACTTGTAACCTAGCCTGACGCTGCTTAGCTTGCAGCCAGGTTCTTCCCCTTTTAAAGGAGACCCTGAGGACTTGTCTGCAGTTTCTCAGTTGGCCACCAGATGGCGGCAGTTCTAGCTAACCTTTATTCCTGCCTGCAAAACAATCAACTCCGCCAATGAAAATTAAGCCCGTAATGGAAATTTTGGCTCAACAGCGGAAGGCAAAGAAAAACCTCCTTAGTTTGCAAGAATAATTTCTTGAAAGCACCTCTTTCCAGGCCAAGAGCAATGCCAGGCCTTTTTTTTTTTTTTTTGCTAACCTTCAAGAGGACTAGCGCCTTTGGCAGCCCATCGAGGGGCAAAGAGCAAAGCAAAGCACCCCACAAATTTCTAGAGCAGACACGTCACCTGGGGGGACTCGTAAGGGACCATGACGCTCTGCCTTCCGGTCACGGGGTCATCGACATACTGGGAGAGATTGTTGCCTTCCACGCGGATTAAGTGGCTGGCGGGCGCCGAGAGGCCTAGAGAGACAGAAGGCTGTTTTATGGCAAAAGTCGCAGATGGGGGCAAGAGCTGCGTTTGAGATCAGGAGGAAGATCGCACCGTCGTTGAAGTCACGGCCGAGCTCGTGGTTCGGGCACCGTTTGACCACTTCAGTTACGTGTTCGGCCTTCTTGTACACGGGCATGGCTCGGATGACCGTCCCGGGCGGAGGCGGCGTGGACACCTTAATCTGGATTGGACACGTCTTCGCAATTTGACAGTAGAGTTTCTTCAGCAAAGGGGAATACTGGGGATCGGAAATAAATCAAATGAACAAATTAATCCAAATAAAACTCCCGCAAATCAAGTGAGGCACGAAAGGTCCTAAGATGGGGCAAAACAAATGTCTCACTTAGCAACATTAATTTTGGGCTCAATCGTGGCCATAATTTGAGGACCGCCCGTATGATTTGCCAGCCTGAAAATTTGTGTTGGTTCTTGTGTGTCATTTTTTTTGCTTCGGCGTGCGCAATTTTAAATTTCGGGCTGGCATTGAAGCCATTTGGTCATTAAAAACAGCCATGGCACCACTTCAAGTCATTGCAACTCCAAAGGGCCGCCCTTGAGTGCCTTTGCCACGCACTGAGCGGTTTGGAGATGTTCCATGTTTCTAGTCCTCAGTGCTAAAAGTCCGTGCTTCGAGTCCTCAGCGCTAAACTTGGCAAGTGGGCTTGGAAAGTGCCTACCCAAAAAGCATATTTCGGTTCTGCCCTCCTTTCAAAAGGTAATATTCCGTGGGCGTGCTTCAAAGAAGGCGCAAGAGGGATGAATTTTGGATTGTTTTGGATGGAATGCAGGTAATTCAGCAGAGGAAATTGGGCGGTTCTCCGGGGCAAAATTTTAAATTCGCAGGCTGCTTTCCAAGGACAATTTTCCAGGCTTTAAAAAAAAAAAAAGTCTCCTTAGGATGATTATCAGTTAAGCTCTCGCTGTAGGCAGACTGCGGGGGAAAATCCAACCCCTCTTTTCCTACTTCATCCGAACGTCGCCTCTGTGCCAACCTGGATTTACTCCCGTCAACCTGTCAAAACGCCGCCTTAGCGCATCACATCTGGAATAATTGCTATCCGAAAGCTTAATTATCGGCTCATCGTTTCTAAACCCGAGTTCCTTTTCAGTTCAGGCGTTCTTGTTGGGTTTTTTTTTTGCAAAGCCAAAAGTTGACTCGAAGGTTTTGCCGCTCGGTGAAAAGCCGTGTCTTGCGTTCGAAACGCTTCTCAAAGTAGCGTTTGTAGCACACACACTAGACGGGCAGCTACATAGCTTGAACGAATAAAATCAAAATACAGGGAGTCCTTGACTTAACAACCGTTCGTTTAGTGACCATTCCAAATTAGAGCAGCACTGGGAAATGTAACTTATGACTGCTCCTCACACTTATGACCGCGGCAGCGTCCCCGTGGTCAGTGATCAAAATTTGGATGTTTGGCAGCTGACTCATAGTTGTGACGGTTGCAGCGTCCCGGGATCACGTGATTTCCCGCTTTGTGACCTTCCCAGCTGGCTTCAAACCAGGAAACTTGAGGGAGGGAGGGAGGAAAGGAAAGGAAGAAAGAAATGAGGGAGGGAGGGAGGAAAGAAGGAAGGAAAGGAGGGAGGGAGGAAGGAAGGAAGGAAGGAAAGGAAGAAAGAAATGAGGGAGGGAGGGAGGGAGGAAAGAAGGAGGAAGAAAGGAAGGAAGGAAGATGGGAACGGAGGGAGGGAAGGAGGGAGAGAGGAAGGAAGGAAGAAAGGAAGGAAGGAAAGAGATGGGAAGGAAGGAAGATATGAGAGAGGGAGGAAAAGGGGAGGTGGGGGAAGGAAGGAAGGGACGGAGGAAGGAAAGAAATAGGGAAGGGAGGAGACAAGGGAGGGAGAGAGGGAGGAAAGGAGAGTGAAAGGAAGGAAGAAAGAGAGAGAGAGGAAGGAAAGCGAAGGAAGACTGACCCAAACCATGGCTAGGCTAAGCAACTTTTCCCAACCACTTTAGGTCAGGAAGTCAAACTGCCCCCCCCCCAGCCTTCCAGCCAAAGACCCTGCACTCTGCAGCTGGGCAACCCTTGACCCTGAACAAAGTGGGCACAAGCTGACACACAAACAAACACACACACACACACACACAAACACACATCCCAGCCATGCAGGTGGTTGGGACAACAGCTCCTGGCTCCTCTCCCCGTTGTTGTTGGGGGGGGGAGAGCATGGCTCGGCATGCCCGCACCACCGGGGCAAGCCTGGCCGTGCCAAGCCTCCCGCCCGCCACTTCCCGGGAAAAGGGCTCGGCCCCGTGCCAAGAGGCAGCGTCCCACCCGGGCGCACACATGCTCGGAAATCCCTCGCTCCAGAGATCACCTCATCCCCCAAACTCCGCAGGTATGTTTTGACGCCAAAGCACCTCCTGCCCAGGCATGCCTCGCCCCTCGCCCTTTGCCAGCGGTTCCCATCTGGGGGAGGATGATGGGAGCTGGAGTCAGCCAGGACCGGAGAAGAATGGAGGGGTGGACCAAAGGCAGGAGATTGAGAGCGGAGGGAGGAAAGATGGAAGGAAGGAAGGAAGGAAGGAGGGAAAAAGGAAGACAAACGAAGGGAGGGAGGATAGAAGTGGGAGAAGAAAGGAAGAAAGAAGAGGATAGGAGGGAAGGGAGGGAGGGAGGGAGGAAGGAAAAGGGAATAAAGGAAGACAAATGGAGGGAGGATAGAAGTGGGAGAAGAAGGGAAGAAGAAAGGGATAGGAGGGAAGGGAGGAAGGGAGGAAGGAAAAATGAAGGGAGGGAGGATAGAAGTGGGAGAAGGAGGAAGGGAAAAAGAAGAAGAGGGAGGGAGGAAGGAAGAAGGGAAAAGAAAGGGGAAGGATGAGAGTGAGAGAAAGGATGGATGGACCAAAGGAAGAAGAATGAGAGGGACAAATGGATGGATGGATGGATGGAAGGAAGGGGAGGGAGAGAGGGAGAGAAAGGAAGAAAATAAAAGACGGAAGGAAGGAAGGAAGGAAGGAAAGAAGGAAGGAGGGAAAGGATGGATGAACCCAAGGAGGGAGAGGCAACCCCCCCACTAAAAAAAGAGAGGAGCTGTTCTCTGCATGTTGGCTTGTTCTGCCAGGTTGGGGCAGGAACAGCGGAGAGGCCCATGGCCCGGAGCCATGGCAGCCATCGTCCCACGCAGACAGGCTTCCGCCTCTGTCAAGTCCCAACAGCTCCTGCCAGGCCTTCCCAGAGAGGGTGATGGCAACACCCCCCCTGGGGAGGGGGGCACACCTGCCAAGGGTGCCTTGTTCTCTGGAAGCTGGGCAGGCCTGGCAGGGGAAATGGGGGGGGGAACCTGGGCCACCCTCTGGAAGCAGGTGGGCATCTGCCCCATTCTCTAAATTGGGTCCTTCCTTCCTTCCTTCCTTCCTTCCTTCCTTCCTTCCTTCCTTCCTTCCTTCCTTCCTTCCTTCCTTCCTTCCTTCCTTCCTTCCCTCCCTCCGGGGCGAAGTCCTCAGAAGTTAAAGGTTAGAATTAAAACTGTGAGTGTCAGCAGCCGAGACAACTGAATCGGGTAAAATATTCCCCAAATCTATTATTATTATTATTATGGATCATCGCACAGTCAGCCAGATGTTCAGACTGGATTTGGCATTTTGTCTATCGATCGAGTCCTTACCCAGGACCTGGGATAGGCAGATGTGGATGTTTGATGGTATTACAGGTATCGTCGCAGGATGGAAGCAGTTCCTAATAAGGCCGTCTTTTGCAATTGACTAATAGCGAATTTGTCAATGCCAATGGTGTTCAAGTGGTGCTCCAGTTGTTTTGGGATTGCACCTAAGGAGCCTATTACTATTGGTACTACCTCTTTCTTCTTCTTCTTCTTCTTCTTCTTTCTTCTTCTTCTTCTTCTTCTTCTTCTTCTTCTTCTTCTTCTTCTTCTTCTTCTTCTTCTTCTTCTTCTCTTCTTCTTCTTCTTATTATTATTATTATTATTATTATTATTATTATTTTAACAATCGAGTTAAGAGCGCTTTCCGTTTAAGTTTATGTTCTCTTTTCTGGAGAGGCTTGATTCTGGATGTGCGGAAAGGCATAAACCTGGGGGGGGGGGAATTGTGCACGATTGTGTTTGTGTGTTGTGCAGAGAATTTAAAAAAAACGGGTGCCTGGGGCGTCTAATTTCCTTATAGCCTTTCTGCAAGCAGCTGCAAGGACTCCCGTCCGCAGGGCAGGCTCAGGCAGATAGCACGAGAAAGGTGCTAATAACACATATGTCATTTTGCTCTGGCGTGTAGTGGCTTGCAAACCGCAAATACCGTTAGCCAACTTGGCAAAATCTGTTCGGACAGATCCAGGGAGCGACAAGACACGCAGGGCAAAACATTCAGGATTTCGTCCCCCCACCCCTCTTCCTATTACAGGCTAAGTCCTTGACTTACGACCACAATTCGGAGCCCCACTTTTCTGCCGCTAAGCGAGACACTTGTTCAGTGAGTTTTGCCCCATTTTACGACTTTCCTTCCCACGGCTGCTAAAGTGAATTGGGCTTCCCCCGTTGACTTCGCTTGTCGGAAGCTTGCAAAAGGGGATTGTGTGATTCCCCGGGACATTGCGACGGTCATAAGTATGAACCAGTCGGAAAGCATCTGAATTTTGATCGTGTAAAACTCTATACCAGAATGACAGAGCTGGAAGGGACCTTGGAGGTCTTCTAGTCCAGCCCCCTGCTCAGATAGGAGACTCTATCTAATGATGGTATCAGGTCTCCTGCCTTGAGCAAAAGGTTGGACTAGAAGACCTTCAAGTTCCCTTCCAGCTCCACACTTCCGTATTCTAGCTTCTTTAATCTTATTGATAAAGCCGCCAGACTAATCAATGAAAAATACGGATGTTTTGTTCCTATATTCGCTCCGTCAAGATGCGAAGAAGTCTATTGGACTTCTACAGATTTATTTTTGGTTTCAGGGTTAGGGAAAAAAAAACCCAAATTTAGGAAGTGGGCTCCCTGCGGCTTGCCTCTGCAGACCCCCCCCCAAAAAAAACTAAAGCCCCCCACCCAGATGCCAATTAGGCCAGATGGAGAAGGGGGTCCCCACCTGTCAATTTCCAGGCCATCCACGGGGACCGGACTTGTGAAAAATATTAATTATCTCTCGGTTGGGAAAGAAGCAGCAGCTGTGAGCAATTCCTAACTCCAACATGCCCGGGCAGTTTTTTTTTTCCAAACGGGCAGACCCCCAATTTTTGCACCGGTTGGCATGCACCATCACGCCGGCTGCAGCCGCAGAGGACCTCCCCCCTCCCCCCCCCACTGGCAAAATGAATCAGAGGGAGGAAAGTGGGGAGGGGGGGGAAAGAGTGGGAAGGATGTTTTTCCCGGGACGATATTTCTGCCTTGCGATTGTGGTGTGTTTTTTTTTTTTTTTTAAAAAAGAAATCCTGACTGTATGAATAAGTCAATATTTCACTCTTGGGTGTTTTTTTTCCCCCCATTCTTCCTCGCAGAGGACTAGAACAGTTTGCAGCCCTATCATTCTATGTTCTAAGTTTTATGTTCTAATTTCAGTGCAACTGATAACATATGCCTCCTCTTCCATTTTTTTTTTAACTTGAAGATTTCAAGGAGAAACTGGACAGCCATTTGTCTGGAATGGAATAGACTCTTCTGCTTGAGCAGGGGGCTAGACTAGAAGACCTCCGAGGTCCCTTCCAATAACTCTGTTATTCTATTATTTTCTCCAATTTTCTACAACTTCCTGGAGTTACGGCTGCTCCATCACCGGAGGTTTTCAAGACAAGATTGGACAACCCTTTGACCAGGATGGTCTAGGGCTCTCCTGCTTGAGCAGGGGGCTGGACTAGAAGACCTCCGAGGTCCCTTCCAGCTCTCTCATAAGTATCATTTTAACAGCCACAGAGCTTTGCTGAGCAGGTGTGAATCGGCATATTGTGCAATATTTCTAAACGTCTTGTCTGTTTTGATGTGTTCACCGGCCAAGCTTAGATGGGTGATGATATAAATTTGATTGATAATTAATTAAAAAGAAAAACATTGGTGCGTCCAATCCATCCTTTGCTTCATAGGGCAAGGAATGCTTTGAGTGTCTTTTCTTTTCTTTCTTTCTTTCTTTCTTTCATTCTTTCTTTCTTTCTTTCTTTCTTTCTTTCTTTTTTTTTTTTTTTTGCCAGGAAGCAAAAATTGTGATTAATTGCTTGTGGGCGATGAGCAAATATTCTCGGAAGTGGTCAAGAGGTATTTGCAACCAATTCCTAAATCCTTCAATCTGGTTTTTGGGGGGTCTTCTGGATCCATCAAGAGGAGGAAAAAAGTGATTTGACAGAATAAGGAAGGTGGCAGTTATGTGCGGTTTTTTTCCCCCCTTTTCATATGTGTGGATGAAGCTGGCAAGAAAACACATTTTTTTAATCTAAAATCCTTGAGGGAAAAGTCTGTTACACCCCAGACACCGCTCAAAAATAATTGCACTGGGAAATGCCAAATATTTTGACAATATTCTGCAGGTGGTCCTCAAGTTACGACCGAGCCCAAAATTTGTGTCGCTAAGCGAAACGTCGGTTGAGTGAGTTTGCCCCCGTTTTACAACCTTGTTAAGTGAATCCTTGCGGTTTTTTTTTTTAAGTTAGTCACATGGTCGTTAAATGAATCCGGGCTTCCTCATTGACTTTGTTGGCTAGGAGGTCGCAACAAGGGGTCACGTGACCCCCGGAAGACACCATGACCGTCGTAAATACGAGTCAGTTGCCCAGCGTCTGAATTTTGATCACGTGACCACGGGGGGGGGCGGTATGCTGCAACGGTCGTAAGAGGGAAAAAACTGTCATATAAGGGAGAAATTTCCCGACAGGGAGAACAATGAATCTGTGGAACGACTTGCCTCATGAAGTTGTGGGTGCTCCATCGTGGCAGGTTTTCAAAAATAGACCGGATGGACTATTTGATTGGGATTGGTGTCAAGTCTCCTGCCTTGAGCAGAGGGCTGGACTAGAAGAGCTTTGAGGTTCCCTTTCAGCCCTATCACCCTCAGCTGGTGAAATTTGAGTCTGTCCATTTATCAGAGGTTTGTTAAATAAACCACAATTCAAACTATGTGCAATAGCAAAAGGGGGGGGCATTTAATGGCCAAAAAGCGAGTAGTGGATGAGGATGAAAAAGAACAGAAATGTTACATATTTTTTTCCTCCTATCGCAGCCCAGTTGCCAGGCAGACAATAGCAAATATGAGTTCCTTAACACAGTTATAGGTATAAATAAATCTTTAAAAAAAATTTTAAAAAATCCCACAGCCATGAAACTGCAAAATGCTTATTTTGAAACACACGCGCACACAGAGTGAAAAAAATTGCAAGTAAAGTTATCAGTGTCTCAGCCTCCCCTTTTGATTACCGGTTTGCTAAACCCCTGCCATTTTTCTGCGCACAAATCGCTTTTTCCAATATGCACCGTGCCCTTTTTATCGCCTTTTAACGCAGGCCTCTCCCTACAAGCCGCCCTCCGAAAAAAAAATCATGAATGATTAAATCAATTTTTTTACACCACCCGGCTTCCACCCAACTCCGTTATTCACAAGCCGCCCAGCAAAAAAAAAAAAAAATTCAGAGAATTGCAACTCTGCAAGTAAAAGAGGCTTTGGAGCAAATTCTGCATGGGTTTGGAAATGGAAACCGATTTACAACCTCGGGGTTATTCATTCCACAAGAAAAATAAGACATCTCAAAAGTCAGAAGATGGGGTATAACGGCATGGTTTCTGAGTGGTCTCCTTTTCATTGCTGGCAGACCCAGAGCAGAGGAGAAACATCCATTAAAGGATGGCAGAAGCAAAATTATCACCTCTCAGGCAAAAAAAAAATACAAAACAAAATGATTTCTGCAATTTTGTTTAGGGACGAATCGCATTGATCCTCTAATTTCAAGCTTTTCTAGGTTTTGGACTACATATCCCAGCAACCTCGGTCAGTCCGAGCCTTGAGGAGGGATGATGGGAGGTGTCGTTGAACGAAACCTCTAAAGAACAAAAGCACATTTTTATAGGTTTGGCTGAACTTGCAGAGTTTAAATCAGATTGGAGGTCGATAGAACAAATTTCAGTCGTTCTGTCTTGAATGGGAGATAGTCCTCGGTTTACAACATTTCATTTAGTGACCGTTCAAAGTTATAACGGCGCTCACGAAAGCAACTTACGATTGTTTTTCCTACATTTAAACAACTGTTGTAATATCCCCGGGGGATCAAAATTCAGCCTCTTGGCCACCGACTTGTATTTACGACGGTTTTGCGGTGTCCCCGGGAGGGTGGTGGAGTCACATGATCCTCTTTTGCGACCGTCTGACCCGCAAAGTCAACGGGGGGAAGCTGCATTCACTTAACAACCAGCTGACTAATTTTAAGAACTGTGGTGATTCGCTGAACGACCGTGGCCAGGAAGTTCGTAAACTGGGGCAAAGCCCACTTATCAAGTGTCTCGCTTAGCAACAGAAATCTGGGGAGTTAAGGAATACCTGTAATAACAAACATCTGGAGCATCCCTGGAACACCTTCCTGGGAATTGACAAAATCCCTCTTGGTCAATTGCAAAAAGGCAGCTGGACGCAGAAGAGCTGGCATCCTGCAACAGGACCTTTAACTCCATCACACAACCACACCAGTGTATCCCAGGTCCTTGGGAAGGACTGGAGAGGTGCACAAAAATGCGACATCCAGTTTATAAACATCTGGCGGCCGCTGCAAAGCGCTCTCCGTTTTAAATGAATTCATCTCATTTTAAGGCTTTCCATTTCAATCCACCCAGAGTTGATTCAGAAAGCAGATTTGATTTCTTTTCCCCCGGATGTGACTTTTGTGTCAAAGAAAACAAGGAAGATAAAAAAAAAGGGGGGGATATTGATACGGGTTGCGAAGGAGAGACAACGAAGGGCTGCAATTACACATACACACACACAAACACACATACCCCTCATGCACAATACACACACGCACGCACACACACACAACTGCCCCTGAAGGTGAACCCTGGAGATATCTAACAGTAAAATGCAACCTGTGATCTCCCTTTTACTGGAATGGCAAGGCGGGAATCTGTTTATTGCAGCTATCTAGAGAAGATCTGTAAAATGGGTACAGTGACTTGAGTCTTTATCTGCTTTCCAAGCAAGCAAGCAAGCAAGCAAGCAAGGCAGAGATTGTGAAGATTTCCTGTAAGGGATGGCTGCAGAATTAAAAGCCAAAACATTTCATCCACGTGCCGGGATCTTGGGCAGAGTACAACAGACCCTGTCCCGCCACCGTTCCAAGCGTGCGAAAACTCTTTTATTTTTCTAGCGGATAGAAAAGCGGAGATAGATCTCAGGATGAATAAAGGGGAATCTTTGTGGCTCAGGGTTGAAAGAGTTAGGGTCCTGGGTGCTCTCTGAGCTTGAAGGTCTCCCTGCAGACGTTTCATCACCCAAACTGGGACCATTTCTGATGATGTTCCCTAGTTGGGTGATGAAACGTCTGCAAGAAAACCACCCAGCTCAGAGAGCACCAAGGACCCCACAGTCGTCCTCCTCCTCCTCCTCCTCCTCCTTTTCACAAACCCCTCTAGCACTGATGATGTTACCTAGTTTGGTTCACGAAACGTCTGCAAGAAAACCACCCAGCTCAGACAGCACCAAGGACCCCACAGTTGTCCTCTCCTCCTCCTCCTCCTCACAAACCCCTCTAGCACTGATGATATTACCTAGTGTGGGTCACGAAACATCTGCAAGAAAACCACCCAGCTCAGAGAGCACCCAGGACCCCTGATAAATCTCAGTTTGGGGCTGATTTTGGAAAGACCAACCTTCACAGTCCTTTGAGATGTTGCTGCCGATAGACAATGGGCCGGATTTTAGGACTCTTGGACCGAGGTTTCATTGGGGTGAGGTGGGGGGAATGGGGCAGGAAGCCCACCCCTATCCCATCTGGGGGTGAGCATTCCCAGGCGAGGAAAAGGAAGCCCCCCCACCCAAAACACCCGGACCCCCCCTCCCCTCCGACCTCACAGAGCAAAACGGGAGGCGCCCAGAGGCTTGACTTACCGTCCAGGTGGCCGATTTGGCGGTGCTGGATTGCTGGAAGGTAACCTCGAAGTGGTGCGGCCCCGGGTAGTCGGTGTTGGAGGGGATGATGGGCGCGGGGGACATGGTGTCAAAGGTCGAGCTGGGCTGGGAGTAGGGCGAGAGCGTGGGGACATTGGAGATGTGCTCCGAGCTGTAAGGCGTGGAGGCGGAGGCTCGGCTGTCAGCTGTCTGATCCATGCTCCTGTTTAGCAAATTGTACTGGGACTGTGGGGGGGGGGAGGGAAGGAGGGAGGGAGGGGAGGAGAGGGAGGGGAGGGGAAGAGAGGAGGAGAAGAAGAGAAGAAGTCAGGCCAAAGTCAGTTGCCCAGGCGAGGGGGAAAACCGGCGGCCCTCCGCTGGTAGGGAGCGTGCTGGATTGTGCCCGTGCAAAGGTGCACCAGGTGTCTCTTTGGGAGGGGAGGCTCCTGCCAAAAAGCCACATACCTGGCTGGGGTCCTCCGGTGGAGCCTTTTCGCATTCCTCCCCCTCCCCGTCAAAACAAGCCCGTGCTTGCTCTCCACCCCAGTTCCCTTTCTTCCCTTTTTTTTTCTTTTTCTTTCTTTTTTCGTTTGGAAAGGGTGGAGGAGAAGGGTTGACGAACGGGGGGGGGGGATTGGTCCCCGCTGGGCAGCGAAGGGTGGGTGAGTGGGTGGGTGGGTGGGTGGGGAGGGGGTCTTGCACTACAGGGCCCACCCAGGAGGATGGAGAAGGTTTTGTAAGGTGGGAGGTTGAGGGCCGTCCCAAGAGAGGTGTCGGGGGGGGGGGTGACATCAGAATGAACCCAGGAGGCAGGATACACCGGGCATAAGCTGACCGTGTAGCTTGCATTGAGGGAGGGAGGGAGGGAGAGAAAGGAATGGAAAGGAAGAAATGGAAAGGAGGAGGGAGGGAGGGAGGAGATGGGAGGGAAGGAAGGAGAAGAAGGAAGGTATAGAAGAAGGAAATGGAGAGAGGGAGGGAGGGAGGGAGGAGATGGAAGAGGAAGAAATGGAAAGGAAGATGAAGGAAGGAAGAGAAGGGAAGGAGTGGGAAAGGAAGTAAAAGAAGGAAGAGGAAGGAGGAATAGAATGAATGAAGGAGATTGAAGAGGGAGGGAGGGCAGGGAGGGAGGGAGAAGATGGAAGATATAAAAGAAGGAAGAGAGGAAGGAAGGAGATGAGGAAAGGAGGGAGGGAAAGAAGGAAGAGAAGATGGAAGGTATAGAAGGAGATGGAAAAGAGGGAGGGAGGAAGGAAGGGAAGGAAGGAAGGAAGGAAGGAAGGAAGGAAGGAAGGAAGGAAGGAAGGAAGGAAGGAAGACTCAGCATTTAAACGCACCATCTGCCCAGAGTGAGGCCAAGCAAATGCACCCTAAAGACTTTTCAGGCTTTCTTCCGAAGCCCCATTGCAAACATTTTCCCGCTCATTCATGAGCTGCTCCGGGAAAGGCTGAGAGTTGGAAGCTCATAAAACAGGCTGGTGTGTGTGTGTGTGTGTGAAGAAGCTGGGGATGTGGGGGGGGGTCGTGTTTACCAACCTGAGCCTGTCGCTGCCTGTGTCTCTCCTGACACACTCAACCCATCCCGGAGTCAAATCTGCCCTTGGCAAGTTTGCACAAGCCGCTCGCAGCGTGCCAGTCTTCCTGTACCTCCTAACCCATCTCCCCCCATTTATGGGCTTCGGTGCCCCACTTCCCCAGGAGATCCTCGGAGAGGAGAAAGAGGCTACCAAACGAATGACCACGGTCTCCAGGGTGCTTATCACAAGCTGAGATTTATAGCCCGCCAATTCCGGCCAGTAGCTCCACACAAACCATCAAAGGAAGCTTTGTGAATTATCAAGATTCCTTATCTGGATCTCAGGCTGGTGGGTTTTCAGCCCTGAGGAGTTAACGGTCAGAAAATAACCCTGGAAATTCAATTTATTTGGGGTGAAATACCTAGCGAAAAGCAGACCAGTTGATGGAGCAAAATAGGCCCCAATCGCAGCCGTCCGTTTAGGGACGGTTCAGAGTTACAACAGCGCTGAAAAAAAGTTTCTCGCACTCCTGAGCATTGCACCAGGGGACACCAGCACGTCTGAAGGCACGACGTGACCTGTGCGAAGTCAATCAATTCTGGTTTATTTCTTTAACCGCAGTGAACCAATCAGGACTGTCTTGAGTCAGAAATGAAGCGGATGGGCAGATTTACAGCTAAGTCAAGATGGAGATGTGAATTTTTGTATGTATCGGCATCCTCTGGGCACAATCGGGCAATTGTTATTATTGATTAAATTGATTTGCTGCCTGTCTCCTTGTCAAGCCGCTCTTAACAAGCTCTTCCCTGCAGAAGTTGTGGGGGCTCCATCACTGGAGGTTTTTAAGAAGAGACTGGACAGTCACTTGTCTGAAATGGTCCAGGGTCTCCTGCTTGAGCAGGGGGTTGGACTAGATGACCTCCAAGGCCCCTTCCAGCTCCATTCTGATCGATCGATGGATTGAAATGGTCCAGGGTCTCCTGCATGAGCAGGGGGTCAGACTAGAAGACCTCCAAGTTCCCTTCCAGCTCTTGCTTAACGATGGAGCGTCTAGTCCCCCTTTGGGCCCGCCGCGGTCGTAAAGCGAGGACTGTCTGCCGATAACCTTGTCTGGCCCCTGCGGAATCGCGGCTCCCCCCTCAGCCAACCCAGCGCCAACCTCAGCCCTTCGTTCAAGCTCCACCAGGCTTGGGAGTCGAGGGACGTGTCAGAACTTGGGATCCGAACCTCACCCACCGGTAACTTTCTGAAGTTCTGCCCTGAGAGCTTTTTTTTTTTAAAGGGGGGGGGGTGAAGAGCCCGCTGGGTTAGGGAGACCTCCGGTGTGTTGCGTCTCCCACAATCTCTCCAGTGTTTGGTGAGTAACGGCTGGAATTCGCAACAAGCTTTGACTTGTGCCGACAAAGAAACACCTCTTTTCTCCCCGAAAGTATGCATGGGGCAACGAGAATAATGTGTGTGTGTGTGTATGTATATATGTGTGTATATATATATATATGTATGTAGGTCTTTGGTTGTTCGGGTTTTCTCCCGCGTAAAATTGGAAGTGTCGTCGCCAAGACACTTCCAATTTTACGCGGGAGAAAACCCGAACAACCAAAGACCTACATACAAATACCCGCGAAAACCTCAGAAAACAAATATATATGTATGTATATCTATCTATCTATCTATCTATCTATCTATCTATCTATCTATCTATCTATCTATCTATCTATCTATCTTTATCTATATCTATTATATCTATGTCTCTAGTTCTGTTTCTCTATATCTATTATCTATCCATCTATTCAACTCTGTATATTTCTAGCTCTCTATATTTATTATCTATTTATCTACCTATATCTCCCTCTATCTATCTATCTGTCTGTCTGTCTGTCTGTCTGTCTGTCTGTCTGTCTGTCTGTCTGTCTGTCTGTCTGTATCATCTATCTATATCTATATATATATCATATCTCTCTTTATCTATCTATCTATCTATCTATCTATCTATCATCTATGTATATATATTATATCTCTCTATCTCTATCTCTCTATATCTATCTATCTATCATCTCTCTCTCTCTTTCTCTCTCTCTCTCTCTCTCTCTGTCACACACACACACACACACACACACAAAAGGGGGGGAATCACATGACCTGGGGACACTGCCACAACCATCGTAAATACAAGTCAGTTGTCAAGCATCCGAATTTGGGTCACGTGACCACACGGGGACGCTGCAAGGGTCATATGTGTGAAAAGCCTCTTTTTTTTCAGTGCTGTCGTAACTTTGAATGGTCACTAAACAAACTGTCATGAGTTGAGGACTGCTCAACGTCCTCAAAAGAATAAAGCTCCTGCTGGCTGGGGCTGCTGGGAATTGTAGTCCAGCCCGCGCATGCGGGGAGAGCGCCAGTCAAAACACAGTTGTTGAGTGTTGCCGAAATGAAAAAGAAACACAATCACTTTCCCCAGCTCAGCAATTAACTCCTAAGGTTACCGAAAACACATGGCAGGCTACACAACATTGGCTCAGTGGCAACCACTTGCTCATTAGTGCCATATTTTAACCAGGCCCCTATTAAATCCACCGTTGTGTTCGGGAGCAACGGAAGCTGCTGTTAAAAAGACCAGCCCCCCCAAAAAATCTAGTTTATTTTTATTGTTTGGGGGGCCAGGAATGGATTTGATTTCCACCATCCGAAAAAGAAAAAAAAAACTCCATTTTTTTTTTGCACACGCTGGATCTCTCGGACAAACTCTGGAATATTCAAGAGTTTTAATTTTCATTTTCACTGCGCCATTCCTGGTTCCAAAAAACTTGGGGGTTTTCTCCCCCTTGACCCAGCTTTGGGAGAAACTACGCCTTGTCTACACAGCTTGCTAACTGTTTTGCGGTTTGGTGGATCAAAGCCAGAGAAACTGGCGAAAACACACACACATACACACACACAGGCACAAAAAGCTGCAGATGTTGTGAGCTGCTGTAACAAACAACGCCACGCCTTCGCGGCGCAGGATCATTTTTGCTGTCTCAAGTTGCCGTTTTTCCCCCCTGCTCGGTCCTCCAATCCAGATTTTTATTGCTCTTAATCCTTTGCCTTAACAAATCCTTAAAAAAAAACCTAGGAATTAAAAAGCCGTAACTGAGCAAAGCACCAAATCTTTTATTAAAACCGACGGCTCCCATTTGTGACACACACTCACACACACACCCCGAATCGCTGTGGAATCCTATTTATTTGATATTATCAAATCAAGGCAGCTGCGTTGGGCAATTGCTTGACTTATCTAGACGGGGAACAGTTGCCATTATATATATATAATGGTGCCCAGGCTGGGCACCAATCTCCAAGCCTTCTGGTGTACCACATGGGCTGAATTGCATGATGCCTTCGTGGCACTATGATCCTCGTTCCCAAATTTTTTCTGGAATTTTAATCCCACTGGGAGAACCAACCCAGACTCAAACCGTGAAAACGTTGAGAGATAGGGACCCAGCCAAGCAGGCTGTCATCTTAGGAAGACCTCAAGCATCACCAAACCGTGTTTAATCCAAATATTTGGATGATTGTTCGGGCACCAAAAATTGGAGAAGACAGCAATCCTCTATAGCTCATCAAACCAGCTTTTGGACTGAGCTTCTATCTCCACCAGCTATCTCCACCAGCTTCGGGATTATCTCTACCAGCTTCAGGACTATCTCCACCAGCTTCGGGACTATCTCCACCAGCTATCTCCACCAGCTTCTGGATTATCTCTACCAGCTTCGGGACTATCTCCACCAGCTATCTCCACCAGCTTCTGGATTATCTCCACCATCTATCTCCACCAGCTTCTGGACCAAGCTCCTGGTGGCCCTTCAGAAGCCCTCCGAAGTTCTCCTGACCTAGCCTAGTCCCCGCTTCCTAAACCACCCTTTCCTAAAGGGATAAAATCAGCACCTACCGTGGTGTAAGGTGGCACAGAGTTGCTAACATACAGCATGTTTATCTCCTTGGGGTTTGAAGATGGCAAGCCAGCTCCTCACCTCTGGAGTCATGAGGGTCGAGAGGCCACCACGGGAGGAGGTCGAAGGTCTACCCAGGGGGTGCCAAGAGCAGAAAGACAGGGGAGATTCAAAGCTGGCTTGTTAGTAGTAGCCTTGTTGGCTTCGCTCTCTCTTTCTCTCCTCTCCCCCCCCCCCACCTTTAAATTGTGGTTCTGTCATTTAGTTGCATCTAACAACCAAGGCTGGCTAGCCAACCCCTTTTTCCTCCCTTATGACTATTCATTATGAGAAGGCAAGTTCCAACACGCCCGTTGGAAGATTGGACGGTACCAAGGGTGCTCCATGGGGGGGGGGAAGAGCTGGTGCAGCGCACGGTGGATGCCGGTTTGCACAATGCCACCCCGTTCGGTGTGAGTGCCCATCCTGCCCTCTGCAAACAGGTGGTTTGAGATGCCCTCCTGGGTGGTCAACGACGCCAGGGGTGGTTTGTGCCCTGCGGGCAACAAAATCGGTGCGCCTGGCACAACGGAGCCGTGGCAAGGCAGAGCTTCGTGGCCAGAAAAGGCACTTTTATTCCCAGGGTGGCAAATGGGCGAATGTTAGAAACACAGCCGCCACGGACCCCAACGGGGGAAAGAGTGCGTACGGCATTGTGCAAATGTGCACAGCGGCCCAGGGGTGTGTCCGTGTGAAGGGCTCTGATTATTGTCCTAGAACATAGAATGATAGAGTTGAAAGGGACCTTGGAGGTCTTCTAGTCCAACCCCCTGCTCAAGAAGGAGACCTCATTTAGGTCTTTCAAAAGGATTTGCCCTCGTAAAGGGTGCACGAGGGGGGGGGGGAGTTTTGAGTACTCAGCTCTGGCCTGCATCTTGCTTGGACCCGTTCAGACGAACAGGAGCACTTAGGTTGTGTAAAAGGCTAGAAAAAGCCTTGCTAGGTGGGTGAATTCGAAGGGCGACGCCTTGCTAGAATTTGCCAGAGAAATTCAGGGAGCATCAGAAAAATCAAAATACAGGAAAGTCAACGGAGGGAGACAGATTCATTTAACGACCGTGTTACCCCCACTCTTACCAGTGACTCATTTAATGACAGCAGCAGGAAAGGTCGTGAAACAGGGCAAAGCTCACTTGACCGATGTTTTTTGTTTCGCGACCTCAATTTGCAGGCGCCACTGTGGCCGTCCGTTGACGGCTACCTGTCCTTACCCTGAGGCAAAGTAGCACAAAACGGAAGACCAAGCTACACAAATGACAACTGCGGAACCCGAAACAAATCCGCCAAGCCGGCTCGAGCGAAGCAAAGCGTTTCGACACTACAATCCAGCGATATTCTGCGCCTGAATTTATCCATTCTATGGACTAATTGATTAATCTCAACTCACAGACCGAACCGGTCGCGCACCGCACATTCAACACCCCTCCCCCCAAACGAACCAAGGTTAAAACCAAGTTTATGCCAGGATGCAAATGGACTCCTGGCCCCCCAAAAGCAGAGAGGATATCATGCGTGGAGGAATTTATAGCCATATCCCAAGTATTAGCCTCAATGTGAAATTTCCACCTTACATGATGCTCAGCTGGCCATCAATCTAAGGATATGCCAGAATATTCGCATAAGTGGCAGCAGCTTAGTTGCAGACGTCTGCCCTGGGCAGGGGGTTGGACTAGATGACCTATGAGCTCCCCTCCAATACTTATACTCCTTTATTCTACAGTTCATCGCTAATGCATATCTTTAATTGTGGTTTGAGTTGTAAACAGAAGCTTCCAAACTCTGGCTAGATTTGAGCATCATTTGTTTAGACAAGCCCAGATTCTGGTTCAGCAGAAATGTGTGACATCAAGCAGAAATTGCAAATTAATCAGGATCCTTCTGACTTTTGTTTTTGGTGATCAAGGCAGCACAGCCCCGATCCTCCTCCTCCTCCTCTTTTCTTTCTTTTCACTTTCCTTTCCTTTCCTTCCCTTCCCTTCTCTCTTCCTCCTTTCCTTTCCTTTCCTTTCCTTTCCCCTCCCCTCCCCTCCCCTTCCTTCCTTCCTTCCTTCCTTCCTTCCTTCCTTCCTTCCTTCCTTCCTTCCTTCCTTCCTTCCTGTTACCAAACGCATGAATTTTGCAAGGACCAGCCCTAAGTCCCCATTTTTCAGTGCCGTCGTACTTCAAAAAAGCGCTAAACAGCCAGCGGTGAGTCGAGAACTCCCTGTAGCATCGTATTTTTTCCCCCACCTCCAGCCTCCTACGGCAGCTGGATCAGAAACCACCCGCCTTAAGTGCATTTCTACCGCCTCTTTCCCAAAGCTTACCATTACTGAGTCGTCCATGCTCCTCATTTGGAAAACATCCATGGTGACCTCCGTCTGGTTGGGGGCTTCACTTCCTCCCGTATTTCCCGACTGGGGCAGGTCAAAATAGGTGCTGTCAGGCTCCCTACTCAAAGAAGAAAAGACACAACCTCAAATCTTTGCACTCTTGCGTCGATTGAAAACTTGATGCAATCTCACCCTCAAATCTGGGGGCAGGGGGGCTCCTTTGCAACCGGTTGTATTCCACGTTTTTGTTTTGTTTTTTTGCGAGAGCGGCGCAGATGTCCAATAACTGCCTTTAATTCGGCGTCCGTATGTAGTGCCAGTGGAATTTCCCACCCCTGTTTATAGGCCTGTAATTAAGATGGGAGTCTCTTGAAATGATTTTAAGTGACTAGAGTGTCCGATCGGCTTCGGCTATGGCGGGCTGTTCCTTTAACAGAGATAAGGGTTATTTTGGTTCATCTGGGTTTAATGTCTCCATTGACTGCCCCCCTCACCCCTACTTCTCATAATCCTGGAAATGGCAAAGATAAAATGCAATCCAAGTGTTTAATCTCTGACTTGTTTGTTCTTTACCTACCCATTTGGCAAATTTAGCTAGTGCCGTACTCCTTGGCAAACTTCAACTCTTGTGGACTTCAACTCCCAGAATTCCCCAGCCAGCTGGCTGGGAATTCTGGGAGTTGAAGTCCACAGGTCCTTGAGTTGGCAATTGGGATGCTTCTTGCCTCGCTCGTTCATGCAAACCAAAAACTCCCAGCTTAGTGTGGTTTCTTTTGACACCTCCGGAGTCACAACGGTGACAAGGGGAGCTGCACAAATCGAATAAGCCAAGAAACGGGGTTGAAAAACTCAATGGATCGGCAGAAATTTGCTAAAGCCAATAAATAAAATAAAATCCTTCCATGGTCCCATGGCTGGATGGCCAACAATGGCTGACAAGGGCGCTGACCGAGGTGCTGAATTCTCCCCACTGGGTTTCAGGCCAAGGGATTCATTCCCCAGATGACCAAACAGATCTGACCAGATTCCATCCAGAAGGTGGGTGGATTCCTTAATGGATCAACGAAAACCACAAGCCGAGTTTGGTCCGCCTTCGGCTCCAGACAAATGCACTCTTAACGGTGCTGACGGTGTTGTGGGAATGCAAACCTGGGTCTAGGTTTTTTTCCAGGTAATCCTCGGCTTGTGAATCATTATATAGTCATAAGTCAATTTTATTGCCATTTCTATGGCAGCCATTAAGCGAATAGCGGTAAACGTCAAACGGTCACTAAACGAAACGGTTATAAATTGAGGACCGCCTACCCGCCCTGAAGACACTAATTCCTCCTCTCAGCGGGCGTTTTGGTACGGCCAAGCCCGACTCGGCTGCCCTTTGAGGACCAGGCCGCTGTGCCATTGCCCCCATTTTGTGAGTGCCTCCACGAGTTTCAAGGGAGTGGCCCTCGCCCATCCTCTTACTTACAAGGTGCTCCAGAGATGCTCAAAGGTGGTGCCTTCGTCTGCCGAGGAAGCCCGCGACATCTTCAACGAACTTGGAGAAGGATGGGCGGCCCTGTTGTGGAAGAAGACAGTTGTGTTAGATTGTGTAGCTTTCCGACAGATCCCTTGCTCTGCAAGAGGGAAGAGAAAGACCCTGGAATCCTTCAGAAGTGATGCTGAAACCGTTTTCTCACATGGTATAGGGTTTCCTGCCTGAGCAGGGGGTTGGACTAGATGACCTTCAAGGTCCCTTCCAATTTTATCATCATCATCATCATCATTATCATCATCATCATCATCATCATCATTATTATTATTATTATTATTATTATTATTATTATTATCTGAGATAAATGTCCTGCTTAGGAAAGAAAATTGAAAGCAATACGGGTCATTTAGTGACAGTTCAAAGATATGACAGCACTGAAAAAAGTTTGATTGATTGATTGATTGATTGAAATGGTCTAGGGTCTCCTGCTTGAGCAGGGGGTTGGACTAGAAGACCTCCAAGTTCCCTTCCAGTTCCATTTTGATTGATTAATTGATTGATTGAAATGGTCTAAGGTCTCCTGCCTGAGCAGGGGGTTGGACTAGAAGACCTCCAAGTTTCCTTCCAGCTCCCTTCTGATTGATTGATTGAAATGGTATAAGTCTCCTGCTTGAGCAGGGGGTTGGACTAGATGACCTCCAAGGTCCCTTCCGGCTCTGTTATTCTACGTTCCGCGTTCTACTTCCATCCAAGCTCACAACCACACAGCTGGTCTTGATGTCGAGACCCCAAGAGGGACTTTGCCTCGCCATACCCAAGGCGCAAAAGAGTTAAACAAAGTTTCCTGTCCTGCTGAAGGACACGGCCAGCTCTGTCGTAGTAAGAAGGAGGGAAGGTGAAATTTGTGGCCTGGCCTTGTTTAACACACCCACATTTGCAGAAATTGCGCACCTCTCCCGTGCTGGGGGATTAGCTTCTGAAAATAAATTCCCCTCCAATCTTCCTTCTCTTTAAAAAAAACAACAACACACCAAATGGTCATTTTTGCACTGATTTTTGGCTCTTGCTGAAAGTGGGAACTTTTTTGAAGCTGAAACTTTTGGAGGGGCAAAAAAAAAAGCTCTTGCAAATGCTTTATTTTTAGAGCTCCTGGCTTGGGAGGGGATGGGTGGGTGGGGAGCGGAATCAAGGCCTACCTGCTCAGCGGCGAAAAGGCACTTAAGGATTGCGATTCGGAGCTCCTGACGGGCGCTAGCGGCCAAGGAGCGTCCCGGTCACCAAGGAGATGGCCGCCCGAGCTCTTCAAAGCTATGCAAAAATTGTGGCCAGGGTTTTGCACGCTCCTTCCTGGAACATCAAGCGAGCAGAGGGAGGGAGCCTGGGCCAGCCCAGAGTTTGATTGCTCAGCCTAAGGGAGAAATCTATCCAGCCCTTTTTCACCCTCTGGGCCCGAGGCTTCCGTTTTTCTGCCTCAAATCCCTCCAGCCATTTTCCTCCCGCTGGGCCCGAGGCTTCCGTTTTTCTGCCTCAAATCCCTCCAGCTGTAGCAATTCACCTAACAGTGGGGTCCAGAAAGGTGGTACTGTAGGGCCACATCCGCTGAACAATTGCCTCACTTAGCAACAGAGGAACGTCGGGCTCCATTGCGGCCGTAAGTCGGGGACCTCCTGTATTTTAATGCAGCTTGGGCCGTCCAGCCGACGTCACCTCTGTGATTGGATCGCTTTTCGGGGGGATCCCCTGATCTTTTTTTTTAACCCAATTAATCCATTGTTTACCAACTTGGTTCCAGCCGCCCACAAAGAGAAAGGGAATCAATCCGGGAGCCGCTGTGATTGACTTGTCCCTCATTATAACCCATAATTAGCCGCCAAGGATGGCCGTGATCAGGAATTGAGAATCGGACGGGCAAGTCGGAACATGCCCCCCGTTCGAAATAGAAGGGGCAAATATTGTGGGAGATTTTTCTTAATTACAACCCAGTCGAGTTGATATTTTTTATTTTTTTTAAGAATGGAGGAAGGAGAAAGTGGTTGGTTAAACACTTGTAGATCTGTTTCTCCCCCCTGTGGCAGCCAAGAACAAAATTCCCAGGGTTGAAACAAGAGTTTTTATTCTTTGACAAAAATTAAGATTTGGCCACTGGAAGCATGCACGATCCTTCCCAATGGGAAAAATAAAATGGATTTTATGGCGTTCGTTCCTTCATCAGGACTAGTGTCTTTGCAAGTCCCTTTTTAATTTTGCTTTTCGTCTTATTAAGGTAAAAGGCGTCAGAATCTGTTTGGCTCGAGATGCTTAAACAGAAGCAAGACCGAGAAGGATGGGATCTGCAAAACCATAGAATGTTTGAGCCGGGAGGAAGTCCTCTGAGGTCATCCAGTCTAACCCCTACCAGAGCTGGAATCTGCCACTTGCTAGCATCCCCAGCATATATGGCCGTCTAGCCTCTGTTTGAGCATCTTGAGCCAAAGAGACTCCGACTCCTTTTACGTTAGCAAAAGGAAAAATTAAAAAGCGACTTGCAAAGATACTAGTCCTGATGAGGTTCCTGCCAGCTGTTCTCTCCTATGAAGAGCTTTACCCGGGGGAGGAGGGGGGGAGGGAAAAATCCATTATTTTTCATTGGGAAGGACCGTGCATGCTTCCAGTAGCAAAATCTTTATTTTTCTCAAAGAATTAACTCCGAGCGCACTACGCTTCCACGCCTCTCCCTCCAGTCCACCACGGGGTGAGGGGGTGGACCTCCCTGCTGGGGAGGATGGGAGTTGTAATCCCACCGCTAGGGCCCTCCAAGGAACGGGGGTTCATGTGCTCCCTGGGGGTGCCCGGGCACCATCCCAAACAGCAGGTGAGCAATTAAAAGCCTCCATCCCCAGCAAAAACAGGAAGGTGAATTAATTCTCCATCTGGAAACCGGCATTGAGTGTAACACCTGTCAAGTCCAGTGGGGAGGAAGTGGGGATCCCCCCAAGCACCCCAAAACCACGGCTAACAGCACTTCCCTGTCTCTTCCTCTTCCTCGTCTTCTTTCTCACTTGGGGGGGGGGAGTCAAAAGAATTTGCAAATGGAGCTGGGCATTTGTAAGCTGGCTGGAAAAGGGTGATTTATGATTATTATTATTTTAAGAAAACAGATCCTTTTTTTTAATTCTTAAATCTCTGCTGGAGGATCTTTGCTAAGGTTTGGTGGTTGTGAATCCTGTTTTTTTTTTTTTTTAAAGGTGGCATTATTTTTAAAGCTGGTGGGCAATCTCCCTGTGGATCTTTCTTAGCCTGCCTTAGAATATGATGAATCGCTAGCCGAGAGTAATTTTGAGAATTCCTTCGTAGGCCTCTCGGAAAACACTCAATGCTATTTTTTAATCTTCTTTCATTTTTGCTGGGCGAATCATGACTCGATCCTGGTTTATGGCTAGCTCGGCGGACAAACCACAAGGGTCTTAAATGAGTGCTTATTTGGGAGTTGTTTTTTTAAATGTTGGCTTCGCTTCTGCAAATCAATCTAATCAAGAATTTGGAAAGCAAGCATTGAGCTATTTCATACCTGGTGGTTTAATTTTTTTTTTGCCTGCAAGAAAACCGCTTCAGCGCATCAGAAGCAACAGATGCGCTGCTATTAAATCTCCTTTTTGAAGCCTCTGGTGTGTGTGTGTGTGTGTGTTTCCCCACCACCACCACCACGTTTCACTAGGGAATAACGTTTTAAGCTTATTTCTGTTGCGTTTTCAAACCCAGGTATCCAATATCTTAAACCTGGATACATTATCCTCAACAGCAACTGCCTCCGTAAACAGATCCCTGGACCAATCAGCCAGGGTTATATATCCTGGAGGCTTCCATGAATTGGGCTTCACAGCCAAGCCTTGCGGCTTGCAAACATTGGATGTATTGTGTTAAAAAAACAAAACAAAGGTTGCGGTTTAACCTGTGTTAAAACGGTGGGGAAGAGTTAGGTAGGGTTGATCTGGCTTTTGCAAAACAAACAAACAAACAGACAAACATAGGCACAGGTAATCCTTGACTTATGACCACAACCGACCTGGGAAAAAAATTCTGCCACTAAACGAGGCGTTTGTTAAGTCAGCCTTGCCTCCCATTTGACGACTTGTCTTGCCATTATAAAATTGTGTCTTGTCTCCATTTCCATCCCCTCCACTCTTTTAGCGGGTCCAGTATAAAGACGATTCACCCTAGGGCACGTTCACACAAGCCCTAGACCTGATCAGAACAGCCAGCGATTGGATCGGGTTTACTCTCCACTCCCTTCTTTGCTGATTCCAAACCTGGGTTGGTTTGTGACCCACCGCCCTCGGGCCCAGCCAGATACAGGCTTTCAATTCAGAACCCAGGTTACAAGGGTCGTGAGAACGCCCGCACCCATCCCTGCTTCCTCCCAGAATTGGGTTTTCGAGACTCCTAACGGTTCCTAGCGGTCTTTCCGCTCCCCCTCGCTCCAATTCCCAGGGGTTGTGTGAACGCAGCACCTCCCCACCGGAACAAGGGTGTCGTTGCCCAGCAGGGCACCCCAAGGGGGGGGAGTCTTCCCCCCCTCCCCGTCACCCCCAATTTCAGCGGCTCCCCTTCTCCTTTTGCTCTCCTACCTGGTCGGTGGGCATCTAAAGGCAGGCAAACTCCGGGACTCGGCTGGTGCCAAGCTGGTCGTGGGAAGGGTCCTTCCCCTGCCGCGATGGTCCTGAAGCCCCCCGGGTCGCCCCCCTTGGCACGGGGAGAGGTCGGGCTGCCGCCTGCATGCCCCGGTCCCTGCTAGAGACCCCCGGGCAAGGCTGGGCGCGTTGCAGACGTGTTCAGCTCGGCGTGCCAAGCGCTGGGAGCAACCGCGCCATTTCCGCGGCGAGCGGCGGGAAAGGAAAGAGAAGCGAAGCGGAGCGAAGGAGGGAGGGAGGGAGGGAGGGGAGGGGGAGAAGGGGAGGATGGGTTGCCCCCTCCCCCTTTCCCCCCTCTACCTTTCTCCCCCCACCCGGATTCACAGGGTTCTCCAATCCTGGAACACAATGCCCATCATCCTGTCCCCGGTGTTGGAGACCTGGGAGGAGGGGGAAGCGGTGGGCACGGGAGATTGGGGTCCCTCAGGATGAGGGGGATTGTAGTCCGACCTCTCCCCTGCAGGGAGGAGGGAGGGAGGGCTGGAGGGCTGGGGAGGATGGGTTGGCCCCCTCCCCTTCCCCCCCTCTACCTTTCTCCCCCACTCGGAGTCACAGGTGTCTCCAATCTTGGAACACAATGCCTATCATCCTGTCTCCAGTGTTGGGGGATCTGGGGGGAGGCGGTGAACGTGGGAGACTGGGTCCCTCGGGATGAGGGGAGTTGTAGTCCGCCCTCTCCCTTGCCTCCCCCGCCTATTTTTAGGGTGCAAGGGTGCACCGTTTCCCCGCAAGGGGAAGCGGGTCGTGTGAACGGGGTAAGAGTCAAGGCGGGGGTGTGCGCGCGCGCGCGATGGGGTTGATTTAAAGAGCCGGGCGGGTTTCTCATGTGGTTTGCAAGCAGCGGCGGCCGTCCAGAGGCTAAACACGCGACTCTTGTGTCCTTCCCACGACCAGGAAGATCAGGAAGCCAGCAAACTTGAGAGATTATTTTCATTTTTATTTTTTACACGGCGGGAGGAATTTTGAATGGCGATGCCTTGAAATTTGGGGTGTTTTTCTTTTAAGAAATGGTGGTGGTGGTGGTGGTGGTGGTGGTGGTGGTGTGTGTGTGTGTGTGTGTAACAGCCTTTCAGCAGTCTCTGGCTTCCCGAATCGGCACACGAATATCTCACTTTTAATTTTCTTTTTTTTTTAATTAATTTTTCTTTTTTAAAAAAATATTTTTTGTAATTCGCCTGATAAACGAGGATTCTCCAAGAGTGGTTTGTGCTCTAGAAATGATAAAGAAGAATGTGTATCTATATATGTGTGTGTGTGTGTTTCTGTGTATACACACAGGCGCGCGCGCTCTAGCACACACACGCACACACACACTGTCAAATGGGCCGAAAAGGAGATTTTAAAAACTTTCGCCTTTCGTTCTTTTTTTTTACTCCTATTGATTCTCATAATTCGTGGAGGGAAAATGCTTTTATAATTGGACAAAAAATAAAGAATAAATATATATTGGCGTGGAATCTTCCTTCCTTCCTTTTTAAAAAGGATTTTATTATTGCTGGATGGAGCGCGCTGGAGATCTGCTATCGTTTTATGAATTACTCCGTTTAGGACGCGATTCTACCGTTTGTGGTGCGATTTTTGTTTTGTAACTCATGACT